TTTAGAGAGACATGCGTTCGGCTGCTCATCCTCCTCCGATAAGAGTGAAGAGGATAAAAAAAGAAAATAAAAATTTATTAATATATACATGGCTTATAGTATATTATTTGATAATGAAAGCGATAATGAAATGATAAAAATGGGAATATTAAATGATAATGAATGAAATGTATTTATTTATTTATTGAAAACCAGTCAAGCGGGGCGCAAACGCCAAATGCTTGTATCAATAACAAATAATAAGAATTAATGACAAAAAACAAAAAATAGTAATATTAAAATAAAATAAACAATTTAAAGATGAAACAAAGAGGAAATTGCAAAATATAATATAGTAAATTCGAAATAACCATAATCGGATGGTAAAAATCGAGATTTCATACTTCCTGTATGGTGTGAACTTTTTAAATAATATCAGAAATGATATTATCTAATCTTTTTTTAAAGATAGCTAAGGGTGGCACACAAGCTATGTCGTTCGGTAATTTATGTTAGCAATTAATAATACGAATAAAGAAATAATGAGTCCTTTTAGTTTAGTTTTACACATAGGTTTTAGTAATTTTAGCCCATTAGTTCTTGTTGGATTTAAATAAATATATATTTTATTTGACTTATCAAATAGTCTAAAATACTTTAATACTGAAGTTTAAAACGAATCAGCAATCTAATAATTGAAGAAAAACTGCTTAGTGTTCTTTTAGCGTTGCTCATAATTCTACAGTACATCCGAATATTATCAATGCCACAAGTTTATGTGATAATTTCAGTTTACACCTGTTCATTTAAGAAAATTATCTAAAAGATAAAAAAGTTTATTTGTTAAACAGGATGCGATGCAATGAAAATTTTGGCGAAAAAAAAATTTAGACCAAAAATTTATCATTTTAATAGAACAGTGGGCTATTAGAGAAGAGAAAGAATTTATCATTTATCATCTTTATCAATAAAATCTTTATCATTAGTATAATCTTTATTATCAAATCTTATCAAATTATTCGCTGTTTTATTTCTTCATAAATAATTTTATCGTTGAAAATTCTATGCAAATTAAAAAACACAATTTTATTTACGATTTGCATTTTGGTTTATTTTTTCTTTTTTTTGCGGCCAATTTAATTTTCAATCGACTTGTCACAATAGGCTGTGTTGTAAATCTTCACCTTCCTTCTTCTAATAGCTCAATCAATCACTGAATAGGCTGGCTCTGCTTGATACAAAGGCCCTGAGAAGTTTTTAGTCCCTCGAACTGGCCATTGTAATTGAAATATCTTATATCTTTCTGTGTTTTCGTCTAATTTTTCATAAATAAGTGGAGTCATTGAACAATGCAGAACTCACTAAAGAATAAGATAAATTTGATATGATTGTTGATATGATAAATATATAACAATTTTATATGAAATTATTGTAAGATTTGCAAATTGCTTAATTCTATGTGATATAATGGATTATGAAATAAATCTGAGATAAAATCCATCGGTATCATTTTTATCAACTCTTAAAATAGTTCCAACGGCCAAGACCAGAATGGTTCAGTGAGTTGCTGCTCTTATTTCAAAGCATCGACGCTCGAGCACTTTTTCAACGAAGATTGAACTTGTCTTTCAAAAGTCCATGTGACGTTCACAAGTTATTTGGAGCCCAAATAAATTTTTGGTAAAATTTTTATGGTCTAACAAACTAGCAAAGTGTTCTTAGATTAAAAAAAAAAAAAAAAAGGTATTTAAACAAAATTCCTTTCGTTCCAATTTTTACAATTTAAAAGGAAAATGTTGCAAAAAAAAAAAAAAAAATGAAATGAAAAATTATTAACGAACAAATAATTTAATAGGAAAAATACAATGAGAATTTGAAGAACAGTGAAATAAAATTTCTATAGACGTTTTTCGTGATATAGAATTTTGCATTTTAAATATATACGTTTTGATTAAATGAAAAATTTTCTAAAGAATTTTTAAAGTAAGTATTCTTATTGAAAAACCTGAAATTCAAATAGCATATAGTTGAATAGCTTTAATTAGGTTATTTTATAAAAGTCAATATTATTGTCTCTTTCGTTAGAAAATAATTCGCTAAAAGAAAGAAAAATGAAAAATTCTCAAAATTTCTCATTTATTTATTTTCTTTCATGCAGTTTCTCTTTTTAATGAGAGACGCCGTTCTGCCTTGGCTAATATAGCTAATTAACTGGGCTAAGACAAAGATTCATCTTAGAATAGAAAGAAGCACTGATGGATTTTGACTTGAATTTTGCTTCCATCGACAGATTTGTTTGCAAATATCAATCGCAAAACTCTATGCATAATGGAACTTTAATAGGCTTCGTTTCTATTTTTTAATTCATTATTTATTTATTTCCTTTTGATTTTAGCAAAAAAAAAAAAAAAGCAATAAATCAGCTTTTATGCTTTTCTTATTCGAATTTTTTTGTGGTCTTTTTAATATCATTTTTTATTACAATTTTATTTATTTCTTCTTTTTAGTTTTCTTTTTTGATTTAAAATTTTTTTTAAATTATAAAAAAATATTAGCAAAAATGCCATTCTTTTATATTTTTTCAAATTCTTATTTGAGTTTATCGAATGGCAATAATACAAATTTAGTTTGAACGTACAACAGTAGTAGTGTTGACAAATTCTGATTGAAAGAAACCTCATATTATGACGTGAAAAATGGGAATTATTTAGGAATTATAGGGAATAATATTTGCAAAAAAATCCCAAATTATTGATGTAATTTGCATTAATTCACTAAACAGCAGCAGCACTTATTGATAATTCTCAATATTTTACACTTTTACTTATTATACTTACTTATTCTAAAGTGAAAATGCCAAACTTTCATATATTTCATTCGTGTATTCCAGCACATGGTGTCCCAAATCTGGACTCATGGTGCATACGATAAATATGCAAACTCAACTAGGGAGTGGTAGTGATCGGAAAGAATTGTAATAATTCTCGCATTGATAGAAATCCTCCAATCCTATTTAAATAAATCGCCACTGGTTCGAGAAGTGTTAGACTTTAAATACCTTGAATCTACTCTTATAATTAGAGGTACCTCTGTAGTGCAAAATCTTTATACATTAACCGCCAAGTAAGTCTCAAAACAAAAGTCTGTTATACGCAAAGTTTTAGCCATACAGCTGAAAAATATTAACAATGAGAGCGGAAGATATCGAGAAATATAATCACCATTTCTCCCTAAAAGTGGTCAGTCTTACTCACCAAGCGAATAGATTACATCCATCTTTGCTCAGATACTACTTATATTAATAGTATTATCACGAAGCGTCTCCTCCATTGGTTAGGTAACGTTTTCGTCGTCAATTACAGGAAATGACGCATATAACTCCATTATGGATGGCGTCAAAAACGAGGACCCAACCAAGATCCCAACAGATTATTCTACACAAATGCGGCATAACAATATAAAAACTTTAATGAAACTTGAACTACTTTCAGGCATTGCATCGAATCGAGAAGTTTACACAGTTTCTTACCAAGTTGAATCAACAAACCAATAATGGTGCAAATTTCCAATGAATAGAATAATAGGCATCGAGAATTCTTTTGAGTTTATTTATTTCAGACGACGATTGCAAAATTAATTAACTTTAGTCTAATAGTTCACTGACTTCATAAAAAGATTCTTCGTTCATCATTAGCATCATTTTAGAATATAAAACAAACATTATTTTGTCTTCAACAATTTCTATTCACTACATTCTGCAAATTCCAAACTACAACTACATTTGGTACTTCAAAATATTTGCAAAATATTAGATGATGAATATTGCCGACACTAAACTATAATTATCAAAAAAACTACTTTTTTTATTCTCAAATTATAAAATTCTCGAATAATTAGGAAGAAAACTAATAGAACTAAGACTACCAGAAATATTTTATGCAAACCTCGTTAAATTCTAATAAATCTATTAATTTTGCGATGAAATTGAAATTTCTTACTTTCAAAAAAATTTTTTTTTTCATAATTTTTGCAAGATTATTTATTATTTATTGATATCTCTTCAATAAAGCTAATTATACATTTTTACAAATTGAGATTTATTAAAAAAAAAAACTCGTTTATATGAAAATTAAATTTTAATAAGTTTTATTCAAATAAATTAACCTACGAAAAATATTCACAGATTTCAATAAGCAGTTTTTAAATTTTTAAACTAAAAATTCAACGAAAATCACTCATAATAATATTCAAATATATATAAATAATAAATAAATTCTTGCTATTGAATTTAACGAATAAAATTAAGAGAAAGCAGATTTTTAATGCGAAAAATTCACAAATAAATGAATAATAAAATATTTTTAAAATAACTTTATGGCACATTAGCATAGAAAGAATTCATATTTTTGTTCAATTATTATTTTATGAATAATTTCATTAAAAAGCACTTTTTAAGTGAAACATTAGAACATTTTAAAGGCAAATAATAATAACAATAATAATAATCCGACTTTGTTTGCGGATCATATGATGGTTTCTCCTTAATCTCTGATAAATGCAGCAGCCATAAAACATTTTCAATTCTCTTTAGTTCTTATTTTTCTGAAAAGCAGTGAAATCTTTTATCAGTTTGTTAAAAAAATTGTCATCCATAACAAAATTTTTTGCATATTTCTGAATCCATATTTGATCGATCTATTGATCAATATTTTTTAAATGTAAATTAATAATTTTTCGAAATAAAAAAAATCAGAGCCAAAAATGAGAATAACCTATTTTTCCTTTATTTCCTACGATTTTATATTTGAAAAAAAAAGTTTTTAAAGCCGATTTATAGTTGCAATAAGTCTCTATGTATGGCATTCTCAGGTCAAGCTTCGGCCGGAGTAGGCCAGGGTAGATTTAGCTGATTTGAACGAAACAAATATGGTACCTAATAGTCTAATAAGGCTAATAGTAGTTTGAATAGAAATAAGCTGATATAATGAAGAATTATGATAAATCCATTCAGATTACAACACTTAGCTACGAAAAACAACAGCAAGCTGAGAGTCCTTTTTGGCTTCTGCAATTTCTTCCTCACTGAACAGTTCTTTGAACCGTTTAGTATATTCTTCGTAATGATGGCCTTAAAATATCAAATTAATCTGTAGCCAAAATTTTAAAAAACGTGAAATTCTTGATGTGGTTTTAAAAGGAAAAAAAAAGCTTACTATTAGAGGAATTCGCAGTTTTATTTTTACAAGGCGAAAAGCTCGAACGTATTCGCGAAAAAACTGCATACCGAATTTGTCGATTCTGTTGCCAAGCCGCTTCTAATAACTTCAGAGGATTAACCTTATCTATGGATGATGTGCTTTCCAGAAACCTAAAGTAAACAAAATCGTCAAAACAAAAGTGGAAAATTCTTAATATCCATATATCTGCAGTTGGCTCCAAAAAACACGGTCAATGAAAGCGGAAGTCACCAAGAAATTATCTTTGATATTCATTCTATTAATTATTTTTGATACCATTGAATATTTATATTTGAAGCAAATACATACCTTATACATAGCTTGGTGACTATCTGACTTTTTAAGGCTATAAATTTTGGTAAAAAAAATGCTTACGGTTCATGCATTAATTTATCCATAAAAAAATTTGCATTTTTAAATTTCTTAATAAGAAATTTCTTTTAGAAAGAAAAGAAAGGAAAAAAAGAAAACGGTAATTTTAATATAATAATAATGATAATATGATAATGATAATATCACTCAAAATAACGAAATAAAGAAATAAAAACAATATATTCTAATATAAAACAATAATATTTACCTAACAGCTTCAACAACGTGACCTCTAGCAAGGAACACCTCCACAATTTCTTCCGTAGCAGTCCCAAGCCTTACAAGCATATCAAGAGCTAATTGAATCAATGATGCATGCTTTGCTCCATGAGATAATAACTGGAATGCCTAAAATTTCTCAGTCAAATATGTGCGATAAAACAAGTACAAAACAAATTCAGAACAAATTTCTCGGAATAAAACTATAAAAAAATATTTAATAGTGCCAAAATCTTTCGTAAAGTTCAAAAATAAAAAACTCACTGTTTGTTTAGTATCAGTGATCACTCGAAACTGAAGACAGTGCTGCAGACGATGAAATTCTCCCGCAGAAGCCATAGCCGATACAAGGATTTCATTGAGAAAATACGGCTGAAAGTATATTGTGATGACACCGATTTTATATACAAAGAGCTATCAACCACGCAATCCATAATCCACGCAATCTTTTAAAAAATCTTTTAAATCTTTTTTTTAAAAATCTTTTTAAAATAAAGCAATACCAACAGCAAATGAAGAGCCGCATCATTCTCTAATAATAAATCACAGCAGTGAAAAAGATTCTAAAAAGTAACCTGCACTTCGATTTCATATTCCTTCAAAACAAGTAAATAGTGAAGTGCATATTCGACAAGTCGCTTTTTGCTAATTTTTTGCGACTCAATAATCGGCAAAAATATCAAGCTGATAACATCACTTTGTGTAAATAATGAACACTGATATGGAACAGCAATCAAAGAATATTTGGATACAGGGCCTATCCTAAGAAAAGAATTGATAAAAGTATTACAAAAAAATCATTTCTAAGACAATTCTAATTTAGACCAATCACTATGCAAAAAAGCAATATATCTATGATCAGAACATTTTTGATAATATTGAAATAATACCACCTAATTGTATCATTACCAATAACTTTAGCTGATGATGCCTGCGTGCCTTTAGAGAGTGGTTTAACAATCCAGTCAAAAATCTCATGGATCTCCTTTAAACTTAATAGATTTGAAAATAATGATGAACGGAATTCATTAAGAAATAGCGATTTCATTGACGAACGATTGTAAAGAAAGCGTAGAAATTCAACCTGAAATGCAAAAAAACAGATAAAGAAAAAGATTTCAACAGAAAACTGAGTAAAACCGAGCAACAATTTCTACTGATTTAATGATTTGCCTTGTTTTCAGAATTGAAAAATATCCATTTTTGTATATAATAATTCATAAGAATTTATATTCACTATCAAATGACAAATAAAACCCCACTAACCGTAAAAAAGATGACTTAAGAATAGCAAAAGCCCAGCTAAAATTAGCATTTTTATATGGAAATCACAAATTCTTTACAGAAAATTCATGCTCGATTTCACGTGTATTGAATATTAAACCAATAAAAATCAAAATGAACTAACTTTATTAACCAAAACAAATTCTGAAGATTCTGGATGAAGTGTGATCAAAGTGAAAAGACCGATTGTTGCGTCAATTACTATATTCGGATAAAACATAACCCATGACTGACTATATGTTGGAACTTCATATTCGAAGCTTGCAGCAAGTTCATTGCCACATTTAATGGATGCCACTATTACAGGTCGATGAACTACGATTCCCGAATGTGGTTTATTATAACAGCGAATGTCGAATAAAACTGACTGATTAGTTGTCTAAAAATTGATAATGTCAATGGTTTAAAGAACGATGAAATTAATCAGTTAATTCAAATCAGTTTATTCAAATCTAATAAACGTACTGTGGTCAAACAACAATAGATTTAAGAAACAAACTGGTAGATAAATTTCTGGAAAATATTTTCAATCATCAATAAAAAAGATAAAATTACTTGATGATGAACGACTACAATATTGTCAATAATATGGATACCAAATGCACCAGTACGCTCAAGAAGAAGTGTATCTGTGAGAGCTGGTGTTTCCATTCCATTAACACTCAATTTATACATTGCTATATCAGAAGTGCTCGAATCCCGCAAGCTATATCGCAATACCAGTAAATAAAGAGAACCATATCTAAAAAAACAACTAACTGAAAGTAAAAACATGAAGTACCGACATGTTTCACTCGAATGTAAAAGCCTAAAGATCAGAAAATGAAGATTTATTTTTATTTTTCATCTACATAAAAAAAAATGGTGAATGAAATAAAAATACAATGATGCAACAGTGACTTCTCGTTCTAAAAGATTCGCTTTTGCATCAGAAAATCCAAAATCTACTTCAAATTTGGCCAATCGATAAATAGCCCCATTCTGAAAACCCAATTAAAATAAAAATTAAAAAATTAAATTAAATAAAATTAAAAAATTTATTATTACCAAAAATAAATTGTATTAAATATGAGAATTTTGAACTGTCTTAGGCACTTTATTAATATTTTATTAATTTATCATCTATGATACGCGTTAGTTAGCTTTTGCGCTACAGCTAACGGAAAATATATGATAAACAATCTAAAATATGCATATAATATGCATCAGATCGAGCAATTTGGAAATTTCTTACCCTTATAGTTAGAGAAGCCGGCCTAACAAGTAATGGTGAGAGCTATTAGAAGAAATGTTAAATGAGATAGATGTACTAATTTAAAAGCAATAAAAAAAACTTGTGAAATATTCACTTGTATCAAAAATGGGTTCATCAACGAAGCACTAACTCCACTCGAAGCGATAATAAGTTGTGAGTCCGCCTATAACAGAAATAACTAAGAAAACAATGGAAAGCCCTCTAAAAAATTAATTTTCAAGTAAATACTAAGATTCATTATATCTAGAAACATTCCTAATTTAAATCATTTTTAAACTAATTTAACTGACTCGAAAAAAATCGCCAATTCTTCCAAATATATTAATTTTCAAAAAGGAAGTAAAACATTAAAACATTAAAAGTTATTATTATAATGTTATTAGTTAACAGCAAAAGTAACTTTTGCTTTTATAAAGTCCTAATTATAAATAGTATTAAAATAACTAACGTAGTAAATATACCAATACATTGACAAATTATAAACTTTCAATAATTTTAATGATTTTTTTTCCGCGTTCACTTGATATAATTCAAAACCCTGAAAATTAAACAAGAAAAGTTCGCTTAATAAACTTATTTGAATCAATCGCGCAATAAATGGATTAATACAAATTTAGCTCCAAAAATTTCCTAGAATAGATTCTAAAAAGAGAAAAAAATTTCTGAAAGCTAGTTTTAATGAATCTGAAAAAAGCGCAGTAAATGAAAAATAGGCAATTTAATAATGAAAAAAAGTTGATTAATGAAAAAAAAAGAAAATTGATTAAAAAACTGAACTCGGTAGCTATTTTCTCAAACTTTCAAAGTATTAAAAAAAATCCATCATGCAAGTCATATTAAACCTCTTATTATTCTCATTTATCCTTAAATATACCTGATTGGTAACGAAAAGAATCTGGCTGGCAGCAACCCATTCCAAACCAATTATTCGTGCTGATCGCATTTTGATTTGTTGTGTGAAAATTTTATTGTTATCGCCTTTTAAACGAAGAAAATCCTGCAAGAAACATCGAAAAATAATATACATTTGAAGAAAATGCCTAACAGCTAAAAACAATGGATAAAGCAGTGAAATATATAATTCACTATACTGAAGGTTCAAATCTTAACATTACAACAATTTAGTTGGCTTTTCCTGTCTTATTACCTGTAATTGCTTATCCATAAGACTAGGCTCTCTGTACAATTTTGCAATATCAATATTATTTTTGCCTTATTTTCTTATATTATATTCCTTTCTTATAAAGGATTTTTTTCTTTCGATGATACGATAAGCTTTCTTGCTACTATTTTCTTATCTGAAAATATTCCTAAGAAAACCCACTAATTTAATTCCCCAATGATGTGGTTTAAAACCAAAGGAATTTATTAACCTGAAAAATATAAACTTTTATTTTAACCTAACGAAATTAATTTGTACTTACAACAGATGTTTCCGTGTATTGTATACTCGCTATTTGCAAATCTAGTGAAAATTTCATGATCCTAATTCGACCACTATTTTCCATGCTAAAAAAATTCTTTTATATTTGCAGTTTAACTTCAATAAATAATAAATAATTTAATCTTCTATTCGCCAAAAGCATTTCCTATAAAAACATCGCTTCATTCGTTCAGCGATTTTCTTTGCCTTCCGAGTTCAAATGAAAATTACAAACTTAAAGAAACGAAAAAAGAGAGAATAATATTGAGTTATTTTTGATTTTATCTAATTTTATCATTTAATGAATTTATAATTGTGAATAGAATGGCTCGGTGGGTTGTTGCTCAATTGAGAAAGCCAATGCTGAAGTTCTACTCCACGAAGGAGCGAATATGTGCAAAAAGCCAGGCGATGCTGGCGACTCATCTATATTTCTATCGCCAAAGCACTCTCTGGCATATTTGTCTTGGACGACACGTCCGCCAAGCGAGTCTAACCAGTAAAGGTGAGGGGCAGTTTAAAAAAAAAGAAAACCTGAAAGAGATTATATCGTCGGATATTAAGCCTTTTACAGTGATTATCTGATTTCCATTTCCTTTCACTGTACAAATCTAAAATGTTGTAAGCCTTTAAAATAAAATTATTGAAAAATCAAATTTGCAAATATATTTAAGTAAAACTAATTCTGAGGGCTGATTTCGATTTTTCGATTTTCCGCCAAATTCTCAAATCATTTTCCGTCTCACCAAGTAAATTCCTCACAACAGTACATATCTCATCTGAGGAACGGTTTGGCCAACGCGAAGTTCGGACTTCGAATTGAGAAGAGCTGCCAGTCATTTTCGACTGTGTCGGTAATTTTAAAAGGCTGATCCGGACTATCACAATACATTAACACTAAAGAATTGATTATCAATCTTGTCTGCCCACAATAATTTTAAAGTGTTTTAATTCGTTGTCGGCAGCCACAATAATTATTAAAATTGAAAAAAAAAAATTTCCTTTCGATAAAAATTTTTTAATAATAAAATTATTATAAATTAATTAATTAAAAATAATAATTAAATTTTGATAATTTTATAATAAATAATAATAAAGTGATAAGTTATTTCATTCATTTTAATCCAATTAAAATTATTAAAAAACACCTTTTTATTAACATTATCGTAAAAAATATCAGATAATTCACCACTTTTATCAAATTTCCACCATTTTTCACCAATACGAAGCATTCCAACGTTAAAAAAAAAACCCACTGGGCCACAAAAAACAATGTAATAAGCCATAGAATTTTGATTACTATAAAGCAGTTTCGGCTGTGTGAAAAATTTTTTTACTAATTTTTTTTATTTTTCATTTAAATTAATTATATTTCTTATTTCGTTTCAACTGTGGTCCTTTTTTTTTTCTTATAAGATCCAAAATGTATGATTTAGTTCCATTAAGGTTCGCATGAATTAATGAAGTTTTGATTGACGTAGAGAACTATTTTGGCTGTGTTGATGTAGATTGGGCGAAATTCTCTCTTTAAATTTGAATACTATTAGAGACAATGAATTTTAGATATCCATGAATCTAGCAAAGAATCTTTTGGTACCACTTGGAATGGGCTACTAGGTATGGGCTGATCTAATAATAATATAGTTGTAATATTAATATTAATTTTAAGTCGAATGAATTTACCTAAAGAATTTCTTAGAAAATTTTTTTCTACAGTTTTTGTAATCATTGATAAGCGTTTAATTTTTTTCCAAAATAGATTTATTTTTAAATTCGAAATAATTTAATAATTGAATTGATAAAATCAAATCGTAGTTGAGAATTTAAATATAAATCAATAAAAAATATAATAAAATATAAATAAAAATTATATAAATAAATATTGAATGTAAATACTAAGTAAGTATAAGTAAATAAAAATTCTATAAATGTAATCAAAAATTATAAAAATAAATATTGGTGATTTTTTGACACTTTTAGCCGTTTGATTTGACAATATTTAGCTCTCAGTTTATAAGAATGGTATCGTCCTTCTTCATCTTTCTTTTCAAAAAAAATTTTCAGGCGGTGGAATGTCGAATGATAGTAATTGTAATGAAGATCTCAGTGATTTGGTATTTTTTATTTATTTTTTGAACGTTTGAAAGCCATTTGCTATGTTTATATAATTTTTTTTTCTATATTTGATATTTTTTAAATAATATTTATAATATTTAATATTATTATTTAATAATAATAATATTTTTATTCCGGATAAATTTTCTTGAATGCAGAAAAGTTGTTGAAAAATAATTTTATAAAAATATGGTGATTTTTTGAATATTTTAAGGTGCATAGCGAAATTCGTGAAGCTCAAATAGTTTGTGGTAGAACGGTAGATGAAAGAATTGCTCATTTACAAAGGGTTATTCAAATTAAATATTTTTTAATTTTATTCTTTTTTATAAAAAAATTTATTTGATATTATCAGGGTTATCAGTGGGCTATCAGTTATATTAGTGCGAAATATTTTTCAATTCTTTGTATAACGATTTTAAGGCTGAGGAAATGCTTTTACATCGAGATAAAAGCGGATCACTTCTCGATAATTTTTTGGATGAAATGCTTGAATTTGCTTCGCAAAATGAACCAAAGATTCGTTGTTTTATTGCTCAATTTATTGAAAAAGCTTGGTTTAGTTTTTAATCAAATATTTTTTTTTGAAAACATAAGTTGCAATTTATGTCGAACAAATACAGGAAATATTAATTAAAAAGTAATCGAATAAACTGCTGAAACTAAAACCTAATTCCACTTTGTTATAAGAAGCTATTTCAGTTGAGTGTTATTGGATATTGGATATGAACTGTAGAAATTCACTGTTATATTTTGGTATTTATAATTTATTTTAGTAAAAAAGATGCGGATTTGATGATAAAAGCTGGCAATTCGTTGTTATATCTGATAGATGCTGGTGGTATCGGATTTGTTACTGTAGTTAAGAAGGTATCTTAATTTCAAAAAAATGCCATTAAATATGGAATCCTACTGCTTCCTACGGACTCATTTTTTATCTATACTTAAGTTTATGCCAAAAAAGCCATCGTGTTACCCTATTCATCATTTTAGGCAAACCATAAATGCTGATTGTAATAAAAAATGTCGATGAAGTTTGTGCTTAAATATTGGTTTTTAAGGTAATTGGATCGTGCTGCCAGTTGTATCCAATTGTATTAAAATGGGCTGCGAATTCCAAATGTAAAGAAGTAGAAGTGTGCTGGGAATTTTTTTCGATGTTGAAGGGTCGCATTATGCAGCACTTAGATTCTGATAATGAGGGGCAAGTATTTTTTTTTCTTTTGTCACTCATGTCATGTCACATGTCTTACAGTAGTATTAAAAATTATTAAAAAATGGTTTTCAGAGTTCGTAAGCAAACAATGAAGTTTCTTGAAACGGTTATTTTGTCACAGACAGTGCGTACAGAGGTTGGTCATTTTCGTTTTTTGTTCTTTTTGTCATTTATTATGATTTTAATTAATTTATCTATTAATATTCTGTTTAAAATATTAGGAACATGCACTTTTAAAATTTGAGTAAATTGTTTGTAAATTTTTAATAAAGGAAAGTGAAGAAAATCGAGGTGATATTATGTGTTTGAATAAGATACCTCGCGAGCATCGCTTCATCTCTTATCGTAAAATGGAAAATGAAGCATCATTGAATTTCTCGGCTTTGCTTGATCAGATTTCATCCACTCACATATCTTCGCTTAATCTACTTACTGGTATATCATGCATTTGTAATATTGCCAGACTTCGTCCACAGTTCATGCAGCCAGTTATTGGTAACTTTTTTTTTATATTTCAGGAAAATGAATCCATATTTTGTCTAATAGTTTTCCTACAGATTTCAGTTTTGAATTAAATAAGTAATTATTTTTAGTATTTATTTTTATTTGTGTATTTGTTTTATTTGTGTATTTGAATTAGGTTAATCATCCTAATTTTTACGGCATTTTGATTCACCTTGTTGAACTGGTTTCTCAACCAAAATACACTTACACATGTACTGGTTTTAAGCTTTTGATTACTAATTTTTTGATTAGAATATAGAAGAAACTTCAATGAGTGAAACTTTAAGCAAAACATCAAATTTTTGGCATTATTTCTCACCATTCAGTCTTTCTTTCAATCCAAAGTCCTGAGGATAATTTTGTTTTAGGCGCATTGGAATCATTACAAGTCAATCTACCACCAACATTGGCCATGAGTCAAGTCAAAAGCGTCCGAAAAGAATTGAAAATGCATTTGCTGCGAATTCTGAAGCATCCAAGCTGCATTCCTTTCTCTCAGAGGGTTGAAACTCTTCTTAATGATCTTGGAGCTTCGCAATCGGTTTAGACATTTTCTTTCATTATCATCGTTTCTTTCCACATTGTCTCTTTAGTATTTATTCTGAAAAAATTTTCTACTGTGTTTCAAGTTTTTCGTATAATTTTCGTATAATTATTTACTTTTCTGTAATGTGATATTTTTCCAGGAAATTTCTCGGTCTTTGCCAACAACGAATGATGCTGGAAAAAGATCACGCCAATCAGATTCATTGGAGGGATTGGAAAAAAAACGTCCAAAAGTAGTTTTTTGAATTTTTTCTTTGTTTAATATTTTAAAAAATTAAAATGTCACTATCAATATCTATTTTCAAAAACGAATAAGTTTATCCACGCTATTGTTTAGCATAAAGATGTTGTCAATCTATTTTCATGTATGAAAGTTTCAGTTTTCTTATCATTTTATTAATATTTTGTTTCGCTTTAATTCTTTGTTCCTGCTATTATGCAAACTTTTCCTCTTTTTGGTCCTCTAAATGCAAATTATAGATTGATAATGATGATGAAACTACGCGTTTTGTGGATAAGGAAGAAGATGAAGAATATGGTGTAGAAGGAGCTAGACCTAGTATTAGCTCAGTTGGTGCTTCATCTGATACTGCTGTAGATATAACTGCTCAATTTGTTTATGAACGTTTAAGACCACGTGTCGTCACTAATCTTGTTCTGATTTCATTGGTTAGTTTTTCCTTTCTGATTGATCATTGATGGATACTTATATTTTTATCATTTTATTATTTTATTATCTTTATAATGTTATTTTTAGGTAACTCTTCCAGATGAAATGCCAGCTGCTTTTCAGTCATCATTCACTCCTATCGCTGCTGCAGGTACTGAAAGTCAGATTAGACATCTTTCAAGGTTGATAGCAACTCAGTTAACAAGTCTTGGACTTGGTCCTGGTTATGAATTGGTGCAAAATGAGAAACACCAGCAGTCAATCGGTTTTTATTTTTCACGACTTTTTTTACTTTTTAAAATTTAAAATTTACTGTGTTGTCGAAAATGAATTTTTTATTTTTTATGTCGGAATATCTTAATAATTAGTTTCGTTCTAAAATTAGAGAATTTCTTCCTTAATAATATATCTCTTTTAATTTGGGATTTTTTAAACTATGTTTCATCTTATTTTCTCAGCAATTTTTTTTGTTTGGTTCATTTTTACTGCATGTTTATTCAGTCATTTTCATTCGCTATCTTATTATCTCCACAGATTTTTTCACTGTTCATGTGATTTAAATTATTTTAGCCAGACAGATGGCGAGAATGGAAGGAGCAGCTATCCCTCCGACACCACTTAATGAATTTCCATCAAGCTATAAAAAAGATTCATTTTCGCAATTTACTTCTAATGCGGTTCATTTTTATTTTAACTTGAAGCATAATGCGTAATATGATTACGGCCTATATATATATATATACATATTTATTTATTTATTTACATGTATATATTTAGATACATTTAAATATATATATTTTAGTTTGTTTTTCGTAAGAGCAAACCAAAAACACAGTTCGGATTGTTAACAATAACTAAAAGATTGCCTAAAGATGAGGCCGTGAATTTGGTTCAGCTCTTATTTCAACGAATAATTGCAAACGAAAGTTTGTTTTTATATGATTTTTTAATAGTTTATCACATAACTTTTTTTAAGCAATATTCTTATGAAGACAGTTTCATAAACGATTTGAAATTCAACTATTCTTGTTCTTGCAAAATCCGGTTGTGCTATATTTGAAAAAATCTTTTTTTTCACTGCGAATTGACAAAAAAGCAAGAAATATCCCAGTGAAGAGAAATTTTGGTTGAATGTTTGCCACATTCTTCGCAACCTAGAAAAAAATCTATTCTAAAAATCTTATATTGAAAAATAAATAAAATAAATAAATAAATATGACAAGAACAGAGCAATCCTACTTTCTTATCTTCTTAGTTCCGAAGAAAGGTAACATATCGAGGAATCAATGAGGAATCTAGGAAAAGATCTTTGCCAATCTTGCTGAATAGTCATATGGATGGATCAGGGTAGCCGTGTATGACTCAGATTATCGTGGAATGATTATCGTGAAAAATCTGGTCCATGAACAGAAATAAATTTGTTATTAAAAATCCGAGTAGTGTTGGTGATCCACTTGACTTTGGCGAAAATTTTTAGCTGCAGTAACCGGTGGTGGAGCTAGCTAGGTTAGAAATGATGATTGCTAGTCATTTGCTCCTTACTTTAACCAAGCTGGATTCATATCTTGATCTTCTGCCTTCTATTCAATAGAATGGCGCTTTGGACGTTCTGCATTTTCCAGAGAAAATCATTTGGTTTTTTAAAGGATTTTATAGTGCGAAAGTGTTTATATGATGAACGACAAATAATTCGAATAATTGTTGCATGTTGTAATTTTAAAATTTTTATTGAAGTATATTGTAAATTAGAATCTCATCTAGTTACAACCCCTATAATTGTGTTATTTGTCTATTAAATTTGTCTGAATTTGTTAAACATGGACAATGGAAATGAAAGATATCAATTTGCCTTAGGATTATGCTTAAGATACATTCTACGTGCTAGCTAAGCGGATAAAATCTCACACAATTCGTTTTGGCTCGATTTCCAGCTACATTAATAGCATCGTCACCACTCACGCTGAGTTAGATTATGGCTTTAGCATGTCTTAAAAATTATCTCATTATATATTCAGCATCATGATATTGTTGAAAGCGAATCAAATCATGCCCTTGACTGATACGATCAGGAGAAATTTTGAAAACTGGTCGCTCAGGTTGAACTTTGGTTGATATTTTAGCTGAAGCGATGAAAAAAAAAGTGGCTTTTGTTATTTTCGCACCATTGATGAATTGGCAATTAAGGCATCGAAAGATCGAGGGGCTTGGAAATGCCTCATCCGTAGCCAGCGAGGCTAAGTTTAAATCAGTCTAACCAGAAATTATGCGAAGTATTAGAAAAAGGAAAAAATTTTCGGTCGATTTAAATTTGATAGATTCACATAAGTTAGGTTTCCGAATTTTCAGAGAGAGCTATTCAAGGAGGAGCTGGTATTGCTTATCAAAAGTTGCTTGTTCGTTTGGTTACTCGATTCGATAGCGATTCTTGCGGCAGATTGCAAGAACTTTTAGCTGACTTCATTATCCAAGAACAAAAATCGCGGACGGACTTGGCTTTATTATGGATCGCTGAATTATATGCTCAATATCAAGGGTGCAACTTTTTTCGCATTTTTTAAAATTTAGTTATAAATTTCAATTTTATTGATAAAGTTTTGTCTAATATTTATTAATTATTTTATTTATTGTTTTTTTTTTTTTTTTTACAGATTCTCTTTATGTCAAGCTTCATTCATATCAAGTGGAAATTCGAAGAAAGATCTTTTCCAGCGCTTCGATAATGTTCTTTGCAATCTATTAAAGATCCTTTTCAATCGTGGAGAACATAAAGAAACGTAACGTAAAAAAGTTATTATAGGCGTTTTCTTCTTATTTAACTAAATCTTTTTTTTTTGCTGATAGAAAATTACTTTGATTACTAGGATCATATAAGATTTCTGCTAATTTCATAACTTTTTTGTAGCAGGTACACTAAATTTTTATTTCTATGCAAAGGATTCTGTTTGTCATGCCTTCTTATTCCTTAAATTTTTAGTATGTTCCATAAAATTTTGCTTGAAGTACCTTTGCTGACTCCAGAATCTCTCAAATGGCTACGAGAGGCTTGTCTTGATTCGGTTATTCTTTTATTCAGTTTTTTATTAAAAATTTTATTTTATTTCTTTATATTTATTGTCTTCATTATTTTTTATTTAGGTTTTTGGCGGTTTTGGCATTACAACTTTACGCGAATTAGTTATGACTCGATCTCGTCAGCGTATTGAATTATTGAATTTATTGCTTGATCTCTCGTACAGTGAAAAGAACGAAGTTCGACAACAATCTATCGAAACTGCCAAAGAACTTTATCAGATTGATTATATCAAGTTCGTTTATGATTTAGAAGTTCTTAAACCGTATTTAACATATTTTTTAACTATATTTCACCAAAAAATGTGGGAAAATTTTTTCCTCTTTTTTGCTATTTTTTTCTTTCCAAAATTTATAATTAATTGACGTAATTAATTAATTAATTAATTTGTTTCAGAGGCGATGTGCGTGATTACCTAATTCGTTCTTTGAAGCACTGTACTCATTCGAAACCTCCTCCTCAATTTTGTTTTCATCTTCCAGCGGGTGCAGAAAGTAAATGGGATGAAAACACTATACGAACAGCACTAAATTTATTCCTATCTATTGTGCCTCTTGATCACTCACTTATACATCATTTTGCTACTATTTATGGAAAATCTCCAACCGAGGTCAAGAGAGTAAGTGTCTTTCATTTCTCTGGTCTGTTTGGTGCATAAAACTCTTAATCTTCAGTTTAATTATTTTATTCTTGAAAAAGAGTTCATCTGCCCTTGGTGGACAGGTATTCTTTGAAATGTTCCATGATTTTATGGATTTCCATTATCTTTCTAATTCATCGTTTTTTTTTTACTGAACTTTGATGAAAATGGTTTCATTATTTCTTATTTTTATTTTTTTTAGCTTACACTGCGTGCCATCGATAGTGCTATTAAAACAATTGGTGGATCTAGCCCAGATTTACTGAAAATGATCGAAACCTGTCCACTAGGGGCAGAGACTCTGGCTATAAGAATTGTACATCTTCTGACGGAAAGAAGTATAATTTGTATTTTTTGAGTATATTTTTATTGTCTATTTGATGTTAATGTTTATTTACCTTATTATTTGCTGCTTAATGTTCCTTGCGCAATTTTTTTCAAGTGTATACTGAGTTCTTTTATAGATCCTCCAACTTGCGAATTAGTTGAAAGTACCTGTGCCTTGTATGATCAAGGTAGAACTGATATAAGATCTTTGGTTCCTGTATTAAACGGTCTTGATAAGGTATTCGTTGAAAAGTTCCATGATTTTATTGATTTTCATTCATTCATAGCTGATTTTATTTATAAGTTATTCTGTTTAAATTAATCTTTTTGATTTGCTGGGATTTTTCGTAAATTTACGAATATATATTCATATTTTTCTTCTTGACCCTTATTTAAGGCACGAATTTCAAGTCTTCTTCCCAAATTCGTTTTGAACCAGGTGAATCAGAAGTCTCTGCCCGTTGTCTACCATAAATTACTTTTTGAAAGAAGTGAATATTTGAACATTTTCAATCGATTATATGTTGGATAATTTTTATTATCATATCATTAGTTGTTGTTCAAATAAGTACGAAAATATACAAATTACGCAGCTCGTTCTTTACTAGTAATTTAAATTTAAATGAAATTTCTGCAAAATTTATCTTTCTATTCTTTTAGTTAAAAAAATTCCGAAGGAGAGGAAAATGCTGCTTAGTATTTTTCCAGTTTATTGTTCATTTTAATGTTTTTAGATTCCAGAAAATGTTATTTGAGTTATAGATATAAAGACAGGTAAACAAACAATGAGTACGAGTGAACTTCTTGTTGCAATTCATCGTATACCATTGACGAATAAGGAGTCAGTCCAGTTGCTTTTGGAAAGTTAGTTCCTTCTTGTTCAGTCGTTTTGTCATTGATTCTCACTTAACATTCAAAACTTTTTAGGACATATTATTTTGTGTCTATATCTTTGGTATGTATAATTGTTTATTTAAAATAATTCTCGCATTATTTATTAAAAATTTGTTCTTAAGTTCGCAGACATGAAGTAAAGTAGATATTTTCAATTATCATCTTAGTCATTAAATTATTTATTTTAGATATAAATTTGTTGCTATCGCAGTTGGTTGGTCTTAAAGATTCAATTGCTTCGGCCATCGATACTCTCATTGGTGACGAAAATATTTCAAGCGTGCTTTTTCATACAATCATACGAACTTTTCAGTCATATCCGGCACTGGGTGGCTTTATTTCTAACGTACTGCTAAAAATTGCTCAAAAGCGGCCATGGGTCACTGATCGAAGTATTTGGTCTTATTTTGTTGCTTGTGTTATAAGAACAACACCTCACTCCTATCTGGTTTGTCATTTCTTGTATATTCTCTATTTCTGTATATACTAGCGAAAATATTGGCAATAGTCACATATCAGTTAACTTTGTCATTTGACGCTAAATTGTTTGTCAGAATAGGTTTTACTTTGTTAATTTTGGCTTATTAAAAGATAAAAGATCTGTTAATTTAGGCAGTTCTTACGGGTCTTTCATCAGAGGAATTTTGTGAATTAGCTGCTAGCTCAACGAAGCATGGGACCAATATAATAAGTGCTTTACGCTCTTATATACCTACATTATCAGCTCATCAACAGAAGAAAATTGACCGTCGTATTCGGGAAACGATAATGAAAGATAATGATGTGAGTTTTATTTATGCTAATTCCCAAAGTTGTGAATAATGCTATTTTTTATGGCTTATACCATGCTTAATTATCCATTAAATTCTATGATAAATATAGACGATATTTGATTAATAGGTAGCACATAGTCAATAAGACCTTCTAATTTTCTTAATATTCTGATAGAAATTCTAGAATTTTTTGCTCTTTAACGAGATGAGTCAAAATGTTGTGAAGAATCATGGCCGTGAAGTTGAGCCCGTAAGGTTTGCTTAGTCGAAACAACATACCATTCGGCCATCCTGATTATTAATTGTTGGACCACCTAAAAAATGTTCATGTTTGCTTCATGAAAGTTCGTTGAATGCAACTAATGAAATACAATTTTTTCGATCAATGAAAGAATTTTTTAGAAAAATTAGATTTGTCCAAAATCTGTGTAATAACCTTAATTTCTTCAGTTAATATTGTGATTTTGATAAATATATTTTATTCGTATTTTGGCTTTAAAAATCCAATTTCCAGGTGACTGATGATAAAGAAAATAAAGCTTGATCTGGAAAATATTAAATTTCTTGTTTGTTTATAGATGAATTTATATTGGTTAATTTGAATTTTTTATTGAAATAATCTCTAGTATCTTTATTTGTTTAGAAAACAAATAGACAGAAAAGCCATTGCTTGTGATTAATCATGTTAACCAAAAGCAAAAAACTAAAATGAAATAATAATACAGTCTTTCCATTCGTTTTATTAAAGGTACTTGAATAAGCTATCACTTGAAAATTAAAAAATTTTTACATTATTTATGTTATATAATTCAATTTTCATATTCTTAACATTATTTTTTTTATCGTTTTTATATTTATTTCCTTATTTTTGTATGTGATTTTTATAACGCATTAAATTGTTTTTTTTTCTTATATAATTTTCCTTATAATTAACATGATTTGATTTAATGCTGTATTTTCGGCAGGAGTAAACCTGTCTTTCAAAAAATCCGGGTGATGCTGGCGATATACATTGCTATACAAAAACGTGATTTTTCAAGCAAAATTTATCTGATTTATCGTTAAGCGCATAAACACATAAATAAATGGTGAGCTCTCTAAGAAAAAAAAATTTTCACAGTTCGATTTATCGTTATGTAATGTATTGCATTCTTCTTGAATAAAAAAAATTTATTTCAAAAAAATGAGAATAAATATGCATGGTAAATTATAGCGATTAGTATCAATATTTAGAAATTTTTATCAATAGGCAATTTAAAAAGGAAATGAGGGAAAAATTCGATAGTGCTTGATGGTGTACTGTAAACCATATGATCACGCTCAACAGGTTTGGAGCAATCATAGAGATTTTAGCAATTAAAATAGTAATGAATGTTTTTCCCCTGATAACATTCATTATTCATGGTTAGGCTAGCTTGGATGGCTTGTTAGGCCGCAGAAATTTCGAGAGAAATCAATCGGCGATGAGAACAAAGGTGGGCATGTGGAATTTTAAAATTTTTAAGATAAATTTGTTGCTGCCTATGGAGATAAATCAAAACAGCAGTCCACCATTCTAAGCCATTTTAAATCCTCATAGTTAACTCTAATATATTTAGTCTATTCAATTTTTTTTTTGAAAAAACATCTCAATTTAAAGTTTATTTATAAAAAAATATTAAAAAATAAGTTGGAAAGTGTAAAAAAAATAATTACTTATCATTTCTACTAGCTCTGCTGGCTGTTAATTAGAAGAGAGGTTTTTGTTAGGAAATCAAAGGTAAAAGGTCTCCATCACGATCCAGATTTTTTATTGAAAGTTTTGTTGCTGTAAGGGGTTATTCGGGGTATTTGCATTGATAAAATGCGTCCTTTTTGATATACCTTGTCTTATCTCATTTTGAGATCACTATTATTTATTTAAAATTTTGAGTATAGATTAGATTAGGGGATAGAATAGCTCGGTGGGTTGTTGCTCAATTGGGAGCGCCGACGCTGAGGTTTGATTACTTGCAGGAGTAAGCCTGTATAAAAATCCGGCTGATGCTGGCGACTTACCTGTATTTCTATCGCCAAGGGTCTCCTTGGCATATTGCTCAATGTAACAAGCCAGTGGAGCGAGTTTAATCAGTAATGGTGAGGACTCTTAAAAAAAATAAATTAATGTCAGTTCTAAGAAGCTTGCAGCATTATTGTTCAAATTATTCTAAAATTTCATATAAAGATAAATTAATGAATAAAAGTTTAGAAAATTTAGATTCTAAGGAATCTAAAAGCTGATTTAATTATTGTATGAACTTATCAATATTAGTTTTGATAATATAATCAGAGCAAATACCTTAAAATTAAGACACCTTGAAAATTTTAGAAGTGATTTTTTAAGTGTAATGGGAGAGGTGAAGTGTGTAAATAAGTTAAAGTTACCAGTGGTAGCCATTTATGCCGAAAACAAAGGCTTTTAAGGGAAAATTCAACAACCCTTAGGTATATGACGAAATAGTCTAGCGATGAGCGACAGAGACTTAATCTAAACAAATGTCCGCTCGATCAACAGCTATGGTAGGTACCTTAGGTATGATTGGTCAGAGGTCGGTTGGCAACTTATTGTCTTCCACTTGCATTAACCATGTTTCGGACTGAGATAGCAGAATTATATAACAGGATTGATTCTGCAACGAGATGCATGAGAAGTTTCGCTTTCAAGACGATTCTACAGAGGCATCGCTAAACGGAATAAAGCATTTCTGATTGGAACCATCCAATAATTTCATTTATCATTTGGCTAAAATAGATCCAAAATATTTGAAAATTACTTTTAACAAATGATACATCTAGGATGAGCGTTTTACCAGCGTCTGGTGTGTAGGATGAAAAAAGTTTCTTCTTACGCCAACCTTCGCCTCATCTCAGTCATCGATTGTGGTAAAAATTTTATTCTTTTTGACTATCAGAATCAGAAAATGTTCAGAAAAAAAAGTGTTATGCTACATCATCAACATACTGGAGACCGATAATACTCGAGACTGATTTGTACATTTCCTGGAAACTGGTAAGCGATGTCCATAATTCAACGCAAGTAGGTGAACATAAGTAAAAATAAAAAAAGACGAACAAATCCAGATGAATGTGCATTCCTATGTTGTTCAATTTGTCTTAATTTATGTAAAGCATGAGCCATTATTAATCTAACCAAGTACATAACTTGATCACCACCAGGCAAAATAAAATAATCAACAAATTCAGAGATATTTCAACTGAATTTCAGATACAATCTTTCGGATAATACCATGGTCAAATGAAAAAGAAAGTAATCAAATTTAAGTTCTATCTTATAAAAATTGGAATGCGGTATGGCTTCTTAATTGGAGTAAACCTATCATTAAAAGTGGAATACGATGGTGTACTGAAGGCCCAATTGTGGTTCTTTCGAATTTTCTCTTCGTGGAATCTTAGCTTTACCAAAATTTTGAAATTAACAGACTATTTTTGAATAAATAATCACTTAGTGATCATGAAAACCTAAATTTTTGAAAAAGCTTTTTTAGTGAACTGCACTTTAATTTACTGACTCTATGGTGAAAGGATATTCCATTGGTATCCGCATCTTCACAACGAATGATATCCCTAGATCAGTGGTAGCCGAAGTGAGCCTGGCAAAAAAACAGTTTATCAGAGCGACATAAGTTCTCGAATTAAGATAATTTATGATCTAAGACGAACTAATGCCATTCCGCACACGTGGCGTGTCTCGGTCCTAATTGCGTCTGACGTCAGAGCGATTATGGAAAGAGTCAAGTGATAATTTTTACGTTTTGCCGGAAAATCACTTGGAAAACCACTTTCTCCTCTTGTTGGTAGTTATTATACCTGCTCAGCACAAAAATATTAACTATATGATATTACGATGTTTCGTTCGGGCGAAATGGTCGATTGACTGTCATTTCTGAAGATGATCAACTCTAATCACGATCTGTAATCCGTAAAGTCTAATCCGTATGGTCTAAGCTTGCTTTAAACGAAACATCTCGTTCACCAAGTTTTATGCCTTTACTTTATGCGCAGGCAATGATAACAAAGGTATTTTCTACGCGGAACCTCAGCTGATAACAATATCTCTCGCTAAAAGCCGAGCGACATAAAAAAAAATCTCAGTGGTGTCAGTGGCATCAGTGGCACCTTTGGAATGGCAGATAAATATTGCTCCTAATTAAAGCCTCCTCTCCAAAAAACAGCCAAATCCACGCGGTGATATAGCTGCGTAACGGACTAACGGAAACGGTCCATGCTTACTATTCATTCCATCCGAGTTAAATTTGAGAGTTAAATTTTCTGAAAAATTGCGTGAATAAATTTCTAACATTGCTTAGTAAATCAAAATAAAATTATTTTATAAATCTATTCGAATCATTTAAAATTTTATGCATTTTTTATCAAAATTCGTCATCATTATCATTCTTTTCATGTTCCAATAAATGTGTTAATTGATTCTCGTGAAAATCGCGTAAAAATTACTAAATTAATTAATCATTAAATTAGTGAAAAATTTTTATATCCTTAAGATTTTCAATAAATAAAAAAAGCATTTCTGTGGAACATATTCTAAGAATAATTCGTTCGGCATTTTAGATTCACCTCATTTCCTCAATATTCCATTTGTTTTACACATAAATTGTTGAAGAAACTATAACACTGATGTGTAATCGCTTAGAGCATTAAAGCGATAAAATGTTTTAATCGTGTATTTGATGAATTTATCGTTCCATTTCATAATCCACTTATTTTGGTTGGTATCATTTTATCGACAAACAGAAGAATCGTTTTCAAATTTGGTTTTGCTCCTTGTATTTCTTCCCTTTTCCTTTACCCTTTACCCTAAAATACTTATAAATCCCTATGCGCTATTTTCATACTTGTCAAATCCTTTTCATTTATTTCTAGCACTTTCTTGCCACCCACCCCATTTTCGGTTATTTTCCTTAATTATCCACAATCTACAACATATTTTGATAATATGCCAGAGCTAAAGTAAGTTCTGTCGTTCCACGGTTTGCAAAAATTAAGAAATATAATCATATGCAGTGGTGTTAAAAGTTTTCAAGTGGATTCCAGTAGTTTTAAATGGCACAAAAGTCAATTGTCGTTAAGATGTCATTAGTTTAAGGGCAGAAAAGTGCATTGGTACCTTGGAAATGTCAGGGAGGTGTTTTACAGGGCGAGCATCAAATGGTCTTTAATAGGTTTTAACAATGCAGACTTAAAATGTGCAATTCGAACCAGCGCCATGATTTTTTCTGCGCTTATCCAAATCCACATATTCTACTATGACCAAGTATTTCATTCAAGCTTTTTTTTTCTAAGAGCTCTCCTCATTTCTGATTAGACTCACGAAATTTTACTTGAGAAAACAATTGGCGATCAAAACAAGTCGCCAGAACCATTCGGATTTTCGAATAACATTCCTACCCGAAATAGAACCAAGCCGTCGCCTCTCCGAAACAGGAGCAACAGCGCATTGAGCCATACAACCTCTCATTATTCAATTTATTTATTTTAAATGAAAAATTGCTATTTTCTTTCTTTTTTTTCTATTGTATCTTAATATTCTTTTCCACGAATTTTTGTGAATTATTTCATTGTTCTATTTTTGTTCTTTTTTTTTTAAATAAATAAAACAAAATAAATTCAATATTAATATTAATTCAAAATTTCATATTCACTTTTTACTTTTTTGTATTTGCAAATAATAAAAGATCGCTCAATTTCAGAAATAATCGCGCGTCGTTCTATGAGAGTTAGGAAAATGAATTATGCCACAGATTAAATAGCATATCAAAATTTATCGAATATGAGAATTTTGAAATCTTTGAAGTCGATTGGAAAACTTAGCGAAATTATGAATTAACATAGCTAATAATTGGCACAAAGTACAAATAATTTATTTGACAAGTTAAGCATATTAGAGTTTTTCCTTTCCTAGTTTTTTCCTTTCTTTTTCCAAGAAATTTCTAGTTTTTTAGGTAGATTTACTGGCTAATAGGATGAGTGATTTTCAAGACTTCCGATTCGACGCGCTATTTAAAATAAACTTATCACTAAGATGATAATAAATTGTTGTATTTTGATTTATATATTTATATATTTGATGGTTCTAACTGGCTAAGAAGATTTCTTTTTAAGTATTTTTGTTTTTGAAAGATCGCATTCGCCTAACATTTTTAAAAATCTAAAATGAATCGAAGACGATTAATTTCTTCGAAGAATAAAGGCTTTATCTATAATAAAGGCTTTAACTGGCTAAATTTAGAAGCTAAGGTAATCAAATATTTCGTTGCTTACTTCCGAAATCAGACAGATATTCACAGTTTTTTCCTCCTTACAATTTAGCAAAATCCTCAACCTGCAAAATTTTCATTGAAAATTTCATTATTCCTTATTTTTGTTGAAACAAAAAATTTTGAAAAAATAATTTGTTGGCTTCCTAATCGCTTTTTTTTTTAAATAAGTATAAAATGAATATATTTAATTTAATGATATGAAACAAATATTTAATGGAAGTGGAATAAATAGTTCAAATTTCGACTTAACTTAGAACTTTACCAGATAAACTTGGATCATTAGATAAATAAAATAAATAGAAAATGAATAAATGTATTTAATTTATTAATGAAAAGATTTGTCTAATGATGAATAAAGCCGACGGAATTTATTGCTGCAGAACAGTTGCAGTTGGGCGAATAGACGTGTATTGGTCATAGTGTAAATAAATTTGATGCCTGATATTTAACACTGATAAAATGGAGGAAATGGAGCATTTTAGTTAGATCAATTAAATGGCAAAATATCTAATGGCTCGCATAAAAATTTTCACGAATTTTCATAAAGCCTCATTATAATTTTTTATCGTTGTTTGTTGAGAAAAATTTTGACCATTTGTTTATTATTCAGTAAAAAATCAACTTATTGAGACAATTTATGAAAATTACTAAATCTAAATTGTTTAATAATTATTAAATAATAAGTTGATTGGTACTTGGCTATTGAAAAATTTAATTAGTGAAGTAAATTCATTGCCGATTTCTGAGAATTTATAAATAAGGTGAAACTTAATCTTTTTCTTTATTTTTAATTTTTGATTTGAATTTTTGAATAAATTTTTCATCACAGATGGAAATCTCCTATTTTTCAAATTATAAAAAAAGAATTAATTGGCTGAAAATAAAAATATTCACAACATATATAAATTCTTTAAAATTGCGGTGAAAAAGTCAACTTGCGGTCAAAAAAAGTGATTTTAAATAGTATTAAGAAAAAGAATCGTCGCTGCCCACCTCTCTTGAATGTTGGTTAATGCAACGCCCTAGGGAATATCATTCTTGGTCTTTATGAGCCTATTGTTAGTAGATCTATGTTTGGCCCTTCTCATCTATTCTATTCCATACTAATTTTTTGATATAATCAAAAATTTATTATCATTTCGATGCGTTATGTGAATATTTCTTCTTTAAACTCCAATTTTAAATCAATTTGAAATTATTTATGATAATATAAATAATAATATTTTATTAAATATTAAATAAAATATAATTCAAAATTTATTAAAATAATTCTAATTTCTAAATATATTAATAAAATTAATTTTTCTAATCATTTCATCATGAATTACTTTTTTCTATTATTTATTAAAAATTCATCAAAAGTATTCGATAAGAATGAAAAATATTTTTAAAAAATCAAAATTTATTAAAAAAATTATTTCATTTTATAGAAATCTTTCTTCTTACTTCCGAATAATTCACATAAAAATTTTATGGTTAACAATTAACAATTAAATTGAATTATTTTACTTATATGCTTCCATTCAGCAGGTAGTTTCTCGAGGACTATCGGTATTATAAAGCAGTCGGCTATTACGCCAAATTCGACCAAACATATCTGAGAAAAATGAAATTTGAAATATTCATATGCTTGGCTGCAATATTCAGTACTACAATAAGTTGTCCATCGAAATGCACTTGTAATTATGCTAAAACTGATTGTAGAGGAAAGGCATTGCGCAGTATACCGGAAAATATTCCACATGATACAATTTTTCTCGACTTAAGAAATAATCGAATCGTGAAAATCTCAAAAAAATCTTTTGCTGGCCTTCAGAATTTACGAATTTTGCATGTCTCTCACAATCATATACGATCGATTGATCATGTAATAAAATTTTTTTAAACTTTATATAATTTGCTTAACATAATCTGCATTAGATCCATAAGAAAATAACTAAGCAAGCGATTAGTGATCATCTCATTTCTCGTAGCGCGCCTTCTACTGGTTATATAGAAGTACAAGTCGATCACCAGAGTTATTCGAATTTTTCGATAGCGCGTTTACTCTTTACTCGGATGCACGATCTGAATCCTAATGTTTAAGGCGATAATCTAGGAGCCATTTAGTTATGCGGCGTTTGAAAATCTGAAAGGTGATGAAAAGCAAAATTCTTGAACTCTAAACTTATAAAAGATGGAAAAACATAACAGCGCAAAAAGATAAAGTCAAATAAGCATCGAATCGAGTATTCCAACCTTAAAGGAAATCACTGTAGACAGTTTCGCATTCGAGGTGAAACTTCGAAATAAGCCATCAAATTATTTTAAAATTACTTTAAGCTTCGGCGCAATGGATTCATTCATTTGTACCTTAATAAATCAGATCGAAATCCAAGGCTAAACCCTAAGCCAACAATATAATTCTGAGTCTAAGTTCAAAATTGAAAATTTGTTATAAACTATCTTTCGAAATTTCGAGTGCACAAGTAATGGTAAAAAATGTTGAAAAATGAACCACCCGGTAGAAATTTTCATTAGTGCCTGAAGCAAAGCAAAGCATATAGATGATTTTCAATATGATGGTGATGTTTTTAAGGACGCATTTGATGCTATTCCATCAATTCGACGTTTTTTTGCTGCTGGCAATCGTTTACAGATTCTTCGAAGTTTTTCATCAAATCCTTTAAAAGAATTGAATGAAGCTGATTTTCATTCGAATCATATTCGACTAATCCATTCCACTTTCATAGATAATTTGCCAAATGTTGAATCAATTAATTTGGCTCAAAATCATCTACAAAATTTACCCGATAATTTATTTCAATCATCCATTCACTCAATAAACATGGAAGGAAATCCAGTAAATTGCGACTGCAGGTAAGTTGAGTTGCATGAGAATGCATAATCTTTGCCAATTATCAATTATCAATTTTTGCTAGTCGTTAGTAAAGGTTATTAAGCGAAATAATGAACGGGGTGTCTTTAAATTTTTTGTTAAAATCATTCTCCATTCATTTCTTAGCGAGAAATCCAATAAATATCGAAACTTGTGTGCATTTACAAAACTGTACAATTGTCATTAAGATGGAAAGATTATTTAAAAGAATTGGAAGAACGTTTCGAAGGCTCACCTCGTTGTTTTTATCCACCCGAGCTGCAGCATAAACATCTCAAAAAATTGAACGAAAACGATTTTAAGTGTTTACCGGTAAAAATATCGCAAAAAAATAATCAAACAGTACTAGGATGCAGCGAACATTATGGATCATTTATATGGCTCTATCAGTAAGTTTTTTTGCTTATATTTTGCTTTTAATTTTTTAGTAATGAAGAAATTGCCAATGGCGATATTTTTTTAAAAAGAATCTTCGCCATTACTGGTTAAACTCGCTCTTTTAGGCTTATCGCACTGGACAAATATGCCAGGGAGTCGCCTAGCGATAGAAGTATAGGTGAGTCGCCATCATCACCCGGATTTTTGGACAGATTTATTGCCGCATAGAATAAAACCTCAGCATCAGCGCTCCGAATTGAGCAATAACCCACTGAGCCATTTACCCGATATTTACGATTTAAGCGATTATATGCTTATGGAATTTGCTATGATCTACTTATCAGATCCAATCTTTAAAAATTTTATTCTTCAAACTAAGGAAAATTTTTTTCTCACATTGATACCTAATAGAATAAATAAAATTTATCAATTTCTTAGAATTTTATCTCCAAAATTTTACATATTGTATTATGCAAATTAATGCGTTGGCTATGCCTGAAATGTTAAAGAAAATTTCCTATACCCTTTCGATGTTTTTCGATATTTATCGAGTTTTTCTGTGTTGAAAAAGTTAATTAAATTAGTTAAAGCGATTCTTTTATTATTATTCTTATTATTTAAAATTTATAGAAAATTTTAAAATAAACAAAAACCTCGCTTGTCCATTGATCTCTAATCGATCGTTTAAGTTCCATCGGCCCTAAAGCGATTGTGCCGATCCCACTACCTTGATTTCTACCTTGAATTTCGGCCTCAAGCGAATTGCAAGCATTAGCATCTTCAACCACCTCTATTTTGGCTATTTAGTTATTTTAATTGTATAATGATTCAGATTTCTATGGCTTAATGAAAAAAAAAAAATCTATTCATAGAATTAATTCTTCTAAATTTCTGGCAATTTGTTTATGGAATTATGGAGCGAGTATTATTTTTTAGAAATAAAGAAATTGTTAATGGCGATGAAAATTTTAAAATTAATTTGAATGGTGATCTTATCATTATCAATAACTCAATAAGTGTTAACTATATTCAATGTACAAAATTTTGGTACACAAGGTTTATTTTATTTGAATTTAATTGTGAGAAGACAACATTGTTTAATATTTCTTATCAGAAAAATAAATAAACTATTATTAGCTAATTGCATTTTGCGCATACTAACATTATTATTATTATTATTATTATTATTATTATTATTATTATTATTATTATTATCATTATTATTATTATCATCATTATTATTATTATTATCATTTATTATTATTATTAATTATTATTATTATCGTTATTATTGAGGAGCCATTATTTTAAAAAAAACTAAAGTAAAAGTTCAGAAAGCAGCGACAAGCCATCGATATATCAGCAGCACCTCGATTTACTTTGAAACCAAAGAGTCGATTATATCGCGAGGGAGTTATTGCACGATTAGATTGCGAGGTTAAAGCAAAATTTTTCTACTTTCTGATACTATTGCTACATTTAGAATAATACTGAATAATATGATAATTAATGAGCAATTTTAAATGAATAAATATTATATTTTCTGATCGTTTAATTTTATAACTCCATTTTTCTTGTCAGTTTTAGGTGGTCGGAAATCCACAACCTAAAATACAATGGTTTCGTCATGGAAAAGCATTGAAACGATCGCGCAAATACGAAATGAATTATGAACAAACGAATATAAACATTAATCCTTTTTTAGAATCCGATGTTGGAATGTAAGTTAATCAGAATATTTTAAAATAAATAGAATAAACCAAATACTTCTATAAAAATTTATAAAATCGATCACTGGCAATGCTTCAAAATCGTCCACATTGAACCAATCTAAAAGTATCGAAATGATTTGTGGGAATGAATTAAAATCGTTGATACTAATAATAAAATACTGAAAGGCCAATTTCAGTTATACTTGTGTTGCTACGAATAACCATGGGCGCATCGAAGCATCAGCTTCTCTAAAAATGGTCTCAAGCACACCACCAGAAATTTTCGAAGGTCCAATGGATCAAATTGTGTCTGCTGGTTCAACGGTTCGATTTAGGTGCTTAGCGAAAGCCATACCTCGCGCATCAATCACTTGGTTTTTTGATGGAAGCGAAGTACCCACTCTTCGAGGCCATTATTATGTATGCCTTTAGCTTTAATCTGTATATTTTTTTAATTTATAAGCCAATTTTTAGGAAAAAATACTTATTAGATAGATTTAATGCAAACAATTTAAGATTTCAAACGATCAAACAGAATTGATAATTTCCGGCGTTACGAAAAAAGATGATGGAACAATCTCTTGTATGGCTGGCAATACTGTTGGTTCTATGACAGCAAACGCTCGATTAGTAGTTTCTGGTGGTAATAGAAATTATATCCAAAATTTTAATATTCATCCCCTTTGGATCACTGACGACGTGGTTCGAAATGCCGCTCGAGAAGCTTCTGAAAATGTCGAGAAGTTAGTTTTATTTTGGTGAGTTAGGGATAGCCGAAAGCTGATATAGAAATCAAATCACTGCCAGGCCAATTCTAGTACCTTATCAAACTCTACCATTTTAATATAAATAATAAAAATGAAAAAAAAAAAACATAGCTGCAATTTATATGTATTATTTCAGATGAATCGCAAAACATAAGAAAAACCATGTTTTTGCCAGAAAAAGTTGGAAATCTTGAAAATATGAAAATTATTTTGCTTTAGAGCTATTCAAGCAACCCAAAGAGGATTAAATGTAACTTCACCAGCCGATCTTATGAGATGGTTTCATTTCTCTGTTCCACAAACGAGTGAGTTAAGCCGAGCGCGAGAAATATATGAAGAAAGCATAAGGCTAATACAAAAGCACATTGAAAAAGGTAAATGTTAGCACTTTTATTTTTGGTACCAAACTTATTCTTAACAGAAGAATATATTGTTCTTTATCGACAGATCAACGGGACGGATAATTTCTGTCACAGCAAAATTTTTCAATCCTAATTTATAATGATTCATTCATGTTATTCATTTTGGTATCATGCAAATTGTGTAGTTTCATATGCTAAAGTAAATTGTCTCGAATTAATTTTGCCATTCATGCATCTGTAAACTTAGAATCTTCGAGTGTTATTCAGCAGTTTTACAGTTTTACGTAACAGGTTTAATTTTATCGCCAAATGATCTCTCTCCAAATGTGTCGTTCGATTCCGTTTTGACAAAATCACACATGGATATACTAATGCAATTAGCTGGTTGTTCTGGTACTCAAAACAAAGATCCTTGTAATGATCAGTGCTATCATTCCAGATATCGGTGATTTTTTATCTCTTTAAAATGTTATGCAATGGATCAAATGCTAGATAAGCAATGATACTGACAGTCCATCCATTATTTGTTATAAACATTCCATCTATTTAATTATTATTTTAATTATGAATTTCAACGGCATTATTTAAATTTTGCAAATACTTGAATTTTTAACATAAATAATTTCAAACACAACACCAATTTCTATTAGAACTTTCGATGGACAATGCAATAACCAAGTGCATACAATGTGGGGAGCAAGTTATATGCGCTTTCGACGACTACTGCAGCCGATTTATGAAAATGGCTTCAATATTCCTGTTGGATGGAATCCAACTAAACTTTATTATGGATTTCGCAAGCCGAATCCAAGAATGGTATCCAAGGAAGTAAGTCGCAAATTTCTTTCTTGAATGAAAAAAAATTAAAATTGATTTTAATTGAAATTGTTATAAAATTAGAATTCAACAAAAACTTATCAACTGTCTCAACAACAAAATGAGACATCCATCTTGCCGTAATTATTTATTATAATAATTATTTAAAATATTATATAATCTACAGGAGTAGGGATAGAATGGCTCAGTGGGTTGTTGCTCAGCTTGGGGCGAGGTTCTATTCCCCACAGGAGCAAATCTGTCCAAAAATTTATGTGAAACTGGCAAGTAACCTTTACTTCCACTGCCAAAAGACTCCCTGGCACATTTGTTCAGTGCGACAAGCCAGTGGAACGAGTTTAACCAGTAATGGGGAGGACTTTTTAAAAAAAAATCTACAGGAATAGTAAAACAGTGGTGGGCAAAAGTCGTGTTGGCTCCTTTCGCCATAATTTTTATCAAACATTTAAATCATCAATTTATTAGACCTCACTTTGTAAAATTTATTTCATATTAATTTGGAGTTAAAAGAAATTTTGATATTGTAAATAATCGAAATTTTGTTTAATATAATCCGAGTGTTTTTAAAATTTTATCTCATTGACCAAAACGCACTGAATGATGATAATACAAACTTTAAAAAAGCCCTCAAATATGTGCTAAATGGTGCAGCTGTGGTCCACTCATTCATTCTTTGGCTCGCTCATCTATCACAACTCTTATTAAAAAAAAAAGAAAAAAAAAAACAAAATTCATGGTTATTAATTATTTAAATAAAATAATACTTGTTTTATCTCATTAAATACTCACTACTCACAACCATTGAATGAAAATAATTTAAACTTTTTAAGAACCTTCACCACTGGTGCTTCTAATACCTAAATCCTTTGACGAAAGGATTTTGTCCTAATAGACAATAGTGGCAACCAAACCAGAGAATCATTTGTAGGTAGAAGCACAAGTGGACTCCTAGCATCATTTGTCGCAAAAGGCGAACACACAAAAAAAACATAAATTAAATTTCTCAAATGCTGTGAATCAGCATATTAATTTTAAATTCCATTTCCTTTTTTATGCCCAAAAAAAGCCCTAATTTATCATACCGAATCTCACATCTATTTAAACATTTACACATCTTCTAACAACTCTCACCATTACTGGTTAGGCTAGCTCCAACGGCTACAAGGGTAAGACGCTTCCAAGCGGCGCGGTCTGATGCCATCGTCGACAGTAATAGAAGCCATTCCTTTTTCCATCGTGTAAATCCATATATCGCTAGTCCCCTTATACGTTCAAAATCTTTCCTGACCGTATCAGCCCAGGTCTTGATTGGCCCACTTCGCTTTTGACGCTATCCATCACACGGTTTAGCAAGTAACGAAATATGCGACAACTCTTGTGGTGGACGACGGAGAACGTGCCCCCCTAATCAGCGAAGGTGACGCTCTGTGATAACATTTATTTATGCAAGTGATATTTGAACGAAGATGAATACGATCAAGTGATATTTTATCCGCTCGACGAACTCTTATACAAGAATGGTCAAAGGCAGATAAGTTATAATCCTCCACTCTCATTTCTCAGAACCATATAGCAAGATCAAACGAATTACGGTTATATAGATGCGGACTTTTGTTTCAATGCTAATTTCACTACGGCTCCATAAAAGTTTCATCAACCGGAAGAATGCATTTTTAGCTGCGGTGATCCGGACTGGCCATTTGGTATTAGAGTAGACCCAAGGTATTTAAAATACCTTATCACATCGCATCTAAGAAGCTATCTACTTGGGTACAAACGGCAAGCCGTTAGACCAACAATTGTGAATCGCATCCCTTCCGTTTCAAGTCCTTTTCGCTTGTCCAACCTCATATACTAAACCTTGCCAATATCTTCCCAATAGCCCCAGTCTTCCACAACATCGTCTGGATTTTAAATGTGTTTACTCTAAAAAACGTCAAAGGCGTAACCGTGATTCCTGAAATGATAAGTAATTAGTCTAATCAGTACATATTTGGACATGCTTCTGAGGCTTTGAGAATATCAATTGGCGATAGATTATCACATACTTACAAATTGCTTTGTATGCTTGAGGCATTTACAAAAATTTTTTCGAAAATATCATAATCATTCGCTAAAATCAAAACTTATATCCACCAATGCAAACATTTTTTAATTCAATTATTAAGAAAGGACGACCAACAGAATATCAATTTTTAAAAATATTAATAAAATATTAATACTCACAAACATCATTTTTACATATATATTAGCTGTTCAGGTGATAAGAACTCATTCAATCACTCCTCATGAAAAATATTCAGCAATGTTAATGCAATGGGGACAGTTCATAGGTATTTTGTTTGTTAAATTGGAGATTTTTTTTTTATGAACCGATGTTAAATGATTAATGAGCTGATGCAAGTTTATCAATTCATCATTTGGATAAGTTTTAACGATTTTCAATTTTTTAGATCATGATTTGGACTTTACAGCTACAGCAATAAGTCGTCACGCCTATGCAACTGGAGCTATATGCAATAATACATGTGAAAACATCGATCCATGTTTCAATATTCCTCTTAACAGTGATGATTTGAAATTACTAAAAAGGTTATATGGATGATGAAACCACCATTTATAAGTTTATTAATTTTTAATTTTTAAAGAACAGAAATTGAATAAATTTTTCAGAATTTTATCAATTTTACAGAAGTGGAATATTTTTTTAAACGAAGCTCTGAGTTCTGGACTGGAATTTTGTCTTTTGACAGAATCTGTCTGTCATTGAATCTGTCATTGAAAGTGAAATGTAGACTATGCTTACGATCCTTCACTGCTTCTAATAACTAAGGATCCTTTGGCGAAGAGAATCATTGGTGGGTGGAAATACAAGTGGATTCCTAGATCCATCATCTAGATTTTTTAAATGATGTGTTTACTCTTATAAGAGCCAAAGGGCGAATCATGCTTTCTGAAATGATAGCCTAATAATTGCGTACTTAGTCATACTTCTAAGGGCTTGAGAATATCTGTTGTTTGATTTGCTCTTTTCGTGTAAATTTTGCCGATTAACTTACTTATCGATAAGAAATCAGTCGAAAATCGATATCTGTCGATTATCCTTTATCCTTTGATTATTACTATTCAAAAAAAGAAATTTACTACATCTTTTTTATTACATTGTCCTTTACTTTTATTGCTTAATCTGTAAATTTAAGACAGCGCCACGCTTGCATTGAGTTCGAAAGGTCAAGTGCAGTTTGTGGTTCTGGCGAAACATCGCTAATATATCGAAATGTGGCTTATAGAGAGCAAATGAATATAGTTAGTTTAAATTTGAATAGGTTATTTAAATACAGGAATTAGAAAAAAAATTTACTACATCTTTTTTATTATTACAAATATTCTCTTTATTATTGTTATTGTTATTAGGATTTTCAGTTCCTTTTGTGAAGGCCAGAATTCCCCAGGATGCACAACATAGCTGACATATATATATATATATATATATTTAGAATTTAACATTATTAGTTAGGAAATATGGAGTTAAGGTTTTTGTTTGGTTGGGTTATTAGCAGTTTGAAATGATAAAAATAATTTGATATTATTCCTGATAAATTTATAAAAATTTTTATAGATTTGTCTCTCAAGAAGAAGAGAAATTTAAAAAATGAAAAATTTTTAAAAATCCTATCTTTGCGGACTTATTTCAAAAATTTAGATAACGAGTTATATAGATGGTTCTGGAATTTATGGTAGTAGAGATGAAGACGCCTATGAATTGCGCGAGTTACATCCAGACAGAGGACTTTTGCGGTTTCTATCTCAACTTTATTCTTTTTCATATCTACGAAAAATCAAATCAATCAGTCTTACGTATAGACCAGAAATGCGTCGAAATTCGATCCCTGTCGAATTACATTTATCCTTTAGCCATTACTAAGTTGTGCTGTGCTCTTAAAAAATCGTTACTATGCAGTAGAATGCTCGGATGGAATAGTGAAATCCGACTTGTGCTGAGCACCAAACTACACTTCTCTCTCTAAATGAGTGAAGAGATCGTATCTTCTTAGCAGCTATTGGAGCAAACTAAATTAAATATATTGAGCGCCATTGGAAGAGGAAAAAATTGGCAATTGGCAAGATTTTCAAATGAAAGTATATATATATATATATTTTATATAAGCTCCAATCTTTTTTAAAGCAAATTATTCTAATATTTTAATATTTTGATTAAATTGTTCCTTCAAAAATTTTTTATTATCATAATAGATATGATACGACGTCAGAAGTTGGAAAACCTTATTTACCGTTCGAGAGAGATTCACCAATGGATTGTAGAAGAAACCATTCCATTAACAACCCAATTCGATGCTTTTTAGCTGGAGATTATCGCGCTAATGAGCAGGTTTAAACTAATAAAACTATGATAGCGTGCTGTTATTGAGTATGTGCAGTAAATATTGTCTTCTACCTTGCAAATCTGTTCACTCGAATCTGGAATTTTCCCTAATTCTGAAGTGCTGTGCAACTCTACTCTAATTCGTTAGCAATGTCCTTCAAGATCCAGTATAATCCTTCAAATCTTTCATATTTCTCTTTACTTTCGTGATGATTTCTTTGGAATCTACTAAATCGCCTTAGCTTCCTCGAAGCCGCACTGCTCTTTTATAATGCTTCCCTCGTTGTACTTTTTTGTTGTGGTCCATTGATTGAACACTGATCAATTAAAAGCCAAAGATATCGCCTTTGAAATCTCTATTTACCGTGTTGAAACCCTTTGATATCTCTCTGAAAATCGCTCATGAAACTCTGTAGAAAACCTTACAAATATCTCTACAAATATCCTTTTAGTATAATCCAAAATTCCATTATATCCTTTTATCATAATTTGTTAATGGCATTATTTACCTCTTTTTTTGCAGCCTTATTTCGGAAACAGTATTAAGTAAATAAGAATAAGCAGTATTAATAAAAAGATTCAGTTATAGCTCTCTAATAACTTCTATTTCGCTCCCTCATCACTTAGCGGTGTACTTTCGTTGCAGCCGAAGTTTCAAATGGAACAAAGCTGGGATTAGCGAATGGGCGATATGAATTATAGGGATTTAGCGCGAACTTCTAAGAACTTCTAAGGTTAAAAAAATAGCAGATGGTATTTCAATTTTTTGAAAGTAGTTTTTGCTTGCAAAATGCATTTTTCTATCAATTAATGTGTTGTCGACCAAATGTAGAAATCATTTTAACTGCTTTAGGTTGGTTTAACTGCCATGCATACGATATTTCTGCGAGAGCACAATCGACTGGCGACACAACTGAATCTAGTAAATCCACGATTAGACGGCGAGACTATTTATCAAGAGGCTCGAAAAATTGTAGGAGCTATGCTTCAGCACATCACATTTAATGACTGGCTTCCTAAAGTTCTTGGCAAAGTTAGTTGAACATAATAAATTTATGATTTTCATATGTTTAGAACCACACAAAAAACTGCACTTTCATCATTTTTTAAATGTGAAAGATTACAGGCACAATTTGATCAGCTCATCGGATCATATCACAGTTATAAGTTAGACGTTGATGCTAGCATATCCAACGCTTTTGCGACGGCTGCTTTTCGATTTGGACATACCCTTATCAATCTGGTACTTAATAGGTATGGTACCATTCCTTATAATTTTATTTTTTAGACGATTTATTGGCTACAACTTGAACAGAATCAAGTAATTTGACCGAGTGATTTATTATTAACTCAAGCAATGTGATTCGGCTAATGGCCTCTTTTCTTTCCCTAGTAAATTTGTAATTGAAAAATTCAAACAGGAAAAAACTGAATTTTCTTCGATGCATTCATTTGATGATTAATTGATAAATTTTTGTACTATTATCAGAGAAAAGCGAAGACAATGAAAATTATCACATATGTAGATAAATGAAAAATTATTCCTAAAATTTATGCAAACATTTATTTAAAAAAAAATTTTTTTTGAAAAGTTTTGCGCTTTTTTATCTCTTATAAAATGATTGCCATGAAAAATAAATCTTTCTTTTTTCTAGCGATTTATTTAGATTAGACGGCGAATTCAAACCGATTGCAAGTGGACATTTGCCACTAAAGGATGCATTTTTCGCGCCAGAGATTATCTTCACCGGTGAGGGTATTGACCCATTAATTCGTGGCCTTTTTGCTTCACCTATGAAAAAGCCGTTACCTGAGGAGCTTCTCAACATGCACCTTACTGAGGATCTTTTTAATCGAGCGCATGAAGTATTAAATTCAATCTCTTCAAATCGAGCATTCCTTTCCAAAAAGAGCATAAAAAAGATATTTTGCTTATGGTGGCTTTAAGAATTGTTTTAAGAATTGTAATGAGGACTATTAGTAGATTGTAAAAAGATAGGATCCTTTGAACTGCCGGGCCAATAAATTAATTTTAATCCTATTATCCAATTTTAGTTTGTAGATATTCTTAGATTTCTCTCTCTTCATTATTTTCAGGTTGCTTTGGATTTGGGAGCTATAAACATTCAAAGAGGACGTGATCACGGACTACCTGGGTGAAATCCTTCATTTTTTACTATATTCCTTGTTTCTATTTATTTTGCTTCCTTCTCATGTTCATTTTCAGAATCAGAATATTATATAGTTAAATTTTCTACAGAAATTTTAGATAAGCTTATAAATATTATCAATATTATGAAAAATTTGCCATCATCATATTTATTTATTTTTGCTATATGTTTATTGAATAGATTTTCAATTTAAAGATATACGCAATATCGTAAATGGTGCAATTTATCGGCAGTTGAAGAATGGAGTGATTTGTGGGGAATTATGCCGCCAGACGTTATTAAAAAATTGACAGAGTTATATGGCCATCCTGGTAGCATTTCTTACAAAATTTTATCAAAATATCAAAATTTTAGGAATAACCTCCTTTGTTATTCCTAAAATATATCGCCAATCAGAAATGGTAAACGCTAAATATTTACTTAGAATCTCCTATTGTATGATAAAGATTAGATGAGCTGAAGAATGAGTTCTCAATCAATTGCAATAAATTGTTATCAGAATATGATAAGACATTGCGTTTATCAATGTTTCAGGCAATATCGATCTATTCGCTGGTGGTATAACTGAAATTAGAAAAGATGGTTCATTAATCGGACCTACTTTCTCTTGCATTATTGCTGAACAATTTCGAAGAGTACGTGATGGCGATAGATTTTGGTTCGATTTGCAAACCCATTAAAAAAAATCACCTATCACCTATCTGTTCGTTATTCATAACATAATTTCTAGCATAATCACATTTATTAATTTTAAAAGGGAAATAATTCAAAATAATCAAAATCACAAAAAAAAAAAAAAATTTTGCGAAAACCGCTATTTTTTAAAATAAATTTTCAATATTCGTTGATAACTTATCCATCAGCCTTATTCAAAAGAATTATTTTAGGTATGAAAAAAATGATGTTTTTACAGAAGCGCAACTTAATGAAATTAAGAAAGTAACTCTAGCTCGTATAATTTGTGATAACGCTGATAAGATAGATCGAATACAGGTGTCAGTTATTTTACAAATGTTTTATACTCAATAACATAAAATCTCCTTTTGACTTAGGTAAAAAAGTGAAAATTAAAGAATTTTTTTTTTTCATATAAATATGATTGCAGCAAGATGTTTTTATTTATCCTGGTCAGAATAAGGAATTTTACAATCAATGCTCACGACTCCCTCATCTTGATATAAGGCCCTGGCAATCTTGCTGTGAAGCTTCTTGTTCGATAGCAGATAATCGTTACAGAGGATTTCAACGAAGGTTATTTTAGCATAACATAACTACAGACATATCTACCCATGTTTAATTTGCCTTTTATAAAATGCCTGATTTAATGAGCAACAGTCAGATTCACCATTCTCATCAGTGGTACCACTTTACAAATGTCCCTCAATGCCAGTTCAGTGATAAATATAAGATATTCAATATTTTCTCAAATTTCATCAGAATTATATTATATTATGATGAAGCAGTAAAACTTGAAAATGCCAAAAATGCTACATCATCTCCCTGGCAAAATTATATATTATTACAGACGAAGAATGGAATACAATTGCCAGTGGAACGGTACACTCATTGAAAATAGAGAGACTTTTCAAGAACGATGCAATCTTTGCACATGCAGCGTACGTCAATTTCACGTTACAAAACTTTGCAGAATAAACACACAAATTGATATTTATTAAAATACTAAATTAATTCTCTAGTATATCTGATTTCGAAAATTCTCTATGCATGAAATTTTGAACAATAATTTATGATCTATTCGCAGCTTTAAATTCATTTATTGCTTTATCATTTATTAATGTAAATATTTATCCTTTACTTCTCATAACTAAAATAATTTTCAGATGGGAAAAATCAAATGCGAAACGATTCCGAAATGCCACTAACTAACTATAACACGTTAGGCATAATAATATCTCCAGCTGAAATTTTCGTACTAGAAAAAAGCAAACAATATTGCTGCAAATCGAATAAAATACAATATTAAAATATTAATAAATATGTTCGTTCTCTCATAATTTGAAAATTTTAAAACAAATCCTAAAGGAATTTATATTTGGAAAAACATAAAGTACGCCACAATATACGAACTTCCCTAGGCAGATTTCTTTGAAAAAAAGTTATATTTTGTAATATGGTTTTTAACAAATTTAAGTGAATTCTTGAGCTGCAAAATTTCTATTTGTTTGCTGCTTTGTTTTTTAACAGGCAAAAGTATGAAAAACTAAAAATGAATGAAAAACCAGAAAAATTTCTAGAAATCGCAGAGTAGCAAATGCCGAAATGATAATACCCTTATCACAAATTTCCTATCATAAGAAGTAACCTTGTACAAAATTATCGAACTTGCTATATCTTGCGCCTTTCTCCGTTTCACGCAAACCATTCAAAGCGCTCATAATAAGCTAACAATGATAAGATAAAACATATCCGTAAAAAAATGCAATTATACATTTTTTGCACTGCAATAATAGTAATGTTTTGTTAGTTAGTCGCAAGATGATCTATTCATCTTTACAGAATAAGTAAATGAATTATGAAATTTAAAAAATTACTTGCAATTCTGGAAAGCTTTAAGCAATACCTTTAATCAATATACATAATCATACAATCTCTTTTTAAAGATTTAAATAGGTTTTCTTGGAAATTCTTAAATTTTGATCTCTTTCTTGTAACAATTTAATTGCTGACCTTCGCTTAACTTCGTTTATTAACTGTCTCTCCAACTATTAAAGAAGCTTATTTGAATATCTCCATTAAATATGTACATTTGCATAAATACGCACAAGTTATAAGAAAATGTACAAATTTACAACAATCAATTTGTAACAAAAAATTCAAACGTGAGATGCACTGAAAGCCCCTGATATTTCTTCCATAATTGGATTTAAAGGTGTCCTCAAATCTCGTAGTTTACCAGCAGGGCAATCCGTGTCAGCAATAATAAAAGCCATTAAACCATTAAAATTTAGGATGACCATTTGATAATTCTCAAAGCTAAAAGCAAAATAAGCTTAAAATAAGTTTAAAATTACAAATAATTGTAAATAATTTCTCCTTTTATAAAGCTATAAAGTCATAAATTTTAAAAACATTCTAGTGAATCAGAAATTCGAGGTTATAGATGAAATGTGGGAATTCAAGTACAAAACTAAAAGAAAATAAAATATTTAGAAAAATGATTATCGAATGAAAAATAAAATGATTAAAGTCGATTAGATTAGACGACATTTACATACATTTTGAAATATATATTAAAAATATGTGACACTATAATTTCGAAAACTATAGAAAAAAAAGAAAAACAAAACTAATATAGAGCTTTTAAACGACACGCAAAATACAAAATCTAGCTTTAAAATCTAAGAAGATTGGATGAACGCAGAGTTTTAAAGCTACGAACAGATATAATTCTGTTAAGGAACTAAATCCATGATGCTTGGCCTCGGTCGAAGTAACTCGGCCATTCTATATGAAAGAATGTGTAGAGATTTTTTCCCAATAGAAAATAATAGAAAATAAATAAATTCATCAAGTTAAATTCTATAAGAATTTTAATGAGGATACGATAAAAGTAAAAATCACCAAAATATGGCAGTTCGTTGTTCACCGATATTTAATTTCGCAGTATGCTCCAAGGCCAATTGATAACAATTTATCAAATGTGCACGAAACGAAGAGTTATCACCTGCAAAAAACTGGCGTGCAACCCAGAAAGGGCACAAATACTCAGACATCTAATCTAAAAGAAAAAATTATCTTGGAATATAACCTTGCAAACGCGTAGAATACACTACCAACACTCCATCCTTATCTGTGATAAAGATCTGCCTGACTCCATCAGTTTTCATAACAATATTTAGCAATGACTTCTTAATTTCCATATTACCCGCAACCGAAATCGAAGCGAACAATAAATCTCGCTAAATAAAATTAAAAAAATACTTTCTCTAGAGTTGAAATGATTTACAAGCTTATAAAAATGACAATAACAATCCATAGCCATGCTGATCTTACTCACTAGAAGAATAAGACCCTTTCACCACACAGGGAATAAACATGCAACTGGATCAGTTGTGCTGACCGAGAATCCGACATCCATCAAAGGATAGAAATCGAATCAAATCTATTGACTCTAATCAAACCAAATCACAATTCGACTATCCATAAAGATTCAACTGATAATGAAAATAAATATAAAATTATTTACAAAACTTCTTTTATATTCTCTTATCGATTAAAAGCTATCAAAAATTCTTTCAAAGCAATTCATCAAGGCAATTTATCTTATCGAATTCGATAATAAAGATGATAATAAGTTCATGGAAACTGTCAAAATTTTTAAATTTATTTGTACATTTACCATATAACAAATAAAATAAAGCGGAATGATTATAAAAATAAACAATACAATAAGATAAAATAAATAAAAAACCGATATAAGGCAAAATAAAAGTAAAAACATATATGAATAAAAAGTGGAAAAATTTAAAATCTTCAAGTGAAGAGTGATGACGGCCACTTTTTAGATTTTTTGAATTCTTAGCACCACCAATAACTATCACCTATTACGAATCTCTATTTTTTAAGAATAAATATTAGTTTAGAGCAATAGTGAAAAGAAAAAAAAACCAGTTTTAACCGAATGAATTAACATTACAAAAGATTCAAATGAAGATTCAAAGATTCAAGATTCTCATAAAATTATTAACTCACTAATGAAAAAAATAAGCCTAATTAAAGAAGCTAAAAACGCAGATCAACAATTTTTCCCACAAAGCTTCCTAACTTTTACAGACTTAAAAAACTTGACACCTAATTACACAAAATAGCTCGATATGCACGAAATACAAACAAATACAAAAAATTAAATATATTATAAAGCATAATTCATTTAAAGGCAGCTATTTATAAAAATAAGAGATCAAATAAAACAAACAAGAATTTAATATTAAAATCGCAAAAATATAAGCAAAAATAAGGAAAAATAAATGAATTACAAAAAAATATTATCAGCCAAAAATTAAAAAAAAATTTTCACATTTTTGAAAACTCTAAATTAAATAAATAGTCCAGACCTTTTCCATTACTAGGATAAAAACAACAAAAAAAAATTTAAAATTTGGAACAATTTCCAATTAACATAGGCAAAACCAATGCATGATGCAAAAATGATGGATTTAAAAAGGCAAATCTTATGAAAGCAAAGCCTTATATATAACCAGAAAATATTTATCAAAAAACAACCGATAATAACCAATATTCTTAATACTCTAATACTTTTATTATCTCTTATCTTATAAAAAATACTCTTATATTCAGCACATATTTCTTAAATGATGCGAGTAAAACAATCCCATTAATACTAAATACTATATATACTATAATATATTATATGAATCCCACATTTATTTTATAGACAAATAACTTTTTATTTTAATGATGAATGAATAGTATATAATCAGTTCATATGAATCAAACAATATTATGACAAACTTTACCATAATTAATCTACGACAATAAGTAAAAAATTATTAGTGCAGAATGAGGATCTTACCTTTTCCCGACTTATCTTAATCATCAAGATGATCTTGAAAAATTACTCGTACATACGGTTTATTTTTATCCAGTAAATTTGTACAAAAAGGACAAAGGGAACTGTGGTTATACGCATCGTAAGGAACCGATATACGCGACCAATATCTGCAAAACAATAAGCATTCATCCAAATATTAATAAAAAACAGATTTCAGTTAATTTGAATATGAATTTAACTAGTGAACTAGTGAAAATGCCCAAAGACGATAAAAAAAACAAGCTGATTTCTTGCCAAACAGATTTTACTCCATTAATTCAAAAAAGTGCTGCAGTACTTTAATTTCTCCGTTTGTACCTACCTAATAACAAAGAGTAACGGATAAAACCAGTCTGACAAATGAGAAATGAATTGACTGAGTATATCATGTAATCGTGCCGCCACTATTCTTCATTATTGTTATAAAATAAAATCCTTTTCCGGCATGGGTTCTAATCCATAAAGAAAAATGGATCCAGCGCACAATAGAAAATAACTCTAATAATTCTCGATCTTTGTCACCATTTGATTTACATTCGAATGATAATCACCGATAGCCTATTGTTGGTTTGATCCATTCTATCTTCCTCCTACGATTATACAGAAGTTGAAACACGAACAACTAGGAGAGCCAAAACTGCAAATGCAGAAATCAGCACAGAAAAAATCTCATAATTCTGCAAAATGCCAGACCACGTATTACAAAGGATGACTGTGACAAAAAGTACCCAGCTGAGCATCGATATCTACCGTTATCCACCGAATTCTCTAGATTTTTTCGCCAACAGATTTCTGCTCCTTCAGCTCTTTCTACAAATTGTCAGAAAAAACACTTTAAAAAATATCCAGAGATCCAATCTTTTGTGCGGATTGAATACTTGTACCAAGTTGAACTCTGTTGCACAGTGGTATTTATTTCGAACAAAAATATTGGTTTTCAGTAACATTAAAGTGTCTTCCAATGAACATGACGCTAGAACATTCTGGATGACCCAATGTTCTTTCGTTTACTTTTTCTAATAGGAAGTTTTGCTTGTTTGAATATTCCTTTTAAATAAATAAGCCATTAGCACTCACTATTTCTGGCTATTATTATTAGAAAAAGAATTTTGCCAATGATTCAGCTAGGGGGTAGAAGAAAAAGCAGATCTTCCAACGACAGATTTATTTTTGTCAGAGGCTGAATCAAGAAATCTGAAATGATAAACTGCCAAACTGCCCCTGGCAAATTGAATAAATGATAAATGTCCACTTATTTCTCTTCATCGTATTTTTGATAATAAATCACCTGACTGTTGCAAAAGAGGCCAAATGACCACAAGGATTGAATGCATAATTAAGAATTCCGGAATCCAAGTGAAATGCTGGTTCCATCCCCATCACCAACTGAATAACTCTAGTTGATTTCTCCAAACAAACTGGACATTTATATGTAGTGCAGCTATTTTCATTTTTTTGAATTCCCCAATCGTGCTTGCCTTGTACATGACCACATGCAATGTAAACCTGAATTATTTACTATTAATTCGTACAATTTTGCTTTATTTGGGTTGGTTACTATAAGCCTAAGGCATTTATTATTTGGTTATTTTCTAAATAAATAAATATTAATAAGAATTCTCAAAAAATTTAAAAAAAAATGTCGAAATGTCGAAACAAAACATTAAAAAATCTATTTATCTTAAATCAAGAACTCCACAGAACTAAAAAAACTTACATAAGGCTGCCTTGATGATTCTTTTTTTCCAAGGAATTTTTTTCTTGAAACAATCAGAGTATTCAAATTGACCGGGCATTGAGGCTTCCCAGCATTCAGTTCATTTAATCTAAGAATCTATAGAATAATTTACTATTTCAATAAACGCATACTGAGGAAAAGAAATAGCCACGTCTTCCTATTGCAAAACCATGTATCATGAAATGAAATTCTCTAAAATCTTTCACATTTTGTGAAAAACTTTCTGAAGAATCCCATCAAATAATCCTCGTTATATTCGAAATCTCATTATTTCCTTCAGCCACGAAAAAATCGCTGTACTGTTTTGCCAAAACTTATCGGTACTTATCGGTACTTATTCCCTAAATCATAAAATCATCTATATTAAATCTCCACTATCTCATACTCACCTATATTTTTGATTTTATGACTGCTCTATTAGACAGCACAGTCAGCCTAGAAGTAATTTCGCACAATGGTGGAAGAATAAGGGAGAGCAATATGAAATGGCTGAGGTTATTGATGGAATTGAGACACTGAATTTAAAAAATAAAGATTGTGAGCACCATAATAAGGCCTGACGGGAGACAGGGAGTTTCAGAATAAAATAATGAATTGTAAAGAGACAGCAAAGAGCATATCCGAGATGAGAAACAGCTTTGTATGTCCCAACCTTTACTATACTTTAACCCACATAAGAAACAACAATAATAATTCAGAAACTCCAGTGTTTTTTAAGCTCACCAAACCACGCTGTGCTGTTCTATTATAGTCCATTAATGGGACTGCTTTATGTTCCTTATCCCCAATTTTAATCCTTTACATGCAGTGTTGCAATCCAACACTAACACTCATTCCTTTCATTTCCTTTCCTTTAACGCCACTCGATTTCATTCTCTTTCCACAACATTCGTCCCTCACTGTTAAGACCCACTAACATTCTCTTGAACCTGGTATTGATTTCCATAAAACCCTAAAAAATTCAGTTATTTTCCTTTATCACCTTCACCTAACTTCCCCCTCTATCCTCTCTTATAATCTTAAAATTTGCTAAACTTCTTCAAATTCCCTTATAGCCTTTAATATCACTTAAAATATTACTTCGCTATTCTCCTGATCCTATCAGTAAAAGCATTTAATACTGCATCAGATACCACCAAAATATTTTTATTTTTTTTCTTGATTTCAATGGGAGAAATTTTTCCCTTTTCTCAAAATATTAAGACGTGCTTTTAATTTAATCCTAATTTGTCGTATCATAATTTTTTATATTGATTGGGACTGCTTCTGCTCATACAAAGGAAAACACGAAAAGGATGAGAACATGAGGAAAATTGAGGATATTGAAAAACTAAAAGAGAGAATGAAGAGTGTGAAAGAAATATAATAGAGATTTGATGGGTATGAAAGTAGCAGGAATCGAAAGAATATAAAGGGGTTTGAGGGGGAACATTAAGAAATATATTAAGGTTTAAAGGTGGTATTAGGCTAATAGAACTGTCCCATTTTCATTAAAAGGCAATTTTTTTATATTCCACAGAAAATCGAATATATCGATTTTAAAGTTTAGTAATGCTTTTATGAATATATAATTTCGTTTTCCTTCTTCTGATCTTAATGAATAAAATGTTTGCACGTAAGGTGTTTATGCTAATATAGAACAATATATGACCAACGATAATTTACAAATCGAAAATATATCGAAAATCATATGAATTTGAAAATAAAAAGCCTGGCATACTCCTATAAACTAACCTCGAATCAAGTTCACTGAAACTTGGACTCTTCGCCAAACCCTGCGATGTTCTCCATAAAAGTGTGGCGCCACATAAATCAATTAACGTTCCATCCTTTTAAAATCACAAAAGTCAACAAATTGAACATAAAAACTTCGAAAAATTTGCAGAAAATATAAAAGCCTTTGATGCCGATAAATTTTTTGAGTTCATTAACACTGCCTATCAACATGTCACGATTAAAAAAAAAACCCGTAATTCATTCGTTTCACTTGTCAAAAATTTCCCACGTTTGGAGGATGAACGTAACTGCCGCACTTCATAAATATCACCATCTAATGACACTTCACGCCAATTAAACAAATTGACCGCTTCATCATTGTTAACTATTTTCTAAAAATACATTTGGATACCAAAAAATACTATGAAGAATTTATTGTCCCTCTAATTTTTACGAGATAATATTAGATAAAAATCAAATAAACAAGCAGTGAATTATTTATAAAAATTTCTCTAAACCGAATTCTCAGCTAATAGATATTTAATATATTTAATATCAGATTTAATAAAAAATCTGAAAGTTATACTTCACTTGGTTTCTGATTTGGATGCAAAATCCAGACTCCATTTGTTGTTAAAGCATCCATTTCGCCATTTTCTTTGGTCCATTTAATCGCTTTTTCCTGAAATAAAATGAGATATTAAAAAAAGATAAAAAATGAATAGCAGATCTTTCCTAAAAAAAAGAAACTATAATAATTTATAATAATCTAATCCTCCAATAATAAATGGAACTGAATAAATTGACTGAATATACTTATTGAAATCCATATCCGGCTCTGATTACTTCAGTCATTAACCCACCAAAAAATACAACAAACATCGGAAAGTCGCTTCAATATATTTATATATTATTTGAAAAATCATAACTTACTCCCAAACATATATTGCTAGAAGCATCAAAACCAGCAGCATACAAAAAAGCTCTGTGAGGTTCTTTCCTGTCAATTAGAATACGACAGGCATAACGACTAATTGTTGAAGAAATTGGAACCTCGCTAACCACATGACCTTTGTGGTCAAAATTGGCTTGCAATAGAGAATCTACATAAAAATTGCTATCCCCTGAAATCATTTGACTTTTCATTCGAAAAATTTTTAAGAAAAATTTTAGCCCAAGAAGTGAACAATCTTTGCCAAAAAAGTGGCTATTTTGAAAGAAATGATAATAAACAAATAATAAAATAACAATTGAACATGCATTACATGCATTATTAAGTAAAAATGAATATTCGTTAAGTGCTTTTCAATCGATAAAAATAATATATACTTTCGATAGCAAAAAGAAATCGAACTTGGAGAAACAACGATTTTGTCGCCTGCACCCAACCATGAGTCAACTACAGTAAAGTCAATTTGGGGCTCAGTTGATCGACCAATCTTAAAAAATGCAGCTTCATTTCTTGTAAGAAAAAACTCATGTTGCTGAACTTCAACTGATGAAGCAACATATGTATGCAGTTCAGCCACTAGTATCCTCGACTCTTTAACAGTCCTGGTCGTAAAACAATCATTAGACATCAATCTTTTCATGGATATTCAATAAAATCTTCCATTCATTCACCACTTTTTTATTATTGCTGTTAGCCTTCTATATTTTTCTTTATTAACATACTGTATTGCCCACTTTTAGGAAATTTGAATAAAAAACATTTAAATGCATAATTCACCAAAAAAAGAAATATAGAAGATCTCCTTTCTAGAAGATCAAATTTGAGCTGGAAGAGAAAGAAAAAAATATTTACTGAAAAATATTCAACAAAATAATAACCTGAAACATATCTTTCGTATTATCTGGTATATATTCAACGATAACTGTATGACCTGGGAAGGAATAAGAAACAACGTGTTTTGAAGGATTCATAATCGCCTAAAACAAAACAGTTGGATAATTCGTTTCTTTAATAATCATAAAATTATAATAATTATAGCAATAATATTCTCGTAATGATTGCTTGAAGTAACAAAACATGTAAAAAACGGCAGACTTAACCAATTATTTATAAATAAGAAGGCAAAATGGCTCAATAGATTGTTGGGTTCATTTCGGAGCGCTTAAAAATCTACTCTCGGCAGGAGCACAGCTATCTTTCAAAAATTCGGGTGATAATGGCAACTCTATTCCTAGTAAGAAATTTCTTGGCAAGCCTAATCAGAAATAATGAGAGCCGCTAAGAAAATAAAAGAAATTTGCGAAATTTAGAAATTTATCATATAGCCAAAAATATAAATTTTAATCATTTTTTCACCCAATTGTTTTTGTATTTTCTTAATTAATCTTGATTAATTGAAATCTTTAAAAAATCGGCGAAATGAGTTCTATTTATCACTTGTTTCTTCATTAATTCTTTTTTGTTTTTTTAAAAGTCTTTATCATTATTGGTTAAATTCGCTCCACTGGCTTGTCGCATTGAACAAATATGCCAGCCTTGACGACGAGTCGTCAGCATCATATGGATTTTTAGACCAGGATTTTACTCCTGCATGGAATAGAACCTCAGCATTGGCGTTTCGACGTTGAACGACAAGCCATTACGCCACTCTATCGCTTTGTTATTAAATTTATTTCTTAAAAATCTTTTCCAATATTCTAACGCTAATTATTTTCAATTCAACTAAAAATGATTTATAATTAATCGTTTGAAATAATAACTAATAACCTCATTTCGAAGTGGTGAGACATTTACCGAACTACTACAACCTTTTTTAATGCCATTACTCGAAGCGCGTTTGAAGAGTTCAAGTTTTGCACGACGTCGTTTAACCTTCCAGAGAGGTTCATCATCGAGAGACGAACTACTGAAAATTTATTATTACACAAAAATATTTATAAAATAAAGAAAAAAAAACATATATATATATATATATACAGAATATTAAGATTTTTTATAAATTTAAATCATTTTTTTTTTTTTTCCCTTCTAATATTTATAATTTGTAATTAAATTGCGTTAAATTATGCGAATGAAACTCGTTTAAGAGGAAATTACTTAGGAAAAAAATTCTCCTCGTTGGAATTATTGAAAATTAGCTTTTAATAGTAAATTTATTTTCGAATAAAATAAAAAATATTAGCAAATAAAGAAAAATAAAATAAAAACAAACCCGAGAACAATTAATTCACCATATTTACATATTCCTCCGTCATTACAACACGCTCGCTCCTTATTTACAGCCGACATTATCCAAGCATAAACACTTACCCCCCCAAACTACTCTCTCAATCTAACTAACTAACTAATCACACGAATTTATACGAATGACACACAACGAATGACACACTCAGACACTATAACCATAACTAAATTTCAGCGCAGCTGCGGATCATGCGAATTCATAATCGAATTAATATTTGACTGGTGGTCGAATCATTTGCAGATATCGTTTATTATGATATATTGAAAATGATGGAATTTGTGACATTTGACCTTTCGCGACATTTTTTCATTGAATTTTTTTCATTGCTGTTTTTTTTTAGCGCAAAGTGGTTTTAATATATAACAGCGATTTCCCTTTCGCTTTCTAAGAGCGCTCACTATTTCTAATTACGATCGATCATTCTTCCATCGGTTTCGTGGAAAGGGGTAAATCTTAGCCGTCGAGTCGCTCAGCGATAGAAATATAATTGAGTCGACAGTATCGATCATTAACAGCGAATATGAGCGAATAATGAGTGATAACACAATGATTTCAACGAATTTCGCTTAAATTTGCCATAAAATTTCGCTAAAAATCGCAAAATATAACATAAACATAAAATTACACATAAAGTTTTTGTTTTGATTTTTATAAAATTTTTAAAATAATTATGTAAGGCTTTTTAATAAAAATTGATTAAGCATTTTTTAATTTTAAATTTAATTTTTAATTTAATTTAAATTAAACCTAAAAATTAAAACGAATTTGAATTTGATAAAATTAATAATCATTTATCCTGCTCTATTATCATTATTACTTTTATTATTATTTATCATTAATTATTATTATGCTATTATTATTTTTATTATTTTAATTCCTCACAATTAATGGTTAAACTCGTTCTGCTGGCTCATCGCATTGGACAAATATGCCAGGGAGTCTCTTGGCGATAGAAAATACACGGGTGAGCCTCTAGAATCACCCGGATTTTTGGATGGGTTTACTTCTCCGGAGAATAGAATCTCAGCATAAGCGCTCGGAATTGACCAACAACCCACTGAGCCATTCTATCTTCCAGTTTACTAGTAGTTTTAAAAAAAACCTCGCATTCCCCTAATATTTATATAAAATAGTGAATTTTACATCGACATAGAATATACGAATTTGCAATCGATTGAGGTAAGCCAAAAATTCAAATGTTTTGAAGATTCGCTCTTTTGTCATCATTTTGATATTATTTCTGATAAAAAAAATTTTAGCGAATCGCAAATTACTATTATTTTTTTTTAAAAAACTAATTTATTGCATTTTCGATAAAATAAATTTATTTCAATTAAAACTAATTGAATTTATTCATAAAGAAATTTAAAACGATTATTTTTATTATTGAATTAAGCGAAAATTATAATTTGCGCTCAAATTATTTCGCTCTAAATAATAACAGAAATAACTATTTGTTTTGCTCGATAATTATTCCAATGAGACCGTTTCAGTAGCGATTCGCTTGCGGATTTCAGCATTATCGATATTTCGTGGCGACTTTTACTTCCGTCAAGAAGGAGAATTATGGTTGAGTATATTTTTTTTACGGTCGTAATAATAAAAATAAACATCTTATTTTATAATAATACTGAGAAATGTAGCGAAAAATTTGAAGTACCAATACCGACTATACGTTGTTTAGCCAAATATTTTATATTTATTATATTTTATATTCATATTTCAAATATTTTAAATACATTTTTAATTTTATAGAAAAGTAATAATTTTTTAGCGAAGTAATGACAGAAGTTAGAACCAATGTCAAGAAAATTGAGAAATATATATATAACTAGTGACAGCTGAAAACGACTCGCACGCAATCTATGTCAGTTATGTGAAACTTTTCGGTGTCACCAAATTTTTACATTCACCAAATCGCATTTCATCTCAATTCAGTTGGGAAATTTTTTTTTGAAAATTTTTTTATTTCAGATTATCCTTTTTTTTTGCAGAAAGAAATCGACAAATAATTCGATAAAAATGAAGAAACTCGAGAAATTCTAATAGAGATTTGGCATTTGATAAAAATTTTTTTTTGATCTATCGTAATACGATGTGAATTATTTGATTGAACAATTTATGATAAGAATTATTATTATTATCAAAGAAAAAAAAAATGAATTCAATGAATTATTCAAGTAAATCTGAGCAATCACGGTTTAGCAATGATAATATAGTTGACTTTTAAAGTATGAATCCATGCATGTTCATTATTGAACTCGAACTTATAATATCCATCTTCTTCGCATAAAATTTTGTCCTCTATTGGAACCAACATTGGACCCGGTATCTTCTGTAACATTTTATTTTATTTTAAAAATGTATCACATAAATATATCACTGGATATACGTCAATAATAGTGAAAATTTTGTTAAAAAATTTTTTCACTTGTTTTGCTAATCTTATTAATCTTATACTAATGAAAATACGAGCTTAAAAGAAGGATAGAAAAGGAAAAAATGAGAAGATAAAGTTAATTGTTATCAGTTGATTTGGTTATCAGTTATGCGACATTTGAACAATAAAAATTACCAGTAACGTTAAAATTATACTAAATTATACGAGGGACTACCTTAAATATTGGAGGAAAAATAAAATAGTTGTTATCAAAAAATAAAAATTATACTTTAAACGTCGGGTAAACACTCTTCTCCGTATCACTATTAGCATCATTCAAGTGGAATAAGGAAAATCCAAAATTGCCATCAGTAATAATCCACCACTGCAGAATTGATCCCTATAATGATAGTTAAAATTATGATAAATTTTTTTTTTTTTTACAAATCATTTTCAATTTAAAATTCTTTTTTGTAAATTTTACTTTTTCAACTTTTATAATTGTATTTGCTATTTTTCCAGCTGATACATTTAAAATTTTTGCTTCTTTTCTTATTTCCTGCTTATAGTATTTTTCAATATTTACATTCAATGCGCGTTCAATATTTGCTTTAAAAATCTGTAAAATTTAATTTTATTCGTTTTATATTCGACAAATTCGATTAGAAATTTTAATTTGTAGCAAATAAGCATATTTATTTCGTTGAAAATATAAAATATTGGTTATTGAAATAAGAAAGTAGAAATATTAATTTCATTCAAATGAAAGAGAATCCTTAAAAAGACATTAAATAAATAAATTTGCATATTCGATTAAATTTAAAATACGAAAAATAAAAATTCGTTTCTATTCAAATAGAATTTATTAAAATTTATGTGAAAATTTTTCATTCTTAAATAAATAAAAGTATAAATTCTTTGAGAATTTTTTCTTTTTTTTTTTTAAAAAATCGCTCTAATAAAATTCCATTCGAATTAATTAATTCTTTGCTTATTGCATTTGATAGAAATTAATTACATTGGATTCTATCAATTTTTTAAATTTTTTTTCGAAAATAAAATTTATTTTTATAAACAAAAAAATTTCATCGATTAAATATAAAAAATATTAAATTGAAAAATTTTTTTTAAGGGAATTATTAAAGGAAAAATGAAAAATATGCAAAAAATTATTACATTATGTGCACCTTCATTCCAATATGACGGTAATACATCGGGAACTGCTAACTGTAAAATTTCTTCCTTCCAATTCGATCCTAATATTTGAATTTTATTTCGAGTTCTTTCTGGTAAAGCGGGCTTAATTATTCCCCTATAATTAAAATTAATAATAAATTAATTGAATTAAATTAAAATACTTCAATTTTAGTAATTTTTTATTTAAATTGAATTAAATTAATAAAGCAAATGGCAAATTACTATGGCAAATTAAATAGTGGAAATGTTTGAGGATTTATCGACGTACCACAATGTTGCAAGAAACGAAGGAACATTAACAACAACAAAGCGATAAATCATTTCCACATAATGCTCAGCCATAAATGATGATATAGCGCCTAAGGATCCCGAAAGAATATATAGCAATCGTTTATCATATTTTAAGCCATTTAAATCCATAATATAAAGAATAGATGCTTGCTTTCCTGAAATATTCATTTATAATATTTGTTTATTAATATGCTATATAATTCCGTAATATTAGCGAGCTAATGCTCCATAACTCCAAAACTTAGCAAATCTTGCATACAATTTTAAATTTACTCTGGAAATTTTATTCTAACCTGGTAAAGAAGAGGATCTTTAACGAAGGAAATGAAGTCAGATTGAAAATTTCGTTATCACCTTTTTTTTTCAGATAAAAAACTTTTTCGAGGTATTTTGTGAATACTTTCATTTCTCATAATATTTTAATAGTTTCATAGATTATCTTATTTTTGGAAAAGTTTATATGATTACAAGAAATTACCAAATACTTTATAAAAATGTTTTGAGCATATCAAACTGTATTTTTCGATAGATAATTCGAACAAAAATGAAACCTGTTGCATTTTCCATCTCTGTAACCCTTTTTAACATCGTTTCCAAATCATAAACTCTAGCCTTCAATATTTCAAGAACCGAAAATGTGGACATCATTCCCCAATAATCATTAGATCCAGTCTGTTCGATATTTACTATCGTATTTGGCGTTTTTATTGCGGGGCCAGTTATGCCAGTCTAAAAATTTTGTATCTTTTGGAAATTCTTTTTATCAAATTTTGCAAAATCTTGAAAATGAAAATCAATTAGTTTAATAATTTAATAATTTAAAAAATAAACAATAATCAGTCGAAAATATGGAAAATCATTGAACCATATAAGTGATAATCCACATGCTACTTCTGACCCGGTTGTACATGTGATAAATATGCAATCTGGGTGTAATAATAATAATAAAATTCCAAATTTCCAATTTCAAATTCCACAAACATATAATTTGCTCGCGAATCGAGATAAGTACTCAAAATCTGTCAAGGAAGGCGAGAACCTATCTGCTAACACTTAGCTACTTGGAACGTCAGAACATATGTTGCAAGCCAAGCGATCACTGTCCACATCCTGTCTAAATACCGCGTGGATGTGGCTTTTTTGCAGGAGGTCCGCCTTTCTCATGTTGGCTTTCGAGTAATTATTAAACCTGGTTTCGGGCAAAAATATTAGCTATGTCGGACAACTCGGGGCGAAATGGCGTAATTTTCATGTCTAAAAAGACTCGATCAATTCTGATTGAATGGAAGCCAGTAAATGGCCGTATGGCCTACGCGTGTTTCAAAGGAAAGTTCTGCAATATTTTAGTTATCAATACATATGCTCCAACTTTATGCGCAAATGATTGCGGATAAAGATAAACTCTATGCGGAGTTTAGAACGTTAACAATATCTACCAAGAGATGACATGGTTATAATCGGGAGAGAATGGAATGCACGCGTAGATCATGATGCCGTTACGATGATTTCGGCAATTGGCAAATATGGCATTCGGAGTCCAGTGGGTTAATGGAGAAAGCCTTTTTCATTTTGCTGAAGAGCATGAACTCTTTGTTGCTAATATATGCTTTCAGCATCGGAGGAAACATCTAGTCACTTGGAACTCTACGGACAACCAATATTCCAATCAGATTAACTATATATTGGTCACCTCTGGTAGAGTTCTGGCACTTGATAGTCGTTCTTATCGGGGCACTGAAACTGGTAACCGCCATGGATTAGATCGTGTTATGGTTCGAGCCGAACTCTTCAAATGTTGTCGATCATCGTTCATAACTCACCTTCAACAAATGTATTCTCTGGTATAGCAAAAGGAAACAACGCCAGAAGACTGGAACAAAGCAATTCTGCTTCCCATTCCTAAGAAAGGTAATAAGATAAAAGATAATAGTACTGCGACAATTACCGCAGAATCAGCTTACTGGGCATCTCAGGAAAAATTTTCGCTTCCCTTCTGCTACATAGACTAATGACAACACGATATAGCAGAATGCGTCCTAACCAAGCTGATTCCTCCGAGACGCGTTTGTGCTGACCAGATATTCACGTTAAGAAGGATGCAGGAACATCGGTTCAAATACCAGCAACCCACCGTCACTTGTTTTATCGATTTTGCAGCTGTCTTCGATTCGATTGATAGAGCAACGCTCTGGAAAGTGATGGAATGTGACGGTGTCCCAGAGAAGATCATTCGGCTCATAATGCATTTTATCAGCATACTCTGGCGCAAGTCTATATATATGGGGAACTGACACACTCCTTTGAAATAAAAACTGGTGTGCGTCAGGGTTGCGTCCTTTCCCCCACAATATTCAACTATGCGATAGACTGGATAATTGGCATCGCTTGTCGGCACTCAAGAGGTGTGCAAATCAATCCAGAACATAGCATCACAGATCATGAATAGGTTGATATAGTCCTTTTTACTGACATTTATAAGGAAATGCAAATAATGTAAATAATGTGTCAAAATTGCAGCGAGAATTGTGATCAAAATAAATGTAAATAAAACGGTAGTGTTTTCGTCATTACCGGTTGAGGAAGTGCTTGACTTTAAATACCTTAGATCCACTCTGATCCCAAATGGCCAGGCAAAGGATGAAACTGTAACCCGGATAAAGACTGCTAGAAATATGTTTTTCCGGATGATGAAATCTTTATGAATCCGTTGCGAAATTAACAACACGAAAATCCGCGCTCGTATAGCTGCATTAGCTCGATCTTGCTATATGGCTGCGAAACATGGCCAATGAGGGTGGAAAATATGAAGAAGCTATTAGCCTTTGACCACTCACGTCAAAGGCATATTTTACGGATCCGTCGAGCAGATAAAATCGCACATGATTGTATCCACGTTTGCTCAAATACCACCTGTTAGAGCACGTTCTCCGTCGTCAATCAAAGAAGTTGACACATATTTCGGTACTTGCCGAACCCTGTGATGGTTGGCGTCAAAAGCGATGAGGGCCGATCAAAACTTGAACTGATAAGATCAGGAAAAATTTTGAACGTATAGGTGAACTAGCGATATATAAAAGTAGGCGGAGGAAAAAGGAATGGTTTCTATTGCTACTAGCAATGGCGTCGGACTGAGCAGCTTGGAGACGTCTTACTTATGTAGCCAGTATAGACAGCCTAACCAGTGATGGTGAAAGCTGTTAGAAGAAAAAGAAGAATAAGTGATAATCCCTCTTTATAAGGTTTAAGTTCTCTTTTTATTTCTCTTACAAAAGAAGAAAGATTGCAAATTTTATTATTCAGCCATATGAAAATGGCTCAAGGTCATATGAAAAAGACCCAACAAATCTAATAAACTGTAAGGTTTAAGAATTATTTCTCTTGGAGAAGCTCGTTAAATTATCAATATTAGTACCTTCCAATATGTATGAATCGGATGATTTCTGGGTTGATCGGCTATTTTGTCAAGATCCCAGCTTGATTTACGAAAAGCGAGGTGATTTTTTAGTTTAGGAATCACAGCATCAAGACTGTATTCATAACCTTGCAGCCAACGAAGTAGATTAAAATCATTATCGTAATATGGAGTGAGCTACAATAATATTATTGAATTTTGAAGAATATTTTCGTACAAGTATGACATAAAAAAGCATGATACAAGCATGATACAAAAGAGCAAAAATGAGCGACTAGCAATTAGCAAGAAAGTGGCTTAAGGCTTTTTAAGATTCAGTATTTTAAGCCGATTTTATATATATTTTTTACTATAATTGACTATTTTAATGAAATATACTGCGATTGGCAAAATACCGGATTTATTTCATCATCGTTGTTTAATTGAAAGGCTAATCTGAAATAAATAATTAGCAGTTAGTTGAATTGAAAAATCAATTGAATTCAGATTACCTCGTCCTTAACGGCATCGCGCAATTGTCGTATTAAATTTGCATGATCACATGATATACTTGTATTGTCGCTCATATCAATACAACGTAGAAGCAGTTCATCTAATGTACGCTGTGCAAAATCTGTAATAAGTAATGCATAATTTAAAATAGAAATAATTATTTAATTAAAATAAATTTTCGTAATATTTAAAATTTATATAATTTATTAAAACATCTATTTTACATGTAAATCGTATGGAAAATTAAAGAAATATAGTTTGGTATTTTAAAGAAATATAAGTCAAATAGTGAATAATATCATAATATTGTTAGCATTTCTTGCACCTACTAAAACAATCGACTGTCATAAAAGGGATCCGAAATTTTTTGGGTCAATTTAATATTCGAAAAAAAAAACGATTCAAACTTGTTTTTCGTTTTTGTATGTGATATCTTATCATATCATATCTCTTTCACTATAAATTTTGGTCTAACTATTTTGTTTTTATTTTTGATAAAATCGTTAACGACAAAAAAGTGGCAATAATGTTCTCATTGGTTGAAATAAATGAGCCCTATTTTTCGATAACATTTTCAGAAATACGATGCGACTCCTGTTTGAACAGATTTCACAGGAAATATATTCATTTTCTCAATACAATAATACAATGGAAAAGTAAGCAAAAATAAATAAATATTTTTGGCAGAAAAATTTTGCGAAAAGAAATAACTCAATTTAAGGCTCGTTTAATTACGGTATGAAGTGAAAGAAGTTTTGAACATGAAAAATTACTCTTATAGGTATTGGAAAAAATAAAATCTTGGAGAAAGAAAATTTAGACAAAGAATCATAGCTCTACATTTAATTTCACAAGAAATTATTGATAAAGAGAGAGGTGCTAATTCAATGACCATTAAACTGGCCTATATGGACTCATTAGGAACCCGCTCTGAGATCCATGGCTGCTTTTAGGCGCTGCATGAGGAGAATTCCTTTTTTATTTTTATATATTCTTATATATTCTTATTTTATCTCAATGGTGATAAATCATTTTTAATGAATACTTTTTATTCGTTTAAAACTCTTTAAATGAAAAATTTTAAAAAAATTGCAAAACACTAAAAGACGAGGGATTTCATAGATTTTTATGGTACCACCTAAAGAGTCCGTTGATAAAAAAAAAAAAAAATTGACAGTTTCCACTGTGCTAATTGAAAGAAGGTCATAGAAGAAGAATCGATGAAAATTCTAGTCTGAAAATTTTCGAGGAATTTTCATTGTTTCATCGAAACGATCAAAGAGTAGGATAGGCGAGTGAATAGTGATTTTATAGGCAAACGTTCGGCTCAGATAGAAATAAACTTTTCATTAAAAAATCCCGTATGATGCTAGGGATTCATTCGTATTTCTTATGCCAAATAATTCTATGGCGAAAATTTCTAACCGTAAAAATCAATGTAAATGGCTAATGTTATCAGAAATGGTGAGATATAACCACTTCACTTAAAAACATTAAAAAGACAAGTTTTGTGGATTCTTTGAGGAAATATTTCTAACTTGATTCATGCGGAATGTTTCATGTACATTTGTGCACTTTTTAACCTGTTTTTTAAAATTTTTTATTTGCTGCTGGCAATTTTCATAATCATTGATCTTTGATAAATGATATGATATATTAACCACATTTTTTTAAACAATTAAGTATGAAAAAAAAACTAATTATTCTTATTTTTGATGCATTAGGAATTGACTAAAACTTAAAATATGTGTTACAAATGAAACAAACATATCGAATAAATATTATGCATTTATGAAATGAACATTATGCATTTAAAAAATTGATTATGAATTGATAAATTTTCGCAAGAATTATTCTCGCATCACTAAGAAAATAAACAACTGTATTTTTTATTATCACCGCTTATCAACGCTTTGATAACTTTTGATAAAATTGTTTTATCGAATTCCTTAATAATAAAATAAAAGAACTGAAAAAAATTTACTAAACTGCTTACCTAAAATCAACAATTAATTACAGCTAAATTAATTACATAACATTGTTTAGCGGCATGAAAAATTGTCGTGAGCAAGACCTTGCAAGAATCTATTATCATTTCACCAAAGTACCATCCAACTATTTATTTAATTCAAATGCTCAACTGATTCGATGGAAGTTTTAAACGATAATTTCCCAATGATTATATCGATTACTGCTCATCCAAATCTAAATTTTACGATTTCCACGTTTATATTTTCATTAACAGTGAATAATGCAATGTATTGTAATTAAAAAAGTTGGAAAAAGGATTGTAATCGAACTCTAAAATAGATTCAGTGTAGTATAGAAGATCCACTCGTAAATTCAGATCGCGCAGCTCCGAAATGTCTTATCCTTGGCCAGTGGTGTAAGCCTAATCAATAATCATGCGAACTGTTAGAAGAAAAAGACTCTTAAATTAATATTCCAAGGTTAATATTCGATTATCTTAGTTAATATTATGGAAGAATAACTTTATTACTGCTAAACTTTTAATAATTATTTTGCTCGAATGAAATCGAAAATCAGCATAAATAGCAATAAAAATTCTTTTAATGACAAAATTATATAACAAAATTTTTGGCAAAATTTATGTGATTTATGATTTGCCTAAGCTAACGAAGCGAATAATTTAACGAGAAATGGCGAGAATTTTTTGAAAAAAAGCGCAACGCTAAATAAATAAAAATAATAAGGAACGTTTAACATAAGGAATTCGATTTCATATTAAAGTGAAAATCATTCATATAATTGGGGTTAGTTAAATTTGACCTTATTCAGCAACGAAGAAACATCTCTTTTATATAATACAAAATGGTTTGAATTAACCTATATATGAGAAAGTATCGAAAGGAAAAATTGATGATTCAAATATTATGTGCAATAAGACTTGATGTAACGAAATCGTGAAATATTTTTGCTTGATTCGATAAAAATGCATGAGAAATACTTAGCTTCATTCCTCTAAAAAAAATTGAATTTTCCATCTTCATTTTAGACAATTTTTTAAGTTTTCGCTATTTTGTCGCTCATAATTTATGATTTGTTAATATTTAGTATTATTTCGCTTTCTTGTCTGTGGCTGATTAAAATAGATATGCATTATATTAATATTCAATTATTGTTTTACTAATACAACTTATATAATGTGATAAATTCATTTATCATGATGGCATTTCATGATAGCGATAGTGGAAAAAGAGTTTTCTTTACCGAAAATAATCATTTCGAATGAGCATTAATTTCTCGAAATTTCACGTTTATCTACTAAGTTTGAACTAAGAAATTATCCTTCAATCTATCAACCAAGTCAGAGTTAAGAAATTATCCTTTAATCCTTCATTCAATCCTTAGTAATTATAATAAATAAAGGAAATTCATGAAAGCAAATTAAATCATTATCATGAAAAAAGATTTAAAAAATTCATTACAATAAAATGGCATCATTTAGTCTTTTTATTCATAAAATTCCACTTAAGAAACCGGAAAAGAAACTGTCACCATTTCAGATAACATCTGATAACATAACATGTACGACTGCAGTGAAATTATTGAAACCTCTACACAAAATTTCAAATTCTTACGTATTGCGAGATCTTCATTTTGCCTTTTTATCTCATTACTATTGCAGATTCGTGAGGAAATATTCATATTATAACTTGATAAAGTTGTTTCGCAAATGAGGTAAAGGATAGTCTTTCAAATATTTTTAAGATCACCAAATACTTTAAATAAGGTGAATCGGTGGCTTAGTGGCAAAATGATTAACATGGGAAATTGAATCGAGAACGGTCCAGAATCGAATCTAATAGGACCATATCAAGCGACTGAAAGCAAAAGAAGATCGAATAGTTTAGTGAGTCGTTTGCAACATCAATGATGAAATTCCATTCGGATAGCGTTACCCTATGCTATGCTTCTATCGTTAAGCGACTTCCCAGCAAAATTTCTCTGATTCGACCAGCCAATGCAGCGAGCCTAGTCAATCTTAAATCCTTGAAAATAAGAAACAAAAATCTTAATTTAATTCTTTGGAATTGCAATAAAATATAAAAACGCAAATCAAGCAACAAAACGTATTTTATAGCATTTGTATGAGCAGAAAAAAATCGCCCAAATGTGAAATGATAAAATTTATTAAATAAGAAATGTTTTAAATTTTAATATATTGTCGATATCGATTTCATTCAATCGATCTACCAACAAAATTCTAAAAAATTAACTGATAATAATTGATACAATAAGACTTTATTATCACTATCCATATTTCATTTGCCTCGATTCACTTCATCGTCAAAATTTGAGTCAAATTGTCACAGAAGTCCTTGGATAGTCTTGAATAATACTGCAAGGTTAAATCACGATTAACCTGGATTTTCCTCATTCACATACCATATCTAATCAGCTTTATCACTACTTATTTATTAGCGATTCTTTTTTATTCATTAGAATATTATTATTATTTAATAATTATTTAATAGTGTTCATATGAAATAGGTTTATCACCTTTTGTTTTACTCTATTGTTTTTTAGACAAAAAAGTGTTATGATTCAAATAATAGAAAAAAAAGCAATTATCGACTTTTTTACAAAAAAAAATACAATATTATTTGGAAAGTACCATAGAATCCATAATGAATATAAAAGAAAAAAACATCGGAAGTGATAAGAAATTCAACGATAACTTCACTGATTACCACCGAGTTCAAGTCGACTTTCGCAAATTTCAGATTTATGAAGTATAGTTTCAAATGTAATAAAATCTAATCACTGAATCTGAAACCTAAAATTATTTGATTTGGAATCTTTAAGGTAGATCTAAATCTTTCGAGTAGTTCATTTAGAGATCTTTCTTTTATCTTTTATTTCTTATTACAGCACAACTAAATAAAATCCTCCAATCTCAATTGGTAGTTTTTTTTCTTTCTTATCACAAAAGTCGATGTCTAATCAGTCCGATCTAATTCGAATCAATAATTATTCTCCATATTTTTTTTTTTTCGAACCATTGCTGATTAGACTTGTTTTGTTGGCTTTCTTGGACCAAAAACTTTGCCACTTTAACAATAGAAATAGAGATAGGTGGCCGATACCATCCAGGTTTTTGAAAAATCAATTTTTCACCGCTCTTTTCTCTTGACAGAATTGATCCTAAAACCAAAAAGTTCAGGTGACTATTGGAAACGCACCAGAATAGAAGGAAAATTTATGGTTGCCGTATTTCTGAAGCTGACTGACGCTTTTATCGGGTAAGAAACCGATTTTTATGTAATCGTACGAAAATTAGTAGTGTGTGAATGAACAAAATGCATTGATGTGTAGATAGATTGAATACTGGTTGTTTTTGTCGGAATGCGAAGGGGAGTGGTTTAGCTGGGATTGGGGGGAGAGGGAGGGGCTTATTCAGTTTTTGGTACTTTTTTCATATTTTTTTAATTTCAGAAAAATTCAAAACATGTTAATTATTTTCATTCATGAAAAAACCGATAAAACAATTCATCATTTCAATCTAATCGCAGAAAATCGATATGAAAAAACTTTTTTAAAAGAATTTCCATTTTTTTCAAATCGATTTCTTAAAAATTTTATTAATTTGAATTTTTTATTTTGAAAATTTTCTATATTTAAAAAAAAACGATATTATTTGTAATATTATTTCAAATAAATCCTTAAAATTTCATATTTTTAATTTTTTTTTTTTATATTTTACGCTAATTGATGTTTAAAAAAACGTAAAATGCATAAAATGTTTAATAAACTTTTCGATTTGATTCGTTATTAAATTAAATTTTTTTTTTTTGAAAAAACACCATTGCTGGTTCGACTCGCTCCACTGGCTCAGATTTAAATAGGTTGGAGAGTTTCTTGACGATAGAAATATAGGTGAATCGCTAGCATCAGCCGGATTTTTGGATAGGTTTTAGATACTCCTGTGGAAAATGGAACCTCAGCATTCGCGCCTCCGAATTGAGCGACAACTCAGTGAGCCATTCTCGCCATTGCTTTCTCAGTTAGGGGATACTGCCGCCCACTGAAATGTAGCCCCGTTGGCTGGATTCTAACCAGACCCTCCTCGTTTCGCAGTGGCAGTAATTGACTGAAGCCATTCTTTTTTCCAAACTTCATCTATCGCTGGATCGCCTATACGCTAAAACGTCTCCATGTCTTTGTATTAATCAGTGCTATATTTTGGTTTTAATTGGTGTTAAATGAAAGTTGTCGATTTCATTACAAATTTTTTTTTTAAATTTTAGTAGTGTCGAGATGAATGATAGTACGCAGAAGTATGAAAATGCAGCTGGCAATATACAATATATGACAGGACCACAAGCAGCTTATACAGTTGTGCCTACAGTACAATATGGTACAGATGCGCAAGTTCAGTATGTTGGTCAGTTGCAACCGGCTATATCAAATGAGGCTATTACAATGGCAAAACTTGATGGTTCTTTAACGAATCTAGAAGAACAGCAAATGACTATTGATCCTCGTTACACTCAAATGATATATTTAAAACAAAAATTAAGTGGTGAGTAAAGAAAAATTATTCGTGATGATTTGTTTTTAACAGAAATGTAGACTAATTTTTTAAATTCTTGATATGATAAAGAAATTTTTGTGTAATTACTTCATATTGAATTTTACCGATTTTATAGGAGCGCCTTCAACTGCTGATAATTTGCAAAAACAAGAAGTTATTGAGAAAGAGGTTCCAAAATGCTCATTCACAACCGAACAAATGGATCAACTGAAGGCTCAAGTATGAAAATTGACGAATGAAGTCGTCATATTAATTTGTTTTATGAAAGTTTTAACTTTTCTTTCATTAATTACAGATAGGAATATATAAACTTCTTGCCCAGCAACAACCAATAAATATGGCATTATTGGCCAGCGCTGTGCATAAGCCAACTACTCTTTTGCCAGAAAAATATGAATTCTCAGCTGAGACTGAAAATGGCGAAAAACTTCCCTACGATTTAATGAAGATATTAACATTGCATCAGCAACGTGCAAACAGAACCACTACATTACCAACACCACCAGGGATTGATCCACAAACCATCCTGAAGGAACGTGAAAATAGGTATAATTTTTAATTTGTTTTAATTCCTATTAATGGTAATTTATAAAAAGGAAAAGATGTAATAATGATACTGATACGTGGTAATCTTTCAGCAAGATAAATGAATGGTAGATAAAAATAATCTTTTGGTCATATAGGTCCATAGTTATTCTATTTATTTTTATGTGAAGTTGATTTCATTATTCGAAAGCTGTGGCAAAAAAGATTCTATTAACTGATATTTATCTTCTATAGTATGACTTTTGTGGCTGAACCTTATTGTTCTGTTCTTCTGCTCGAATTATTGGCTAAGGGAGTTTCAAAGCTGTTTATCGGTGGCATATCTGGAAGTTATTTAAGTCAAATCTAAAAATGTCTAATTTTTCTATCTCGGTGTAAGCCCGTGTATCTTTAATATCGTATGCTTTATCTCTATTGAATGTAGTAGATTGGTTTTACTCACTTGTGACATCTTCCATCCCAAGGCTAAGCTAATAGCCGGATCTGCACGAGTTCCAATGCAATGATGATGAAGAATATGGCTGACCAATGTGGACAACCTTTTTCTAGGGGTATTATTAATGCATGTGGCACTCAAGCGAAGATGGATATAATCATGTGAGATTCTGCCCTCTCTGTAGAAACATAATTTTGCTTTTGATATGAGCGATCAAGTGCATTATAGCTTCTTTCTTTCTTCTTCTTCTTAAGAGTCCTCACCATTACTGGTTAAACTCGCTCTACTGGCTTATCGCATTGAGCAGGGAGTCCCTTGACGATAGAAGTACTGGTGAGTCTCCAGCACTCGGATTTTTGTACAGGTTTGTTCCTGTTAGGGATCGAACAACAGCTTCGGTTGCTGCAAATCGAGCAACAACCCACTGAGCCATCCTATCCCCGCATATAGCTTCTTGATATCTTCTACCATCATTGGCATTATTTCGTATAGCGGGATAATCTTACTGCAACCAGATGAATGCAAATTTTCTTTTTGATATTGATTTCTAGATGGTTCCACCAAAGTTTTTTCGAATAGAAAAAAAGCATTTCATCTTTCGTTGGCCATTTGTAATAAGTTTATTGAATCTAAAATATTTAAAATCAGGCATTTCCTAAGCCAGTGATATTATTTATATATTTATCTTAATTTTTCATTCGATGAGAAAATTAACCGTGAATTTATTGTGAGTAGAATACTGAAGTCAGTTACTATTCGTATTGTAAATGCATTTTTTAAGAAAATAGAAAAAAGATTGGAGCTATTTTTTTGTGAAATGAAAATCTTTATTGTTGCCAAATCCAGGATCCAAAATCGAATTGGTGCTCGTATAAAATGGTTAAGTAGTATTCCTGGTACTGTTAATAAAGCTTTGTTAATGAAGGCAGAAATGGAATTACGTGCTTTAAGGCTTGCCAATCTTCAAATACAAGTACCTTTTTTCTTTTTTTGTCTACATTTTTACTTTGCTTCAAATTTCGCCGCAGGTTATAATCTGGTAATTTCCAACGGAATTCGTTCACCTCACTGCTTTTTCATCAAAATTCTTTTTTAAATATGGTCTACTGTTAAGGTTCGCAATGAAGTGCTTAATCAGTTAAAAAAAGATACGACTTTGGAGACTGCTTTAAATCCATATGCTTATCGGCGCACTAAACGACAATCTCTGCGTGAGGCACGTGTTACCGAAAAACTTGAGAAACAACAAAAAGTGGAGCAGGAACGTCGCAGACGCCAAAAGCATATGGAGCTTTTGCAAGCTATAATTCAACATGGCAAAGAGTTCAAAGAATTTCATCGAAACAATCAGGTTATTTTTTTGATTATTTTTCGACTACTTTTCGATATTTGTAATTCAGTATGAATATTATCAAAATGATCCATGGATATAGGTAAATGAAATAGACCATGTGTTCAATGAGGATTTCTCGAAACTTCATTCCAATAAAAATTTTCTCAATTCTAGTTTCGTAATTTTTCTTCGAGAGTGCTCATTATATGTTTTACTCGAATAAAATAGATTAAGATTTCAAAAGGATAATTTTATTAAAAGAATTTTTAAAAAAATCTTTTTTTATTCAGCATCTATTTTCTTTTTCATCTATGAACGCGTCATTTGTAGTTTCACTGATTTATTTCTTTTTTTGAAAATTTTCACTTAAAAAATTTTATTGTAGGTTAAACATGGAAAGGTCAAAAAAGCCGTTCTTACTTATCACGCCAATAGTGAAAAAGAACGAAAGAAGGATGAGCAGAAGAACGAACGCATGCGTATGCAGAAACTTATGCAAGAAGATGAAGAAGGTTACCGGTTGGTTTTGTCGTATTCGTTAGAATTCTTTTTTCCTTCGAAAGATTGGTTTTTGCAAATTTAAATTTCTTTCATCTAGAAATCAAACTCAATATTTATTATTTTATACTTTAGACAACTGTTAGATGAGAAAAAGGATAAAAGGCTTGTATTTCTATTGCAACAAACAGATGAATATGTTGAAAGCTTAACTGGTCTTGTAAAACAACATCAGGCAACTGAGAAGCGCCGAAAAAGAAAGGAAAGAAGAGAGCAAAAAGCTCAACAGAAACTTCAGGATGGTTAGTTTTGACCATTATTTTACTGTAATTTTCCTTCGACATTTTACGTTGAGCCAAGCCTGTTTCCGTATCTGTCATTGTGACATATTTTTAGTTGGAGATACTAATGATGTCAAGATCCATATTCGCAATATAGCAACTGGTGAAATGCTACCAAGTAGTGAAGCGCCAAAGCCAGATGAAGTTGATCCTTGGTTGGAGACGCATCCTGGATATGAGGTTATTGATAGTTGAGGAATGTTGATTTTGATGCATTCATGAAACTTTTTAAGAAAATAAGTTTTTAAGGTTGTATCTCGCGATGAATGTTCCGACAGTGACGATTCTGAAGTTGATGAACCGTTGGCTGAGCCGGTGGAATCAAGAAAAGATGATGAATTTGAGGGTTTAGATGAAGAAGCTCGCAATCGTAAAATTATCGAAAAGGCTAGAAATGAGGAAGATGAATACGACCAGAAAACTCGAAGACAAATTGAATCATATTATGCCACTGCTCATAAAATTAAGGAAAAAATTGTAACACAACATTCAACTATGGGTGGAGGTAATCCTGAGCTACAACTAAAACCATATCAGGTATGAAATTTGAAATTTCTTTGTTCAATGCAAACTATCATTTGATCTTTGGAGATTTAATTAAGATGAATTTTTTCATTGATTTTTAATTTTTTAACTTTTTTCCAGTTGAAAGGATTGGAATGGATGGTTTCTCTTTATAACAATAATCTTAATGGCATTCTTGCCGATGAAATGGGACTTGGTAAAACTATTCAGACCATCGCTCTCGTAACCTATCTAATGGAAGTTAAAAAACTTAATGGACCATATCTTATCATCGTTCCTCTCTCGTACGATTTTATTGCTTCTTGTTTATTAAAATTTTCATTTAAAATTAACTCTTATGGCATGGTTTCAAAAAACTAGATTTATTTCGTTTTAGTACCATCGCAAATTGGAGTCTAGAACTAGAAAAATGGGCTCCGCATGTCGTGAAAATTGTTTATAAAGGGAATAAAGAATGCAGGAAGAAAATGGAAGCTGTTATTCGTCGAAATACTTTTAATGTTCTTTTGACTACCTACGATTATGTTTTAAAAGAAAAAGCTCTTCTTGGAAAAGTAAGGAAATGATTATTTAATATTTTTCTTTGAGTAAAAACGTTTTAATATTTTATATAAACCAGTCCTAATGTATACAAATGGAAGTACAAGATGAAGCACGTTGTTCATCAATTCATTGCAGATACGCTGGAAGTATATGATTATTGATGAGGGTCATCGTATGAAAAACCATAATTGTAAATTAACATTGGTTCTCAATGGCTATTTTACAGCGCAACATCGTCTTTTGCTCACTGGCACACCACTTCAGAATAAACTTCCTGAACTGTGGGCTTTACTTAATTTCCTTCTTCCCTCAATTTTCAGTTCCTGTGGGACCTTCGAGCAGTGGTGAGTACATTTTTCATTTGAGAATTATATAAATATAACTATAATTAACAAAAGCAAACTCAAGAACAGATTTATTTCTTGAAGCTTCTGTTGTAACTTAATGTTGAGGCCTTTAACAACTGATATCAGTGCAGTTGATCTTTTTATTCGTTTAGGTTCAACGCTCCATTTGCTACAACCGGTGAAAAAGTGGAATTAAATCAAGAGGAAACCATGCTCATTATTCGACGTCTGCATAAGTTAAGTTTCTATTCCATTGCTTATTTAAATGGATAACTGGAATAACCAGTGTTAATCATCATGTTCGTATGAGTAAATTACCTTCTTATATAATATAATAACTTTCTATCTTCTATCTATCTTATCTATCTATTATCATGTTTCTATCTTATATTATATAATAACTTTCTATCTTCATAAAATTAATTTTAGGTTCTTCGTCCATTTTTACTGCGTAGACTTAAAAAAGAAGTGGAAAGCCAATTACCAGAAAAAACAGAATATGTTATAAAATGTGATATGAGTGCGCTTCAGCGAATGCTATACCAGCATATGCAAAAAGGCCTTCTCATAGATAGTAAACATGTAAGTTTCGAAAAGTTCTCCCATTATTTTTCTATGATATGCCAGTGAATTTTATCTTTAATTTTCTTATGATTGATTATTGGAATTTTCAGGCTGGTGGTCGAGCTTTGATGAATACAGTTGTTCATCTTCGCAAGCTGTGCAATCACCCTTTCCTCTTTGAAAATGTCGAAGAAGAATGTCGTGAATTTTGGAAGGTTCAAGATGTTACAGGGTGATTGTCGTTCTTTTTTCTAAAATTTTTTTGTTTTATTCTACCATTATAACCGTAGATTTTAAATTGAATAATTTTTTAAGTAAGGATCTTTATCGAGTAAGTGGCAAATTCGAATTATTGGACCGAGTGTTACCAAAGTTGAAAGCGTCTGGGCACCGTATTCTAATGTTTTGTCAGATGACATCTCTTATGACCATTATGGAAGACTATTTTAATTATCGAGGTTAACTTAATTTTTTTGGTGGATAAAGATTGTTAATTGCTTTATCTACTTTCATTACTAGTTTCTTCATGGCATGAAATTTGATTTTAACAAGATTTATGTAGAATACAAATATCTGCGCCTGGATGGCAGCACGAAGCCGGATGAGCGTGGACAATTGTTAGGGATGTATAATGCTCCGGGCAGTGAATATTTCATATTCATACTTTCAACACGAGCAGGCGGTCTTGGTTTAAACCTGCAAACAGCCGATACCGTCATAATTTTTGATTCTGATTGGAATCCTCATCAGGTTCATAATTGAATATTTTATTTTTGAGTGCTTCAAAAATTCTTTATAGCTTCTATTGATGTACTAATAATAAATTCTCCTGTAAGATCTTCGGCCTGAAAAAGGTATTATTTTGTAATTTAGGATATGCAAGCTCAAGATCGAGCTCATCGTATTGGTCAATCACGCGAAGTTCGGGTATTACGTCTTGTCACAGTAAATAGTATCGAAGAAAAGATCCTCGCAGCTGCTAGATACAAATTAAATGTTGATGAGAAAGTTATACAGGCTGGCAAATTTGATCAGAGATCGACGGGCGCCGAACGCAGACAAATGCTTGAGCAAATTATTAGGTAATTTATTTCTAATTAGTAATTAGTCAAGAGTCCCAATACATTTATTTCTTCTTGTAAAAGTATTGCTAATTGCAGTATATAAAGAACTCAACCTATATTACTGCTAAGTGTCTATGCGCTCTTCTTGATACAGTACTAGCTTTTAAATGAATAACCATAAGTGAGGATATTAAAGATTTGGTGTAGAAATGCAGTTACAGTAAATTTTTTTGGTTTATCTAGATTTGTTGTCGTCGAATCAGGTTGGATAAATGTTTTATGTTTTGATTGAGGTCCAACATTGTGGGTAGGATTCCTATCCTTGATGAAAATGAGATTAAAAGTGAAGTCATTTGCTGGGATCCCAACGCTGTTTCGCATAGATATCTGCCTTTGATGGAATAGTTAGGATTTTCTACATTGTGGAGTTTTACTTGTTTGACTGCATCAGATCACTACATTTTTGATTTGTTGATTAGCTAAATGTTTTGTCCTCCAAGTTTCTTTTTATAAAGACTATTTTTAATTTTCTTCAACATTTTTTCTGTGGCACAGCCGATAATTGCAATAAATCGTTTACTTTGATTGAATGCTCTTGATATTACTCAAGGATTATTTCTGGGATAAAAAATTTATTTTTTTCAAAAAAAATTTGTTAGCATGACCAGTTTTTTCTGAGTTTCAGGTATAAACCGGTTCCATTCCTATTTATTCCGTACTATCGTCATTGTAATAGGGTGACATCTATTATTCCATCTTCAAGATCTATGGTTCAGGCGTTTTATTAAAAATCGGAGCAAATAACTATTTTTAGTATCGCTGCTTTATTTTTAAGATTATGTTGGAAATATTTGAATAATTAATTAACCATTTTAGAATAGTAAGACACTAAAGCATGATTACGATTCCGAAAAAGGAACTTATCAATACAGTCTGTATAACCAAATCAGAAATTTTCTTTGATATCGTACTTATAATAAAGAAATCAATACTATGAATGAGATGATTTTGTTACTATTTCGAAAATTTAGAGCAGAATCAGAGGATGATGATGAAGATGAGGTCCCGGATGATGAAACTATCAATCAAATGATTGCTCGATCCGAGGAGGAATTTGATCTCTTCCAAGTAATCCGTTTTATTTTCTTAAGAATTTTCAACTTCACATTTGCATTATGTTTATGCACTTTAATTTCAATTGTATTATTCAGAAAATGGACATTGAACGAAGACGCCAAGAAGCTGCAGAATATCGTCGCAAACCTCGTCTTATTGAAGATAACGAAATACCTGTAGGAATTGTTAAGGCATCACAACATTTCATGGATGAGGAAAAAGATGCACGTAAGGGCAAGATAACAATGGAAACCATGGGAAGGCGAAACCGTAAAGAAGTTGATTATTCACAGGTTTATTCTGTTTAATTCAGTTGTATGGTATTTTTTTTCTTCTCGCTTTTCTCGAACAAAAAAACAAAAAATTTCATGCCTAGATTTTTTAAAGGATCTTATGTCGGATAGAGATTGGTTGCGAAGTATTGACGAAGATATTGACGACGATGAAGATGAAGAAGAAGAAGATAAAAAAAAGAAAAAATCCAAGAAAGAAAAAAGTGGCAAGCGAAAGCGGCAAGGAGGTAATCGGTTATTTTTTGTCCAAAAAAAATTTTTTTTGATTTTCAGTGTAAGTAAGCGTATTTACAGCTGTCTTTCTTTCAGAAGATGACGATGATGAACCTCACAAAAGAAAGAAAGTTTCACCTGAGTTAACAGCAGCTCTTACCAAACTTTATGAAGGAATAGTGAATTATCGGACAAGGTATATCAAATATTATTTGTTACAAATATTGTGTTAACAATAATTCTGCAGAAATTTCCTTAAGTTTTTTGTTTTTTTAACGTAAAGAAACCGAATAAAGCTTCGCTCTAGATAGTGCTTTGCTATGGTCGCACTCTTTTATTAATTTAATTAATTTTTCTTTATAATATTTCTGGCCGATCGCAATTATCTTTCAGTAGTGGACATGAACTGGCAGCTGCCTTTGAACAGCTGCCATCTCGACGCGAATTACCAGATTATTATGAAGTTATTGAAAGACCAATGGATTTAAATAAGATGAAGAGGAAAATCAAGGAAGGACGTTATACATGTGTTGAAGATATGGGTCAGGATCTAAAACTTCTATGCGAAAATGCTCGTGTGAGTAATTACTGATAATTCATTCAATTTATGATAGTTGTAGTTTTAATCACATTTATTGAACCATTTGAAGAATTCAGTGCAGTTTTCGCTATTTTTCAGAAATATAATATCGATGGATCGGAATTATTCAATGATTCGATTTTGCTCGATAAATTATGGGATACGCTTACTGGTGGAGGGGAACCAGTGAACAAATCTAAAACACCTTGTCAGAATGAAACGTCATCAACAGGACAAGATGATGGAAGTGATGATAGTGAAGAAAAAACACTTCAGAATTCTGTTACCGTCTTGTAACTCCCTTTTATCATTACGAAAGTTTGTGTCTTTCTTTTATTCATTTTGCTCTTTTTTTCGAGGATACGCCAAAATTGCCAAAATATTTAACAAAATAATTTCCCTGAACTATGTAGTCGTCAAAGTGTTCATAATTGAAGAACTCTAGAAATTTTTTATACATCGTTTCTCTCCTCATCCGTTTTCATATTTCTAAAGTATCTGCAACAAAAAAAAAGTTCGAAAAAAGCGGAGAATTTAGAGAATTTAGTGCTTTTAAAAACGATAAAGTGCTTATTTCTCTAATTTCGCAATAATTTTTGAAATTTTTACATATTTTTTTATTTTCACATTAATTTATTAGCTAATCAGTAAATTGTTTAATTGGTTATATTATCGCAAATCGTTTTTAGTAAGTATTTATATAATATTTCGCTACATATATCCGAAAAAAGCTTATTTATTTTCTTCAAAATCGGCCAGTTCTTTCCAGTCCCTGTTAAACGGTGTTTACTACCCTCCATCGACAAATTAGATTATTTTTTTCTATAGGCTCGTCCAGTCGTCCAGTTGAATCATTTTACCCCAATCCGTCAATAATAACCTTTTTATATCCCATGTAATCGTCCAAATTTTCAAAGTTCTCGCTACCTCTAGACTTCCCTCGGAAGCTGTTATGCCACACTATAATTTCAGAGTGAAATCTTTATTACAACTCGTAAAATTATTGAAATTATAGAATCATCGCAGAGGGTATTATAGTGGGAATTTGAGGATAAGGTAAGATTATGGGGATTTTGGGAATATCAGTACATGTAGATTCAAAGAGATTCCAAAAATTACAACGGGTTTTGAAAGGATATCAAGGGGTGACAAGATTTGAAGTCAGTTCTGCCTATCCGTTACCGGTGGGTCAGTAATATTAGAGTCGCTATTAACAGCACTTTAATTAGCAATTCATTTTAAATATTCGGGATTTTGCGGAAAAAAACATTTATATTTGCCAGTCTGTTAGGTTTTTTTCGTTTTTTTCATACTTTTCAATTTGTTTATGTTCCTTTGTAAGGTGTGATTTCTTTATTTTAAATGTTTCCATTTTTAATTTCTGTTCTTCAGTTATGCAAAAGTGGGCTGAATAGAAGTTCGATTTTTCGTCTTATTTTATGGAATGAACCCATCCTATTTGCGCAGATTTTTTCTTTCGTTTTTTTTCTCTAAATTATTGTTGCTGTCTCATCCACATCTCAGAGGTGAGAAAAAGTCGACTTCAATTCTTAATTTTGCTAGTGAAGAGAACTTGGAGAACGAGGAGACTTACGAATTTTTTTGTACAATCATATTAGCAAGTTTCTCGTATAAGTTTGGTATTTTATTTTTCTGTTTATCTATTTTTGTTTTAAAAAAATTTCATAGCTTAATTCATTTGTTTTTTTTGCCTAATTGTTTTCATAATTAGCGTTGTTTATATCTCAATTTTTTATTTGTTATTCTTCAATATATTTACAAATATTTAAATGTTTATACTGATTAATTAAATTCCAGTGATTGAAATAGAATTTTATTGTAAAAATGGTCGCTTAAAAAATTAGCTAAAGAAATTTTTTTGTTCTCCACTTTATTGTGAATATTATTATAATCATATGTTGTTTTATACACGTAAAAAAAGGCAAGAGATAATTATGGGCGAATTTTCATATGGATCATCGAAATGTTTTAATTATATTTCATATATTTTATATTTATATATTCATTATATATTATAAAATATTAAATATTTTATTAAATATTTTATTATCATTTAACCTTTGAATGTTTTTAGTGATTAACCTATCAATAGCCATTATTATTTAATTAAAGAAGAGGAATCATTTTTTATGCTACTTTAGTTGCGAATTTAAATTAAAAGTTTGATTATTGGCGTATAAAATTTATAAACTTCTAGCATAACAACAGATTTGCAAAATATTTGTTGAAACTCTTAAATGGTCTAAAAGATGCTAAAGGATAATGATTCTATTAAATTATCATTTATCAGTTTCGCTAAAAAAAAAATTTATTCACAAAGAATTATTTCGATGCTGATAAGCGAAATTGTGCAAAAAGAAAAAATTGAAAGAATTTTTTAAAGTTTTTTAAAGATGATTCTGTAATTACAATGGTTTCTATGAGGGCAAATAGCAAATAATTTTTGTACGATAAATAGAATTGTGTTACAATTGAGAATAATTTGCCGGATTTGTTGAATATGCTGGTTAAGTTGTTAATATATTACAAAGCAAAAAATCTGCATATTACCGTTCAATCTAAGGCTCTACTTTTTATCACTAAATAATTCCGTGATAAATTTGTGATTATCATTGTTGTTGTAAGTGAAACGAATCGAACCAGAAACGTTCTGTTCGAGGCGAAGAAGGTTGTATTCGATTGTATGCATCAAAATCTAATTTTCTAAAATAATGAAAATAATCATTCTGTTGAAATTTTTTTTTTCTTCAATAAAGGATGTGTTTTATAAAAATCTCGAAAAACTACTAAATCAATCCTCAAAATATTTCATTTGTTATTGAGAATGGTGCATTTATTTTATTCGGTGTTTAGTCTTTTAAAGTATTTTTTTTTTTGATTAATCGAGAAGGTGATTGATATAAAATTTTAATTTTTATCGCTATAAGATTAGTTGAAGAAGTACGAATAAGTACGAATAAGTGATAAGCGTTCATTTCTAGTTGGTCTATCACTGTTACGGTAAAGAAATATGGTTTTATCATTATTATCATTATTGATGTTCTATGATTGTTCGTCGTATCGTACGTTGTTAACGACTCGTTCAGCATGTCACATTCGCGCCTTTGACATAGCAATTTGACGAATAGAATAAGAAATATTTTTCCAGAGAGTACAAATGAGTTGTCTCGTAATGAAGGATTCGCTATTGTCGGCGAAATCCTCCTGAATTCTCGCCTTTCGCCTTTCAATTTTGTTAATCTCAATTATTATTCACATTCACTCGATTTAAACGATTCTATTCTATCATTTTGTATAATTGAAAATACGATTTAAACGTATTTTTAAATCGCCTTAATTTATTTTAATAGATTTTTTATGTAATTTTCTCATTTTTTTAAATTTTCATTTACAGCTAATTCCATTTTCGAAAAATATTTATTTCAATAAATAAGATTTTTATCAGAAAATACCTTCAATTAAATACCATCGTTTTTCATTGGTTTACTTTGTAATTTCTTTCTCTTTATTCGATATTATTTCTCTTTTTGTTGTTAGCTTTGGCATATTCATTTTGTTAATCATATCGTAATCACTATTTTTTTTTTTTCATTTGATACTTTATCTTTTTGCTATTAATGCAAGCAAATAGCGCTTATCACCATGATTGGTTGCTTAGATAAATAAATAAATAAGTAAACAATAGTAATATCATTATAATATAATGGTAATGGCATCAATGATAATGATAATAAAAATTTTTTCTTAGAAATTTTTCCAAAATTATATTTCATTTTAGTTTGACCATAATTTCATTTAAATGTCATCATATAGATTTTGCTCAAAATTATCTCTTCAAAGAAAAAAACCACTAAATTTCTCTAAAATCTCTGGAAATTCAATAATACAATTGTGCTTGTATTAATAACAAATCTCTGGAAATTCAATAATACAATTGTGCTTGTATTAATAACAAATCTCTGGAAATTCAATAATACAATTGTGCTTCAACAGGAATAAAGGCTAATCCTGGTCGTTCTAGCGATCCATCTGTATTACTATTTTTCTATCGTCAAAATAACTCTTTGTCGAAAAATTTCTTATCTTACATCGCTAATAGCCAGTGGAGTGAATATTATTTAATTATCATCATATTCCTATCGTTACAATCCGGATAAAGGCAGCGTTATTATATATTATATATCAAGAAATGCGTTAATCCGGTTGGCGAAATTTTTATGGAGCCGTCGTGAAATCATCATAAAAAAGAAGTCCGCTGCGATTCGCTCAATCTTTTTATATGGCTGTGTGAAACATGGCCAATGAGAAAGGAGGATGTTAGGAAGCTATTTGCATTTAACCACTCATATGCAAGATACATACATTTACAAGGATAAAATCTCCGAATGGATAAAATCTCATGTGATTGCATGCATCTTCACGCATATAGCATTTGTATTAACAGTGCTATCAAAGAGCGTCGTGTTCGCTGGTTAAGGCACATTCTTCGTCACCCACCCACAAGAGTTGATACATATTTCGTTATTTACTAAATCCTGGGTAGCATCAGTAGTGAGATGGGCCAATCAAGACCTGGACTGACAAAGTCAAGAAGGATTTTGAACGTAAGGGGACCAGCAATATATGGACTTGGACTGTGGAAAAAAGAATGGTTTCTATTACTGTCGACGATAGTGTCAGATCGCGCAGCTTGGAAATTTCTTATTCTTGTGGCCAGTCGAGCCAGCTTAACCAATAATGGTGAGTGCTATTAGGAGGGGATATTCCTATCGTTGCAAATTGAAATATAATTTGTATTATTCATAGGAGTGAATAATCAATGAATTAAAATATGTACCACAAAATTCATTATTTAAAAAAAAAATATTTTTTTAAATTCTACAAGAAAAATTTAAAATTTGTTTGCATAAAATTAATTCAGCATCATTTTCTCTTTACGAATCTTTGATGAGCTAAAAAAATAAATTGCATGCATTGTTGACTGAGTATATAAGTTCAGTTTCTATTCCTTAGGTATAAATTTCTTTTTTAAATCCAAGTAATAATGAGGATTTCTACTTCAATCTACAAGCGAACATTTTGTAAAAATTTCTTATCATATCAGTTCATGGAATAAGATAAATCAGAAATTATAAGTGCTATTGGAAGAAAGAGGCAAAGTTGAAAATCTTCAGTTAGCATTTCATTTCATCTATGGAAGGCAAATTGAAATTTCAGAAAATAATCGAGAAAAATAAATAAATATTAATAAAAACCAATGTGATGACTTATCAGTTTTTCTAAAAAACTAATTTGTTAACAAAACAAAGATGCATTTATAGGTTTATTTAATTTATTACGATTCAATAAATCGTTTGAAAAGAAATATATCATTTTTAAATTGGTAATCGCTATTTTGTCGCCGATTGCATTTTTTCTTTTTGCGCTCATTTTTTAATGAATAAAAAATTCTTATTCACCAAATATAAAAAACGAAAGTTTGAACTGATTGCTTTTTTTTTTAACTAGAAATTGGTTATTTTGGTGTTTTTTAATTTTTATTAAGTTAAAAATAGACGAATATTGTTTGCCATTTGAAAGATTGTTGTGGTTCAGCCTCTTTTGCTGGCACTAATAAACATTTCATTAAAATTGCATACTGATGCGTACGTCGATCCGCTGGTGGCTCTTCTATAAAATCGTGAAGTCGGCCTCATTCTGCGAATCGTTAGTGGAAAGACGTCAATTAAAAATGTTAAATATCTTTTTTTTTCAATAAAACGTTAACTACTAACATCCATGTAAGCAGCTTTTTTGCTTTTGATAATTCGTTGAATCAAATGATCATTATCAGTATCACATTTAAGAATTTGCAATATTTTTTTCTTCAGTGATAGTGAAAATGATTTAAAAATGGCAGTTCATTTCAATATTACATTTTAGTAACTTTTGAACATAAAAATTTAAATTTAAATGATTTCTGCTCGAAAAATGTTGATTATTCTTTTAAAAACCTTTCATATTCTATTTTATTTTTCAATGAAAATTTGAAGAAATTAGGCAAAAATGCTGAAAACAATAAAATGGAAACTTAAACTTTTCAATAATAGGAGCATTGGGACTTGTAAATCATATGGAATTAGCAATGTCCTTGAATCAGTTCGATTGTATATTAAAATATCCAATATTAAATGAAAAACCTTGGTTAAAGATTTATTTACCTCCAATTAAACCTATTTCACATTATTCAATAATTTGTTATTATTTGACAAAATTGGAATTTATTGTAATCAGTATAAGTAATAGATTCGGTGAGTTTGTGTTTGCTACGAAACACTGATAGAATTATTAAAAATTGGCGAAGCGAATTATTAAAATAAATATTTATTGGCTATCAGTTGTATTTTATTTTTTTTTTATTCCAATACTGATTAAATGTTAACGGTTAACAGTAAACGATAAAAAGATATTATTTTCATTTTGGTTAAAAATATTAGTTTAATTTTCTAATTTTTATAATTTCATATTTTAAAAAGTTGATAATAATATTTTGAAAATTTCTGTTAAAAAGAATCAGCCGGTATGTGCACTTAGCAAAATTTTTTTTTCCCACTCTTTCATATTTTCGTTGTTGACTTTTCGACAAAATTTCATTGAAATTTTATCCAAAGTAATTTAATCGCATTTTATGCAATTGAAAAAAAAAAGAAACTTTTATCTTTTCATTCATTCATAAATTTTTTTAGTACAACAAAAGAATTTAATTATTTTCTTTCGATAAAAATATTTCAGCGAATCGAGTTGACTCGCTAACATTTCGCTAATATTTTTACTTATGCAAAAACAAATCCATTCACTCGATCTTGTTCAAATTTCACTTCCTGCATTTGCCGAAGGCTTCACATACATAAATGGAATAGTGATAAACATCATTTAATTGAATGGGATTTTAATTGAGAAATATTAGATAGTCGTTTGGCACGGCTGGCAAGAATTAACTAGTTTTAACTTCTATATAATAATATTAATAATAGTAATAATAATAACAATAATAATAATAATCATAATCATAATAATAATAATAATAATAATAATAATAATAGTGCATATTTAAAATTTTTTTTTTTAATAGAAAATTTATCTGTTTGTCTATTTTTTTGGAATTTTTTTGTTGATTATTCTGAAAATATATTTATTAATATTTTATATCTCCTTGTAATTTTTTTTTGTTTAATGAATTATTTCTTAAGAAGATGAGAAAATGAAAAAAAAATAAACTAAGAATCAGTGAGAGAACAACACCATTAATACCGTTTAACATTAATCTTTTCTTTATCAAATTTAGCCGAAAGAAAAAGAAATATGTGTTTTTTAATTTGTGTTTATCATTCGCCTTCCACTCGATCATAGGCTTGTGATCAAATGTTTAGGGCGAAAGGCACTTTAAGTTGTGCTTTTATATTTTCAGGCATTTAAACATTTTACTTCAATATTTATTTTATGTCAATTATATTGAATTTTCAATGAAATAAGCTAGCAAAAATTTTTTGATAGAAATCTATCGTTTGCAATTTTGCAACTTAATTTGTTCAATTTTTTGCGATTTATTAGAGTCAAAAAAAAATTATTAAATACTGAAAATGAATGGTACCTAATTGGAAATTTTAAAAAAAAATTTGGCATCTAATTAAGTGCATAAACCGCAATTCCCTTAAGCTAATTTGTTCAATCTTCCAGAATCGCATTCATTTTTTTTTCATTCAATTTTATGGTATTCTGTATTGATTGTAGTTTAGTTTAAATTGACTTATACGCCCCTCAGAACAATGATAGTTATTTTAGTTATTTTAAATATATATATATATTTTGCAATTTTCCTTTTCCGTCATTTCGTATAACTTTATAAGCACCATTATATATATATATAATGCCATAACTTTTTCCTTATCAAACCTACTTCTCTAATTTTTCTCCTTTTCTTAGCCTTAGGAACTCAAATGTGTTATAAATTTTACGATAACATTTTCCATATTTGCGGAAATAATTCGATTTGCTTCACTATATTCTCAATATTTAAAGCAAAAAAAAAAAGAGGAAGCTCAAGGAAGCTCATTTGGAAAATTACTAGAAATTTTATTTGCATGTTTGCATGTTTTCTGTTTCCTTTTTTCGAACAGCATAGTGACTTTAACTTATCATTAGTCTTATCAGAGGTTATCGATTTTATCACGTTTTAACAGGCGAAATGTATAATTTTTTTAGTAAGCTTTTCAGGTTTTATACTAAAAAAATCTTTTCTTTTTTCAAAACTGGAATCTTTTTTTGCTGATTAGATAAAAAATTGGATAAAAGGAAAAATAATCGATTATTTAAAAAAGAAATTTCAGTTCTTTCCTTTTATGGCTTTCAAAAAAAAAGCAATCTCATTCTGGCTAATTACTTTTGGATGCAAAAAGGCTAAAGCTACTGTAAGACTCATGCAAATTAAAATTGTGTGTGTATTTCAATTATTATTTTCGCTTTCTCAAAAAATGCGAGAAACATATTTTCATTTCCTTCTCTTTCACACCACATCGCGAATAATCGCGTTGAGTTCCGCTGAATTGAGATTTGGCTGATCTTTTAGTTGAAAAATTGCGAGATGAAGCTAAATGGAAATAGCTGCTAAATATTTTGAATTGCTGCACTTTAAGCAAATCTGTGAATTTAAAACAAGGTATTACTTCGTAATCAATTGAATGAATGAATTATTCATCGTTTCTGAATCTCGTAATCGCGAATTTACAACGATTTTCTACGGTATGGGATTATTTTATATGAATACGGGAATCATCCTATCAAAAAGGTTATGTGCAAATGAAAGTTGGGAACCTCTGCTCAATGCATCATTTTATTTACAGATATGATTGATAACAATGCTACTATTTTATAATTATCGACGTTTGATTTTAAATTTAATAAAATAGAAGAGAACTTTCTAAAAATAAGTAATGTTGTAAGGAGTTCGTCTATAAAAGAAACCATTGACAGTGGAATTTATTCCACTTCTTATCATTTTCGTTTTTCCCATTATGAATATTTATCCATATTATTTTTTATTTTTGTTCAGTGATAACAGATAACAGATATCAAGTATTTGCGCTTTCCGAATGAATTTCTTTATTTAATCAAATTTTTATTTCATAGTTTTTAGGAATTTGTTCATCAATGTTGTTCATGGTAAATCCTAAATCAGCGAGCAGTATATTGAAGCAGAATCGAAAACGATTTGAAAGAGTTTCAGATCACTGGAATATCACGGTAGTTTTCTTTTCGATTATTCCGTATAAAATTTCGTATTTTATGATTTCAACGATCATTATATTTTATTTCAGAAATTTGTAATATCGGTCGTTTTCTTATACTTGATCGTCTCGCTATTTTGCATCATCCTGCACTATCCAGTATCATTGATCTCGTTAGTCGTCCCGATTTTTGTAACTGTTCATGCTATACTATCATTAAAAAGCTGTGATAGGCGAAATCTGTGGCCGTGCGCCTTTTCTGGAGTGAGTTTGAGCCATCTTTTTAGCCATATTTAGCCAGATAAATAGTATGCATGCACATATTAAAACTTTCAGTTTTAAATGGCGGATTTTTAATTAGTCGATTATCTTTGTAGCAATCTTCATTGGTTATGGCTTCACATGGGGGGTGGAATGGCTCCGTTGTTCCCATTTCGAAGAGCCAGGGATATGGTTTTACTCCTGGCAAGAATAAAGTTGTCTTCTTTCAAAAATTCGGATGATGCTGGCGATCCACCGATACTTTAATCGCCAACTGGCTCCTGTGGTAAAATTTAACCTGATCTGACTATGGCAGCGAAGCAAGCGGAACAAGAAATGATCACTTCTAATTTTTTACTGCATGAATAATTAATATTATTTTCTTGATGTTAATTTTTTTTTTCAGTTTGTTGGTCTTCTAGTTAAATTCGCTGCAATAATCGTGTTTTTTAATATTTTTCCTGTCGATGCAAAACCGACAGGTTCAAAAGTGATGTTATGGAAACTAAGAGATGGTATGGCAAATTTCGTTTTATAAAACCTACATCTTGAAAAAATATGCTATAAAAATTCTTCCTAAATTCTTTTTTTTTCCTAAATTATTAAAAAATCTTTTACTATGACTTTTGGTTGATGAATAATATTATAGGCAATTACGCTTAGGTTTTTTACATGCTAAAATTTCATTGTATTAATAAAATTTTTTTCAGAATCGAATAAAAAACTTATATTTTTTGGTGTTTTGATTTCGATCGAAGCGATTGTACTCATTCTATCATTCTATTTACAATGGCATATTAAAACATTCATTGAAAGTAATGAAAAAAATAAGCGAACCGATCGAGAAGTCCAAACATATCTATGAACAACTTTGATGTAACAAGACTTATTTCGTAAAGAATCGAATAAATTTTACTTGTTCAATGTATTTCGTTCTACTGAAAATACTTTTTTTTTTTTTTTTTTAAAGAGTCCTCACCATTACTGGTTAGACTCGCTCCACTGGCTTGTCGCATTGGATGACAAGCCAGGGAGTCCTTTGATGGTAGAGATACAGGTGGGTCGCCAGCATTATCTGGATTTTTGTGCAGGTTTACTCCCGTGGAGAATCAGCATCGGCGTTCCCAATTGAGCAACAACCCACTGAGCCATTCTATCCACTGAAAATACTTTACTTACACTGTTATATAAAATTGTTTATTCTTGCAACATTTGAAATATTTTTAACACTTCAAAAAAATATTTGTTTTGTTTCTAACGATTTAGAGTTCAAACTTTACTTATTTCTCAACTGGAAGCTTAGGAAGTTACTCGGGCTAAAAGTTCGACTCGAAAATTTATATTTAGAAAGAAAATGAGGTTCATTTCCATTTTCTAATGTGCTAGTCTAATGGGTTAAAAAAGGGGCATCAAGCGAAGAGCGCTGCTCCCATAGTTTCGGCTAATTCCAACATTACATTGAACTATACGGTTCATATTGGTTCAAATTGTTTATTTAAAAAACATCAATGAATTTATGTCAAAAACTAAATATTAACAAAAAACTGATTCCTTTATGAAATACTTCGCTGATTCTGTTCCCCGCAGTAGTAAATCTCATAAATCCGCGTGATGCTGGTGACTCACGTGTGCTTCCATCGTCAAGGCATTCCCTGGAATATTTGTCTAGTGCGATAAGCTAGCGGAGCAAGTTTAAACAGTAATGGTGAGGATTCTTAAAAAAAAAAGGTTCTAAAAAAATGAAATACTTAAAAAAACTCGATTTTTACTTGTACTGAATCGAATATTTGCGATACGTTTGCAAATGATTCTAATTCGCAGCGATTTCTATATTTTTTTAAATGACAAAAAATTTTTTCTCAAAATTTAACAGTAATATCCATTATTTTGGTAAAAAAAAATTAACCTCTTGGTTATTCATTGAAAATCTCAAATTCACATTCTCAAAATTTTTCTAAAAATTATACTTTATTATTATTCTGTATAATAGCAACTAATTGTTAAAAGGTTTAAAAGGTCTTTTTTAATTCTTTAGTCGATTTTTTTATTTTATAAGTTGCTGCGATTCCTTCAAAAATTTTTTTTACTTTATTAGTTTTAATTAAACGCCTTTTGATTTTTTAAATTTGATGAATGCTTTATACAAATTACGGCCAAAAAATCAGTATTATATGAATTATTGCTCCAAATTTCGAAACAAAATGATTATTGTCAAAAAATTTGAAAATAGCAGAACAAATTTTTTTTTAACATTCAATTGATATATGTCGAGATTATCTTTACTAACATAAATGATAAAAGAATTAATTAATCACTTCGGTTGCGCCAAGAAATTTCGAACTCTTTGCTTAAAATGATCACAGCGAACTTGAAATCATTTGACACTGGCACAATTATGAATTAGTTAGAGATTTTTTAAAATTTTCTGACAGATAATCTTACTTGATCCAAAGATGAATTTTTTTTTCTCTCGCACTTACTGAAGAAATTGTTTTTTAGAAATTTTAACCAATTATTTTTTAAAATTAAGATTGAGCATAAGCCACAGTATAAAAGCTTTGGTTCCAAATCACGAAACGAAAAGTAAACTACGTGAAACAAACGAGTTGTCACGAGGTTCATTTTCATCACCTAGTATAGTTGGAGCATTGATATAATTTCCATGCATACGTGAATATTATTTGCAGAATGAAAATATTTCACATCTCAAAATTTTTGAGCACTTGAATGAAGATATGTCTTCGTCCTTATGAATATTTTTTTTACACTCTTATACAATTTAAAATTGGAATTTATTGGAATGTTTGCGTAAAAAGTGGGTGTAGTGCGATTTTCGATAAAAGATCGAGTACTTCGAGAGCAGAACCATATAAATTAAGATGCCATGAGGAAAATCTCTTCGCTATATCATAATTTGGATATGATAAAGAAGTATTTGATAAATTTTATGATAATTGTAAAATTTGATAAAATTGATAAAGTTTAAGGAATAATACAATACAAAATTAGATTACAAGAAAAGTGGTCTAAATTTTTGTACTAAAACAAATAATTTACTGCTATATGGGTGGTCAAACTGCAAGAAAGATTCATTGTAGTTCAAGCATCACTCAGCAGAAAAAAAACAGAACTGAAAAAATTCTCTGTAGCACAAAATTTAAAACTTTTTTTAATTCTAGCAAAAAAAATTAAGATTGAGAATAATATTTTAAACGAAAATAACGAATTACTTAAAAATATTTTCTGATTACTTGTAAAGGATTGCGCTTATGATTGCGGATTATGATATGAAATTGTTTTTTGCTTGGAATTCTAGTTTTATAAATGAATAACTCGTAGAATGCGCTTTTCTTTTTTTATCATAAAGTTTTCGGAGGTAGTCATCAGGCATTACAGCTATTTTTTGATTATTGATTTAAGTTTTTGATTTGATCACTGATAAAGGAGTTCTATGACCAATGATAAATTAACAAACTGATGAAATTAATAAAAGCTTACTGAAAAGCCACAAATCATCTATTTTGAAATCTGAATCTGAAAAGTTTTTTTAGATTATGTTCAATTCGAAATCCACCTCTTGCTATAACAAATCAAACATGAACTATTCATCTAAGCTTGTTTCATACGAATCATTTATCATTTATAAATGTTATTTAAATATTACCCAAATTTATAGGCATTAGAATCGTATATTTATGAACATTGCATATATATCTGTAAATATTATCAATCGCTAATTTGATGTTGCTAAAATGACAATTTATTCTATTTAGATTTTGTTAACTCAAACACTGAACTAAGGTTAATCTATCAACTTGACTAGTTAAAGTGTAATTCAGTGATCATAAAGCTAATTCTAAACAATTCGAAACCTGTTATGCTGACAAACTCAATTGATTTTTCTCCTTGAACAAATTTTCTACGATATACAACAAATAGTTGTAATTGATTTCGAAGTCACTAAGAAATTTTTATTCTCATCGCATAAAATATTCCATTTAACCAAAATTTTTAGAATAAATTATGCATTTTTTTTATTTTCTCGTCAAAGTTTTCATAAATATTTTTATTTTTCATAAATGTTTCAAATATTCAAAGCAAAATAGAATAATATAAATGAAAACTTTGTAAATATAAACAAAAATACGAAATATAAATATAAAAAATAAAAAAAGCAAATTGAACCAACTTTTCGTTCTTTGCATTTTTATTAACAATGAACAAAAAAAAATTTACATTCACACTTTCACGTTTGTATTTCTGTAGAGATACTTCCAGGCCAAAAGATTATAGGATTCAAGTCCTAGCAACTTGCAAGTTTGCTACGGTAGTGGAATGTATTTGGCTTTAAGGCTTAAAATTTCTGCTTGAAATAAATTTATTTATATTTTAATTTATATGACAATATTGTGGTGATTTAGCGCATTGAATCTAGCACAGATTTTGCATGATCGCATCCACCTTCTCTCAAATACGACTTGCACTAATGTTATCAAAGAGCGTCGCTTTCGATGATTAGCACGTTCTCCGTCGACCACCGCAAGAGTTGTCGCATATTTCGTTACTTGCTAAACCGTGTGATGGATATGTATCAAAAGTGAGGTGGGCTAATTAAGACCTGGGCTGATAAGGTCAGGAAAAATTTTTGGACGTAGGGTGACCAGCAATATATGGACTTAGATAATGGAAAAAGGAATGGCTTCTATTACTGTCGACGATGGCATCAGACCGCGCCGCTTGGAAGCGCCTTATCTTTATAGCCGTTGGAGCTAGACTAACCAGTAATGGCCAATATTGGAAGAAGCATAGATTTCGCAGCAAGCTTGTAATCTTCTTCATAAGAGATAATTTCTTATATTTCTTCAGATTTAAGGAATAAGTCGATTCTTGATTTTTGTTCGATTTTGAAACTAAAACGAGAAGTTTTTTTTTTCCTTTTTTTCGATGAATTCAGTGAATTAAAGATTTTTATTAATTTTTATCTATGTTTCAGTCAATAAATTAAATTCTAATTTGAAAGTAATAGTCTCATATAATTTGCATATTTGCACATATAAAAAAAAAGCACGAAAAAAGCTAATATCTTTATTTTTGGTTTTTAGCTACTTAACACTTCAATAAAATTTGCGATATTTCTATCTTTTTTTTTTTTTTTTTTGCTGCACTTCACTTAAAGTTTAACCAAACATCTTCAGAAAAAACGCGATCCTAAATTTAATTTTTAATAACGATTTGCAATATAATATGATCTTCCATAGTTCAATTTGATAAAATTACATGTCTCCTCCATCAATTACCTCAGTTTAGTTATAATTTTATAACAAATATTTTAATTACAATTATAATTTTGCGCTGGAAATAGTCCATAATGCAATAAAATAGTGAAAATTTTATTGAAAAATTCTTATTCTCAAAACGACACACCAAATTTTATTTTATAGGAAATGCATTAATATTGAAGATTATTGCAATTCAAAAAAATTAATATCATCAAGCAGAAATGAAAAAAATTGTATGAGATTTCAGATATTTTTAAAAAATAAGAAAATGAATTAATTAAAAATACCAATAACTATTATGCTTTAAAAGTTCAGATGAGAATTTTTGAACTCTAAGAAACATCCTCCTATACATCTGTTCGAAAAATATCCTTTTGATGTGCAAACAAAGCCCGATTTCAACAACCCAATTCTTCTTGCGATATTTGTAGATCTCTAGAAAAACTAGATTTAGCGTGGGTTGTGGAGAGCAGTGAGGACCTAGCGACATACTTTTAGCCTTGCGCAATTATTTAGTGTAATCCAAAGCTACTCTTGTATTGCTGCTTAAAATTTTTTTGTTGATCGAAGATTCAATTAAGTTGCGAAATTCCTTCGAGTTCAGTTTCATTATGGTGTTAGAATTTATCATTTATTTCATCTTTTCATATAGTAATATCGAAATTTCTATGCAATTTCTATAGTTTCGGATATTCCTTTGTATTGATTTAAAACGAAAAAAAAAAGCTATATTGAGAAAATAGTGGATGTAATCAGTAATTTTTTCGTCCCTCAAATTTAATCAATAGAAAAATAAGATTTGATAAGATAAGATAATGTAAATTTCTTAGCTTTGATACAGTAATCTAAATTCTGAAATGTGAACTCATTTTATTTCGCATGCGATGGAATTAAAATTTATAAAAATAAATGGATGTGAAGGATGATATTAGATACTCCATATTTTCCACTTCATTGCCTTTTCCTTAATTAGTGATTTCTTCTATGAATGAAAATCAAAAAATTTTTAGTGTAAATTTTTGTATTTTCGAAAAGAATGGTTAAAATGGTTTTGTTCAGGAATATAAAAGATAGAAATTTTTAAAAGAATTTTGCTTGCCAGATAGTAATTAGGCAGGCGAATTCATTAAATCATGAGATTTTAGAATGACTTCGGAATGCGAAAGCGAACCAGGATGGGTCTATTTACGACAGTCAGCAGAGCAGGTAAATCAAATAGTTAACTAAGAATAAAAAGTCGATATAGAATTTTTAACTATTTTATACAAGCATTTAGCGTAATTCTTGAAATGATCAAATTGGCTTTTATAAAATATATTAATATAGTAATTTTTAGCAGTTGGCCGCAGCAGCAAAGAAATTCGACTCCAAAAAGAATGTTTGGGTACCCGATGCAGCTGAAGGATTTGTAGCTGCAGAAATAAAAAGCACAAAGGACGATATCATTGTTGTTATCACTAGTAATGGGCAAGAAGTTAGTCGTTTTAGTGCTTAAAATTTTTAATTTTAAAACTTAAATTCATGAGAGAATAAAAGTCGTAAAAAAAATTTAAAGGCCAAGGAGACCAAATAATTAAATGAAACGTCAAATTATGCGCCAATCCTGCTTTCCTATCTAATTTTTCGTTTATATCATTATCATATCATTTATATCATTATCATCAATTTATATCATTATTCGTTTGGTCGATTCTAGTGGCGACTAGTGTCAGATATTTCTGATATCTCCCATTCTCATTGGCCATGTTCTTGCAATAACATAATAGGATTGATTAGGCTACAGCCAAACAGTTACGAGTTTTTAATTTGAGGTTGATTTCGCGACAAATCTCCAAAAAATTCCAAAGGCGAAAGGAAGCTTTTCAATAGGAAACCAAATAACAAAATATCTAAAAATTTTCTTTTATATTCCACAATACTACTAAATTTTTTATTAAGAAAACTTTCAAAAAAGATGAAGCAAAGCAAATGAATCCACCTAAATTTGAAAAAGCTGAAGATATGGCCGATTTAACGTTTTTAAACGACGCTTCTGTTCTTCACAATCTTCGTCAACGTTATTATTCTATGATGATATATGTTAGTTGGTTTTCGTGACAATAGAAATATGAATGATGATAATCGGCCAATTTCTTTGTCTGTTATAAATTGTGATCGGCAATGTTCAAAAAAACGTTACAGTAAGATGAGAAAGGATATTTTATTCCTTTATTTAGATTATTTTCTGGGAATTAATGCCTTTAAAAGGGAAAATTCGCTTTCCACAACCAAGCTTATTGTTATAAAAATTGTTTAGACTTATTCTGGTTTGTTTTGTGTTGTCATCAATCCCTATAAGCGACTACCAATCTATACGGAAAATATATGCAGAATGTATATTGGAAAGCGTCGTAATGAAATGCCTCCACATTTATTCGCAGTATCAGATGAAGCATATAGAAATATGATAAATGGTCAGACTTCGTGATTTTTCATGTTTGACTCTTTCCTAATAAATGAGCATCAAATTAAGTTTGCATGCGTTTAGAAAATAAATGCATGTAATAATTGGATCTTAGAAGATCCAATTTTTAAAACTGCAACATCAATCAGTGACCAATAATTTCAGATCGAGTTAATCAATCGATGTTGATCACTGGAGAATCAGGAGCTGGTAAGACTGAGAATACTAAGAAAGTTATATCCTATTTTGCGACTGTAGGAGCAAATCAACAACAACAACAACCGTATATTAACATCTTTTTTTTTCATAAATAATGAAAAGATGAATTTGTTCACAGTAGTTGCAGGAATAATGCATATGGGTGAAATCAAATGATATAAACCGAAATTTACATCAAAAAATAGCCATAGTTTATTATTTTAATCTCATTTGAAAGGCCAACTGAATTCAATCAAACTATTTCCATAATCTAAAGCAATCGAGTAAAATAACAGGAAGAAAAAGATATCAAAAGTACAAGCCTCCATTGAGGACCAAATCGTTCGTACAAATCCTGTATTAGAAGCATTTGGTAATGCAAAAACTATCCGTAATAATAATTCGTCTCGTTTTGGAAAATTTATTCGAATTCACTTCAACAACGCTGGAAAATTAGCAAGTGCTGATATCGAACATTGTTAGTTTTATTTATTCATTTGCACTTTGCGGAAATCGTTGTTCAGTGCAATGTCATTATAATGGTACCAATCTGCTTAATTGCAGACCTATTGGAAAAGTCGCGTGTAATCAAGCAAGCATCAGGCGAACGATCTTATCATATTTTTTACCAAATTATGTCAGGCGAAATCAAAGGACTTAAAGGTATAACATTCCACGATCTTGAGACCCTCTAAAATTTGCGGTGATCGTTGTACGATATCCTTTAATAGGTGAGAGGAAAATCATAAATTTTTGTTTTAAAGAGAATTTCCCATTAGAAGATTCAACATTTAACAAGTAAAATCATATAGTAATATTGTAATTGTAATTGCAGAAAAATTGTTTCTCACTAGAGATATCCGTGATTATCATTTGATTTCACAGGCTGAGATATCTATTGATGGAGTCGATGACAAAGAAGAAATGCGAATCACTGATGTAATCTCTCGATTGGACTTTACTATAGCACCCACTCTAAAACCTAGCTGGCAATCTTTATTGTAAAATGCAGTTGAAATGGGATTATAGGATTATAAAAGGCAGCATAGTGGACGGGATAGACTTAGGGAAGGTTAGTTTTGATTTATTCCGTCCACTATGTTCCCTTTTCTATTATAAAGTGTAAAGTGTGTATTAACAGAATTAATTTTTGCGTTTTAAGATGGGTGCTATAGCTATATTTTACAATTTCTTTAAGATAATTAAGAATTTTCGAGAATATAAAAATGCTAATAGTGTTATTTTTTGGTTTACTAACTTCGATTCGCCTTTGATAGATTTGTTAATGAAGCATAATATCTAGAAATGAGAAAAAAGCAATTTTATCATTTTTGCATATAAAAAATCTGAAAAAAAGCCACTGTCCTTAATTATTAGTTAAAAAGCTATTAAAAGTATATTGAAAGTATATATTAAAAGGAAATCAGTATATGTTAAAAAATAAAAACAAAATAAAATTACAGGAATCATTCGATATAATGCACTTCACGGAACGTGAAAAGATGAATTTGTTCACAGTAGTTGCAGGAATAATGCATATGGGTGAAATCAAATTCAAACAACGCCCGAGGGAAGAACAGGCAGAATGTGAAGATCAAGCTGGTACTTATGCGATTTTGAGATAATTAGTCTGTTATTTTTTAAAATTTGGCCTATCGTTTTGGCAATTATCGCATTTCTCTTGGCTATAATTAGGATAAATTACTCAGTAAACGGACAGCCAAATGACTATTAAATATCTTTTGACATATTAACAAATCTTGCAGAAGGCGATTTGGCTTGCAAATTGTGGCAAGTCGATCAAGATAAATTCATTTCATCACTTTTAAGGCCGAGAGTCAAAGTTGGCAGTGAATGGGTTAGCAGAGGACAAAATCTTGAACAAGTAAGCTCTAAAATCTCGTTTTAACTGGGACCATGCCTGATCTTCAACTAAAAAGCGTAATTTTTTTTCAGGTATCATGGGCCGTTGGAGCATTGGCCAAGGCTTTGTTTGCTCGCATGTTTTCGTGGCTTATTAAGCGATGCAACAAAACCTTAGATGCCCAGAACTTAAGCCGTGATTATTTCATTGGAGTTCTTGATATTGCTGGATTCGAAATATTCGATGTAAGATCCTGTGATGTGATATAACTATTACTAAACTAATCTTACAATATGCTAACTAAAAAAAATTATTTCTCCTTTTAAAAATTTACCGACTTAAAATTTTTAGTTGAATTCTTTCGAACAACTGTGGATAAACTTTGTTAACGAAAAGTTGCAACAGTTCTTCAATCATCATATGTTTGTCTTAGAACAAGAAGAATATCAACGCGAAGGTATAAAATGGGAGTTTATTGATTTCGGCCTTGATCTGCAGGCTTGCATTGAGCTCATTGAAAAGGTAGTTTTATTTAAGTGATTTTTGATTATCGTTATCAGCAATTTTATCAGCAAAACTCCCATCTACATTTAGTCCATAGTATTTATGGATAATGATTAGCTTATCTTTGTGTAAGTGTAAGAAAATATGTCAGTGAAAAAAGCGCCAACAAATATAATTTTTACAAAGAGTTCGAAAGTATTTTATGCCACAAACTCAATTCTTCATTTTGACAAATTGTAAATAATTTGTACTTCTTTTACTTTTTTTTTGCTGCTCAAATATGTTCCTTTACATTTTCAAATTCACCTTTTAATTTGCTTTTTCTTTATGGAATTTTTTTTTTTTTTCGCTTTTTAATGCATAATCGTTAGCTGTAAAATAGTTTTAGCCGCTTGGAATTGTTTCAATGTTAGACGAAGAATGTATCGTTCCAAAAGCCACTGATATAACATTGGCTCAAAAACTCAATGATCAGCATTTAGGCAAGCACCCAAATTTCCAAAAACCAAAACCGCCAAAAGGAAAACAAGTGATGGAATTTCATTTAATTAATTATTTCAATCCAGAGTGATGCTAGCGACTCACTGTATCTCCACCGCCAAGGATTTCCCTGCCATATTAGTCTAGTGCGATATATATGTAAGCTAAAAAAGCGAGTCTAACCAGTAATGATCATGGCCTTAAAAAAAAAAATCATTTCAACCATCATTCACGTTTCAACACATATTGAGTATAAAGTCACTCATTTATTAGTAAAAAAATAAGTCATAAATAATAGCTGAAATTTTCATATTTCTTAAAGGCTGATGCTCATTTTGCTGTGGTTCACTATGCTGGTACTGTTCGATATAATGTAACTGGTTGGCTAGAGAAAAATAAAGACCCACTGAACGATACAGCAGTTACGGTCCTAAAAGCCAACACTGGAATGGAACTTATGTCTCAAATGTGGGAGGACTACAAGACACAGGAGGATATTGCAAATCTGAGTAAGCGCAATAAGAGGCCCAAAAATTAAAAATTGTGGACAAATACTTTGGTATTGAAATAGTTCTAGCGATAAATATTTTATCCTAAATCCCTTATCTTCTCTTCTAGTAAGGAAAAAAGCAAGTATAATATCAACATTTTATTTTGACGCCATTATCACCACTATCATTATCATTTCAGAAGGGCTGCTAATAAGGCATATTGAGATATTTAGTATTTACTGCAGCTATTTTTCGCAGTACTACTTACTCATTTTACAACTTACAATTTATTTGAAGGCAAAGAAGGAAAATCAACAGGAAAGAAGAAAGGCAAATCAGCATCATTCATGACAGTTTCAATGATGTACCGAGAATCGCTCAATAAACTCATGAATGTGTTGTATCAGACTCATCCTCACTTTATAAGATGTATTATTCCGAACGAGCATAAAAAATCCGGTCAGAAAAAATTTTTTTGTTTATTATGCTATAAGCAAATTGCTTTTATAAAAAAAATTGAGGAATTTCCAAAAATTTCATTATTTTTTTTTATTAAATCCAATAGTTTAATTCAGGTGTGATTGAAGCTGATCTTGTTCTCAACCAGTTAACATGCAACGGTGTACTCGAAGGCATACGAATTTGTCGCAAAGGATATCCAAATAGAGTTAACTATATAGATTTTAAGCAGAGGTACAATAATATTATAGGTCTCTAATAATTTTTGTACCAAATTTTTTACACGAGTAAGCCATAAATTTTTACATTAACAGATATGGTATACTAGCACCAGAAGCAGCATCTGCCGTGGATGCCAAAAAATCAAGTGAAGCAATATGCGTTGATCTCGAAAAAGTCGAAGTATTGAAGCCGGAAGATTATCGGATCGGGCATACCAAGGTTTAGTTTTGGCTAGAACACAAAGACAAATTTGGTTTTAAAGGTCCATTTAGCTCTTTTGTAGGTATTTTTCAAAGCCGGAATATTAGCAAATCTCGAAGAAAAAAGGGACAATGCTCTTTCCAAAATTATCACGAAATTCCAAAGCGCATGCAGATACTATCATGCACAGCTCGATCTTTGTCGGCGCTTACAGCAAAGGTAAATATAAACAAATGAGAAAAAACAACTAGCCAGCAAGATATGATCTGATGAAATTTTTTTAATCATTGGTTGTTTTTTCTTCTTGAAAAAGCGAATCTGAGAGCCTGGAAAGAGTGCTAGAAAAGTGGCGAAGAAGATAAAAAAATCATATAACAACTCAAGATTGAAAGAGCTTCTTGTAGAGCTGGTGCCGTAATTATACAGAAAAACGTTCGTTCTTGGTGCAAACTTCGAAATTGGAGTTGGTTCAAGCTTTATAATCGACTTAAACCACTGATTAAGGGCAGCAAAAAGGTTAGTATCTCCTATTCCTACTCAAAAGCACTATTAATCGTCTATTTCTAAGATTATAATAGATTACTGTTAGTTGAAAACATAAAATATAGAACCATTTGCAATTTTATAGGATGAAGAATTCGTAGCACTCGAGAAGAAGTGTAAAGAACTTGAAGAAAACTTTGATCGTGAAGAAAAATTGCGTAAAGAAATCGAATTACAAATTGCGAAGTTAACAAGTGAAAAAAATCAGCTGTTTTTGCAATTAGAGCAAGAACGAGACATTGTCACCGAAAGTGAGGAGCGTTCGGCCAAAATTTTGGCACAAAAAACGAATGTGGAAAAACAGGTTTAAATTCGTTTTCTGCCTTACAGTACTATCGATCTCTTTTCGCCATCTTACAAATATTCTTTTTCGAATTATTTTAGAAAAAAGCAACTTTTTAGATGAATGACTTAAGCGAACAACTAAACGATCTTGAAGATAAAAATGAAACATTACAACGAATTAAAAAGAAATTAGAAAGTGATAATGAAAGTCTAAAAAAAAGTATCGCTGATATGGAACTAATAATAAGAAAACAAGAAGCTGAAAAACAAACAAAAGATCACCAACTTCGATCGTTCCAAGTAATTTTTTTTCTGAAAAAAAAATCTATTATTATTATCTATTATTATTAAAAATCTATTATTATCTATTATTATCAATACCAAGAATTTACAAAATTATCTCGGAAAACAGTAGCCTTTAGATTTATAAATTCTAAAAAAATGAAGGAAATTTTTTAAAATTCAATTATTCAATTGCAGAATATACATTTGAAAATTTTGATATACTTTTTAGCAAATAATTTTTTTCCAGGATGAAATGATTGCACAAGATGAAATGATTTCTAAAATGACTAAGGAAAAAAAAAATCAAGAAGAGGTCATTTCATTTATATTAAAACCGAAACTGTCTTCGGTATTTTCAATAATTAATTTGATAATTTTCGAAAAAAGCAATATTTAGGTGAATCAGAAATTAATGGAAGATTTGCATATCGAAGAAGATAAAATAAATCATTTGACAAAAATCAGATCGAAGTTAGAGCAAAATCTGGATGAAATCGAAAATAGCTTAGAGCGTGAACGACGCATGAGACAGGACGTCGAGAAGAGCAAACGAAAAATAGAAGGCGAATTGAAAATAGCTCAAGAAAATATCGAAGAGGCTATTCGTCAAAAGCATGACATCGAAAGTGCAGTAAAAAGGTTCACATCACATTCTAAAATATCTTCGATAAAAAGTGCGAATTAGATTTAACTTTTGCTCAAAGCACATATTATTCTTGAACTCCACTGATTTTTGTAGAATGAGGTCCTTAAAGATTTTACTCGTACGAGGGGAATATAGATTGATTACAACCTGAAACAGCTTAATCATTTTTAAATTTATTCTTGATCCTGCTAATCGTGACTATTTTCGCCGAAGCTTATCAATTTCCTCCTTTTTTCAAAAAAGCTATAATTTCAAAGCTATCTAGTTTCAACTTTCCTTACTTTCAATTTCAAATAGCAAATGAAATTTGAATTAAATTTTACGACGAAGCATATATATTCAAGGAAAGACCTAGAGCTTCAGTCAATGAGCAATCAACTAGAAGATGAACAAGTTCTCGTTGGCAAATTACAACGACAAATTAAAGAAATGACAGCAAAAATTCAAGAGCTTGAAGAAGAAATCGAAGCTCAAAAGCAAGCACGATTAAAAGTTAATTTTACAGCTTATTTATACGATAAGTTATCGTAATTCATATGTCGCAATAATAAAAAAATTCAGTCAGAAAAAATTCGAAATGAAATCCAACTCGAACTTGAAGAGTTAGGTGATCGTTTAGACGAAGCTGGTGGAACAACACAAGCACAAATCGAATTAAATAAGAAGCGTGAAGCTGAAATCTGTAAATTGCGACGCGATCTTGTTAGTTTTTATGCAAAACAAAAAAAAAAAAAATTTTAATTTTATTTGAAAAGATTGTTTCTGTTTAGTTCGGAGCGAATATGGAAGAAATATTTTAGGAAGAAGCTGCTTTGAATGCAGAAAATACTATAGCAGTACTTCGTAAAAAACACAATGATGCTGTAGCTGAATTGTCGGAACAGTTAGATATCGTACAAAAAGCCAGAACCAAGTAAATTAATTGCACTTATCATTATCAGCCATAGTTCAGCCAGTAAAATTAAATTTTTACAACTTACGATTTATTTCTTTATTTTTCTTGAGATTTTTTAAAATTATTATTAATTATAGAGTTGAGAAAGAAAAAGTTACTATGCAACATGAGCTCGAAGATTTTCGCCATCAGATCGATGCTGAAGTAAAACAACGACAGAATTTGGATCGACTCGCTAAACAGGTAAAATCTTAAAAAATTCAAACTGTATAATATGTGATTGCAAAAAAAGGTGATGAAAAATTGCAGCTCGAGGCGCAACTCAATGAATCGCAAATAAAAAATGATGAGCAAGCTAGACAGATGCAAGATTTACTTGTAGCAAAAAATAAATTCCAATCTGAAAATAATGATTTTAACAGGTACACTCTAGAATTTTTTTTTTTCAAACAAATAAATATATTTTGTGGTCAAAAGTTTTAAGAATTCTTATCAGTTTGTGAAGTTGTAAAATGTAGTTATGTTATATAAAAAAAAATTACTTTTTATAGCCAATAAAAAATAAAATATTTTTTGCAATCGCAAATAAAGAAATATTGGCTAATTCTTAGGCAAGTCGAAGATTTAGAAAGCCAATTGAACTTTCTAAATCGGGCAAAAAAGCAGATAACAATGGAAATGGAAGAGATTAAACGCCAGCTAGAACACGATAATCGAGAAAAGCAGAGTCTTGCTGCGCAGGCAATTCTTCTTTAAAATCATAACTTATTGAGAAAATATCATAATTATCACTGATTTTTTTTTGAGTGAAGAACAATGTGCTGAAACCGACAACAGAAAAATCGCCTACCTAAAGTTTTAAGTGAAGATTTATAGGAAAAAATTAACATCACTTTTTTTTCTTCAGAACGCAAATCTTCAACTTGAATGTCAACAACTTCGTGAAATAATAGAAGAGGAACAAGACGGTAAGACTGAACTACAGCGTCTTCTATCTAAAGCAAATGCTGAAGCACAACAATGGAGGGCTCGTTACGAGGGAGAAGGAGTAAATAAAACTGAGGAATTAGAGGAAACTCGGTAAAGCTTCGTTCATTTATTATCATTAATAATCAAATATATAAAAAGCAATCTTTTCATAACTTTTCTACTTTTTACTTTCATCGAAAAAATTCGAAAATGTCGCAAAATCTTATAAATAATTTTATTCAAAAAAAAAGGAGTCTTAGAATAAGTAAACTTCTATAAAAATATATTAAGAAAGCGGCTGCAATTTAAAGTCCAAGAAATGCAAGAAACTCTCGACACTGCAAATAGTCGAATTAGTCAACTGGAAAAATCCAGGCAAATGCTCATGCAAGATCTCGAAGATGCTCAAATGGATGCAGACAAAGTAAAACGCTTTTTGCAGAAGAATAAAACATCCAATACAGAAAAGCTATGAAGGCAAAATCGATCCTATTTTCTTTATTACCTAATTTCAGGCTAATAGTATTGCCAGTACATTGGAAAAGAAACAAAAAAGTTTTGATAAGATCATAGAAGACTGGAAGCATAAATGTGATACTCTTGCACAAGAACTGGAGGCGAGTCAACGAGATGCGCGTACCGTCGCAACAGAATCATTTCGCTTGCGAAACAATTTAGATGAAGCATCCGAACAAGTAAAATTTTTATCCTTAAAGTAAATTAAAATAAAACGACTATTTGTCCAAAATTTTATTAATTTGTTAAGATAGAAGCGCTTCGTCGTGAAAACAAATCACTTTCGCAAGAGCTCAGAGATATAAATGATCAACTTAGCGAAGGTGGTAAGGGTATCCATGAATTACAAAAAGAAAAACGGCGTTTAGAAATAGAAAAGGAAGAATTACAGGTGAAATTTACGGTTAAATTTAATTATCAATTTCATTGAAGAATTTTTTAAAAAATTTCCTAAAAATTTATAGCAGAAAAAAAACTTATCGCTATCGATCATTAAAATTGCTGAGGGAAAATAAAGAAGATAAAAGCGGAAAATATTTTTAAGCTTAGCTAAAAGGCATATTAACCTTGTTGAGTTATCTTCATAATAGCTCGATTAAAATAACCAAAAATTCTTTATCTTCTTAAAGAATCAAAGTTTTAGATTAAAATTTTTTGAGGGTCTATAACGTAATTTTACGAGATTCATTAATCAGTGATCGCTTTGCAGCAAGCTCTAGATGATGCAGAAGCAGCATTGGAAGTGGAAGAGAATAAAGTCTTACGATCACAAGTTGAAATCTCTCAAATACGATCAGAAATAGAGAAACGGATTAACGAAAAGGAAGAAGAGTTCGAGAATACCAGAAAGAATCATCAAAGAGCTCTCGAAAGCATGCAGGTTGAAGAATTCCATAATTTTTAATGTCATTTCTTATTTTAGTTTCGTACATACATTCTTTAAATTTAAAAAAATTTCAGGCAACTTTAGAGACAGAAGCTCGTGGACGTGCTGAACTTCTTCGCATTCGAAAAAAGCTCGAATCAGATATCAGTGTGAGATATTTTGTTATTTCCAAACAAATAATCACCATTCAACAACATTCGCACAACAATCTTAATTTTATTAATTTTACAATTTACGAGTTTTAGGCATTTTTAAATGTTTCTCATTATAGGAACTCGAAATCGCTCTTGATCAAGCAAATAAAGCAAATGTTGATGCGCAAAAGAATATTAAGCGACATCAAGATAACATTCGCGAACTTCAGGTTCTTCATAATATACTAATATACAAAGCATTGGATAGATATTATTTATTGTTATCCGCTATACTCATACTTTTAGCTAAACGATCGTCGACTTTTTCTTCAATCTATTCCTTTTTTTTCAATAATTTATTGTTCAACAATAATGAAATCGTGAAACAAAATAAGTAAGTAGTAACAACAGTAACAATTTCAACTTTTATATCAACTTTTATTTCAACTTTTTAGATGCGAGTTGAAGAAGAGCAACATCAGAGAGACGACATTCGAGAGCAATTAAATGTCTTGGAACGACGTTTACAAGTACTACAAACCGAAAAGGAAGATTTGACGATTTCTTTAGAACAGGTTCCATAGCCCTTATTCCTCTATTATGTTACATATCGTCAAAAAACTTGCAAGTTTTCCAGGAATGCGATTGCACATAGAGTGGTTTAACCAAAATATAATCAAAAAAAAGTATATTGCTAAGGTGATTGAAGTCTTATAAATCAACTTTGTCCTGTTATAATTTATCATATTTTATAAGGATTAACACCTTTATTACAATTGCAATTATATAGCATATATTACAATAATAATGCCAAATGGAAAATAATGTTACTAGCTGAATTTGTGCTTCTAGGCTGAAAGGTTTCGTAGGCAAGCCGAACTTGAAACTTCAGATCTAAAAGAAACAGTAAATGTCTTGACAACTGCTAATAATTCGCTGACAGTTGCCAAAAGAAAACTTGATATTGACGTACAGGTTAGGCTAGTAATTCCTGAAAATATTTCTTGTTATTCTCTTAAAACTTTTCCTTTAGCAAAACTTTTCATCTTGTTACCTTTCTAAATTTATTGAATTATTTCAGCAACTTCATGTAGAAATCGATGAAGCACTCAGTGAACTTAAAAATTCAGAAGAGCGCTCAAAGAAAGCTATGATGGACGCTAGTCGTTTAGCTGAGGAACTTCAAGCTGAACAAGAGCATTCACAAAATCTTGAACGTCAAAAGAAAAGCTATGAACTTCAAATAAAGGTTATCCAAAAGAGCACTGGATCCTGGAGAAAAAAAAATAGATTCCAATTATACTCCAAAAATACTTCAGGAAATGCAAAGCCGACTCGACGAATCTGAAGCAACAATTCTTAAAGGCGGCAAGCGAATGTTAGCCAAATTGGATCAACGCATCCGCGAACTTGAGTTGGAACTTTCTGAAGAGAATCGGCGTCATGCTGAGGCACAAAAGAATTTACGTAGCAAAGATCGCCGAGTACGTGAGCTGCAGTTTCAAGTTGATGAAGACAAGAAGAGCACTGAGCGCTTATACGATTTGGTCGAAAAACTTCAGGGGAAAATAAAAACTTACAAGCGACAAGTAGAAGAAGCAGTAATCATTTAATCAGTTGTTAATAATTGTTCATTTAAACAGTTAGCTTTGATTGTTTATTATTCTTGCAGGAGCAACTTGCATCAAGCAATCTTATGAAATATCGTCAACTTCAGCACATTCTCGAAGACGCTGAAGAGCGAGCTGATATCGCAGAGAATTCGTTAGCTAAAATGCGAGCAAAAGCTCGATCTAACATGCAAGGAGGTCGTAGCATAGTTCGATCGGTGATTTTTTTTTATTGTTGGATAAAAAAATTTTAAAACTAAATTTAGCAATTTTTAGGCATCAAACACTGGATTATCGACTGGTCGACCGCCGAATCGAATGCATAATAATGATTTGGATGAAAATTGACTTTTTTCTTTGATAAGATTGTCCTTTATTTTATGAATACTCTTTAAGAATACACTTTACTTCATAAATAAATAAGAACCAAACGTGCCTTTAAATATTGCAAAATAATTGTTTTCACTTATCAGTTTTTATCAGAATTCTTATTAAAATTTATGATAAGTTGAAATAAATCGGTAATGCGAATTTAAGATGTAATTTTAAGAGGAAATTGTTATTTAAAGAGATAACCGAAAGGTACATTTGAGTTATTTAAATCACTTTGCTTGCAAGGTTTTTCACTTGATCTTAGTTCCTTTTTTTTGGCGAATCTCTTTTCTTTCTTTGATATCGACTTTAATCATCTCTATTTTTAATTTTTAATTTTATTTGAATAAAATTCTTATCTTTTGAAGGTTTTCATGAAGTCAGAGGTCTTCTGAATAAGAAATATCGAAAAAAGAGGAAAATTTTCAATTTTCTTTTTAATTTATATAAATTATTTTTTATACATAAATTACTTGCCAGATGAAATAAATTTCATGAATTTCTTATTATTTATTATTTGTTACAAAGGGATTATTATTTTTGCATTTTTTTACAATCTATTTGATAATATTTGATTTCAATCACTTATTAGTGTATTAAATTATGAATTAAAAAGGAAATTTAAATAATATTAAATATTAAAAATATTAAATGCATAAATTTCTTCGTTTTTTTTTTTCGACGGAATTTTGTCAGTTTTCTTATTTGTTCTATTTTTTTTCTATTTTTTAATGCATTCAATTGATAATCAGACCGATATTAATGCTTATTGCTATTATACACATTGCATTTTATCACGAAAAATTTATGAAAAGTATATACACCGTGAAATTTCATAAGTAAAATAGCAAGCTCAATTATCTCTGTGCTTTTTTTTTTAAAGAGATCTCTATGCTTTTTCACCATTGCTGGTTAAATTCGCTGTCCTGTCGCATTGGGCAATATGCCATGGAGTCTCTTGATGATAGAAATACAGGTGAGTCGCCAGCATCACTCGGATTTTGACAGGTTTACTCCTGCGGGGAATAGAACCTTATTATCTCTATGACTAAGATAAAGCAATTAACACTGGATAATTGTGGGATCACATCCTTCTAAAAATATTTCTTAATGGAATAATCTCTAAAGAAGTTTGTTTTGTTAGCATAAAAATTTGATAAAAAAAGGCAAATAATATATGAATTGTTTCAAAAATTCGCATGAATAAATATTCTCTTTTCAGTTATAACTTAGCAGAATCTTTTTTACTAAATATGTCTTATAATTAAATTTAATAATTATCGTTAATTGTCCAGAAGATCGAAGAAACCAATCACCTGAAATAGACACATCAGAGCATTTGTAAAACAAATGAAATGCAAAATTTGTAAAAAAATAGAAATTTCCTTAATTGTTGAAAATGATTTATGGAATGAAAATATAATTTTTTGGCTTTTCTATTAATTAAATAAAGTTTTAAAATTGCAACTATTTCACCTATCATTTCAACAAATTTCGCAGTTTCTCGTAAATATTTATAGGCTTAAACTTGAGCTTTCGCTTAGGGTTTAGGCTTAGGCTTAAGGTGTGGGCTTAGGCTTAAGATTTGAACTTATGCTATTTAGGAAATTTTTCTAAAAATGCTTATAGAAATTCTTACTATTTATTTTTTCGATCTCGAAGCAATAATTTTTATTATCTTTTTTCTATAATCAAAATGAAAGCAAAATGTAAATAATAGTTGGAAGCTCTTTAGCTGTTTCAAAATTTCTAATCAAATCAACAAAGATTCAATAAGATTTAGTAAATGTGAATTATTAGGCAGTTATTGAACATTTGTCGCCTTGGCGAAATCTTTTACCATAATTCTTTACCATATATCACCATAATTCATGTCATTGTTTATGTTATTTTATGTTTGTTAGTCTGCGAAGATCAATTCTCTGGTTTTATTCTAACTCTGAGATAAATCGCAAAATTGTATTTCCATTTGATTAAAATGGATTAAAATCATTTCATAATACGGATGGTGATTGAGAGATCGCGTAGCTTGGAAATTTTACCCTTGTAAACATTGAAGCCAGTCTAACTAGTAACCAACCAGTAATGGTGAGAGCTTTAAAAGAAGAAGAATCATGATTGTGATAATTATGCAAGAATTTGGTTCCTGTTCCAGACAGGAATTTATTTTTCATTAAGATTCATTAAATTTATTTTTCCGAGTGCACAAGTGTTTCACCCATATCCTTATCATCATATGATCTCCTGATAATTTTTTCCAAATCATATTAATAGCCAACAGTGTGAGTCTAATCAAAAACACCAAAGTAAATGATTTTAATCACTCGTTTTCCTATCGAGAATACCTTTTCATTGGGCCTAAATGAACTTTATGATATGATAAGGCGATAAAGCGATTTTTTTTGAATCATTTGAAGTAAATCTAATAAATGAAGATTGACAATTTACTGCTTATTCTAGCTAGTAAATTCGTTCATTACTCTTTGATGTAGCCAAACACCTTTTAGCTTTCTTTTTCTAACTCGTTCGTTATAAAATATGGAATAGTTTGCAAAGAAATGTTTAAAGACTCTATCGGATAAGGGTAACCTTCATTCAAAACAGAACCAAATGATTAATGCAGTTATTCAAAATGATATTTCTTTAACCTTAATTGTAAACAAAAAAACAATTATAATCACCTAATGCAATTAAAAGCGCTTGGTCCGACGGCGAACAGCTTGGAGACGTCTTATCCTTATAGCCAGCGGCGCCAGCCTAACCAGTAATGATGAGAGCTGTTAGAAGAAGAAGAATTGGGAAGCCCAATCACAACTCTTCGATTTATATAGTCAAACAGCCTATAAACATTTACCTTATGTAAAACTGCTGAAAATGAAAATTGCAATAATTTTTAATAAATGATAAATGAGTCAATCGTAAGGTATCCTTTATTAACAACTTGCACCATTGCCGATTTCATTCGCTCCACTGGCAAATAGGGTAGGGAAAAAAGAAATACTCCCATGCCTTCTGATCAGATGCTTCCATACTTGCTTGGATGCTTATACGTTCAAAACCTGTTGTGGCCCATATTAATCCAGGTCTTGATTGGTTCTCATTGTTTTTGACACCGTGGTTGGCAACTAAAGATGGCATACCGAACGGCATAACCTTGTGATGCTTTAGCGCACATGATATTCAAGTGAATCTTAAGTGAAAATGGACGTGGGATGTACTATAGGCAAAATTATTCACTGGTAGATAACTTCTTGATATCTTCCGCTAGCATTGACCATGCCTCTCAACGCCATAATAAAATTGTGCATATTAGAGCTAGAACCAGACTGATAAGAACTTTCCTTTTGAGACTGATTCTGCGGTAATTTCAAAGAAGTTTTGCAAAAAGAAAGGGACCTATAGCTTCAGTTATTTGGACTGCAATTTCATATGTTATATGGTATTGAGTTGATCTGAAGTATATGAAGTCTGATATTTTTGATGCCATTGATGAATTTATGGAAATTTTTTTAAGACTTAAGACCAATCTTAAGATAATTCTTACTAATCGGTCTCAAACTAGCTGTTTATTGCAGTTTTTGGGAGTGCGAAAAAAAAACAATGGTCAAGGTTGGTGACCATATGCCCTGGACTTCTCTTAAGTGTCGGCAAATTGCTGTGTTCATGATCCAATCTATCGTACCGCACGGATGAAAATTGTAGGGGATAGTAGAATGGCTCAATGAGTTGTTATCATTGGAGCACAGGTGCTGAAGTTCGACTCTCAGGAGAAGTATTTCAAAAATCAGGATGGTATTGGTGCCCCAACTATACAGCCAAATGATTCTCATAGTATAGCCTGATAAGCATGTACAACGACCGATTCTAATCAGAAATAAAATGCGCTCTTCAAGAAATGACCATAGGAACAGAAATTTGTTCAGGAAATGCATGATAGGCTTATTTACGGACATGCAATAATCGGCGAAATTTTTTTTTAACCGGTAGTAATTTATAATTTTTGGTGTAGAAAATTTTCCTCCAGCAGTAAATATCGATGAAATGCCTAATTGCTTAAACGAAACAATTTCAACTCCAATAAAGCATACAATTTTTTGCTAACTATTCATCTATAGTTTCATATAGATATTTTTTTTATAGATAAGAAGTGATAAGACAAATATTCAATGTATTATATTAATATACAATATAATTATCATTGATTAATGATAAATAATAATGCGATTTATTGAATTTCATTCGTTTGATTCAGTATATATCTATCAATTTATGGCATCGCGACCAAAAGCAGCTGGTTGTCATTAATTTTTTTTCCTTCCAACTATTATTGCAGCCAGGCCTCATGCTGCTCGCAATATTAAGGCAATTGTTGTCATTTTAATCGTTCGTTGAGAAAATGCTAAACCAAATAAATTCCAAATTAAATTTCACTGATTTATTTACGGAAATACGATTCATTTACTTCAATCAAGTCAAGTTAACTTTAAAATAATAATTTGATATTGCAAAATATTTGCATAAAAATTCGATTATTAATAAATTAATAATGAATAAAAGAAAAAAAAGTTTTTTTTTTTTTTAATTCTTTAGTATTATTTATTTGATTATAATTTAAATATTCTTTTGAAAAATTTCGATTCATTTAAAAAAAAAAAAGTAATCATTGTAGCGCATAAGACAGCAAAAAATGGCTAAAATTTTAAGCTGGTAAATTCCCACATTATTCGCATCACTAAACGATTATTGCGCTTAAAAAGTAGTCTGTTTCAAAGAACGATGAAAGTAGCGATTTAAAAATTTTTCCACAAATTCTCGTTGAAATCTGGTTAAAACATATTGATTATAAAAAATTTCGAACGATAAAATTGAATTTATGAAAGATTTTGTAAGAAATTTAACGTTGATATTGCCAAAATACTAAAATAACTCATAAATAAATAAATTCTTTAAGATTTTAAAAAATTTTTTATCTTATGGAAAGAATTAATATATTTCATGAAATATCACTTTTCGTATAAAATTTTTTTTCCTTCCTTATTCGAAAAAAACTTAAAATGAAAATTGCTCGTTGATCGCTTTTAATTTAATTAGGTGTTATGGTTATGATAAGAATTCTATGAAATACTTTTGTCACCTCGCGATATATTATTCAATTAAACCTTATCATATTTATCAGTCAAATCATTTGATCACTTTTGATAGTAGGCTGGCCTTTTCATAATTACCTCTTTATAATATAACGACTTGTAGGAAATGATATCCTACTGCATTAAAAAAATTTTGTAAAAATTAATTTTACCTAATGTTTATTTAAAATCAGTACTGTTAT